GACCAGGACAAGCATTGCTGAGCGGTTTGTGCAGACAGTGCGTGGTTTACAGAAAACCCTACTTTCTCATTTGGAGTCAGCAATTCAAGCAACAATTCCTGCAGGGCATCCGGTGATTCAATGGGCAGCTATGCATGCTTCATGGTTATACAACCGGTACCATGTCCACTCTTCCTTGCGCACAACTCCATTTCAATCTTTGTTTGGCAGACCCTACAGAGGCAAGATTGTGGCATTTGGCCAAACTGTGTTTGGATTGGACCCCAAGGCCGACAAATATCGTCCAGCTTGGATACGAGGTGCATGGCTTGGGAAAGATTCATCTGACATGGATCTCATTTCAACAGATGGTCAAAGCGTTGTGCGTACAAAGGCCATCAGGCGCATCGGAGATGAGTGGGATGCAACATTGGTGCTGGGAATGGATGTGACGCCCAGTCAAGTGTTTGGACATCGGCAGATCAGAAGGAAGCAGACAATTGTTCCTCTTGGAGCTCCAGTCCCTCAGAAGGTGGATGAAGAAGCAGAGGCCGTGAGAGACTATGTGTCAGAAGGTTACTCTCCTTCAGAAGGACCTGAAGCCCATGCTGAAGATCCAACAACTGAGGCAAGAACCTGGGAAGAAGCTGGTTTGGAAAATCCATTTTCTCCAGTGACAGGTCTTCAAACACCTGTGACCCAAACACCTGTGGACATGGAGTCTGAGACAGGTGGGGGCGTGCCAATCACGCCTGTGCTGGATGAAACAAGTGACCATGATATGGATATTCCAGCAGTTGCTACAAAGCATGCGGCCAGCAGCTCACTCTCAGGTGAACGTGTGAAAGCACAGAAAATGGATGATGATCCTGTTCCAATGCCAAAGACAAAGGCCAGCAGAACAGAAGGAAATATCAATCAAATCGAGGAGATCGAGATGCACCACAACGATGAAAGCATGTTTCCTGAAGGTTTTGAGGATGATGCAGTAGCCTTTGATTCAGAGGACGAGCACATTGCTGTGCAAGGTGAACATGATGGTCCACCCATTGTCAGCCCTGAGAAGTTGCAAGAGTTGGAAGAGCAGGCAGCGTTGGACGAAGTCGAGAAGTTGTTTCAGATGGATGTGATTCAACCTGTGACGCTGCAGGATGATGTTGCAACAAGTGAAAATGTGGTTGACACAACTCTGGTGTATGATTGGTGGTACAGGAATCAACAATGGATCAGACGATGTCGGATTGTTGCAAGAGAGTTCAAAACAGGGGCAACTGATGAAAACAATTTTTCTCCAACATCCTCATTTGCTTCAGTGCGCATGTTGTTGACGTTTGCATTGATTTACAATCTGGCGGTGACAGCGTTGGATGTTAAGGATGCGTTTCTCATGGTGCCTCAGATGGAAATTCTTTATGTGAAGATCCCGGCATGGATCAGAAAATGGACAGGGAGTCCTCATACCCACTGGCTTTTGAAAAGATGTCTCCCAGGACAAAGGAATGCGGCTTTGCGATGGCATCAACATATCGGTGGTCTATGTGAAAGATCAGGTCTTGAGGCTTTCCCGGGTGCTCCAACAATTCTTCGACACCGCGACCTCAGTCGAAGGATGTTTGTCAACATCCATGTGGATGACATTTTGTTGGTGTGCAATCCTGGTGATGTGGAATGGTTTCAGACAACGGTTGGTGAAACATTGACAATGAAGGTTGATGGACCGCATTTGCCTGGAAGTGGGAGTCAGCTTTTGTATCTCAAGAAAAGGATGACAATGAAACCAAATGGGATCTTGCTGCAACCCAATTCAAGCTACATCCCAAAGTTGGTGGCACTGATGAAGGTAAGTGGAAGAAGGAAGAAGGGCCTCCCATACCATGCGACGCTGGAAAACTTCAACGCTGACTTGGTGATTGAATCAGAAATGTTGGATCCAGATCAAGCAGCAGTTTTCAGATCTGGTCTTGGCCTAGCGTTGTACTTGGCGATGGATCGGCCCGACATCCAGTTTGCAGTGAAAACCCTTTCATCTTACATGGCACGACCCAGTGTCAAGGCGCTCTCTGCATTGAAGCATCTGGCTTCATATTTGGATGGGACGCCTGAAGATGGATTATTCCTGCAGTGCACCGAGGAGAACCAATGCATCTTTGATGGATGGAGAGATGATGAGCTGATCAGTGAAGAGATCCCAATTCCTGGTGACAAAGCTGAAGCAAGGTTCAACATTGAGGCTTTCAGCGACAGCTCATGGGCAGACTGTAAGTCGACCAGAAAGAGCACAAGCTCAGGATTGGTGTTCCTCAACGGTGCAATGATTCTCAGCATTTGCAGAACGCAGGCATCAGTGGCTTTGTCAAGCTGTGAGGCTGAACTCTATGCTGCAAATGGACTGATGGTGGAGTGCATGTATCTCTACCGGCTGTGCAAGTTCCTATGCAAGGATGAAGTGGAAAACAACAGCTGTGATGTGCAACAACGATTATACATCGATTCATCATCAGCGATGGCACTCATTCAACGAGCTGGAACTGGACGGTTGAAACATGTGCAAATCAAACAGTTTTTCTTGCAAAGCTTGCTGAGAGCTGGTATCTTCACGATCCACAAGATCAACACGAGGATGAACCCTGGTGACCTCAACACAAAGAGGTTAAGCTCTGAAAGGCGCAAATTCCTTGGAAGGCTGATTGGTCTTTTTATGGCCATGGATGAAGCCAACGACGACAGCGAGGTGAGAAGGGTGCGCCGCTCCAACAAGGTTGCCAGAGAACAATGCGTGCGGTTGATCAAGGTTGCAACAGCTGCATTGGGAATGTTCACGCAACTGAAAGGATGCAGTCCAATGTCGAATGTGGAAATCTTTGAACAAGACACTGCATGGATTCTGGTTGCAAACGCAGTAGAAGGACTGATGACCTCAACACTCCATGGTTTTGTGATGATGGTTGCAATGGTTTGCAGAATTTCCATGTACATGCTCGGTCTTTCAATGCTGGTGGCTGGAATGACATTTGTGATTCTCGGACCTTTGACATGGAGCTACAGCAGATTGACCTGGTGGTTCGAACGGCGTTGTGCATGGAGAACCATGGGTTGGAGGCATCGACTCTTCATTTACCCTTCACTCCAGATTGCAAGATGGCTGCTTGGAAAGGAAATCAGATTTCTACGAGAACGCTTTCGAGCGGCCAACCAGCAGGGCGACATGATGATCGACCTGGAAAGTGTTTACGCAGACCTTTGTGAATATCTTGGAGGTGAACGGGTGAGAACAAATGAACCACGAGACCCAATTGACATGCCAGTGTTTGACAACAACAGAGATGGAAATTCAAATGCCGAAGGAGGAGAAGAAGAACCAATGGAAGAAGATCCTCATGATGGAGGAGATGACCCAAACGGTGACGAGATCGTCCATATGGCCATCAATGGAATTCCTCTGAATGGTCAGTCAATTGACCGCACTGATGTCCATCCTGAAGTTCACCCAGAAGCAACATCGAATGACGGTGAAGATGTGGACATGGGTGCCGAGACAGCAGAGGAGAGAAGGAGACGATACGTCTCGAGCTCACAGGACGAAGTTTCAAATCCAGATGAGTGGGCAGATGTACAATTTGGTCATTTGGACAGAGATGCATATGAAAGAATGGTCGCTTACTCCCAGGCCAACAGGATTCGACTACAAAGAGCAGCAGCTACATTGAACAGAAGACATGACGAAGCTGCAACAGTTGGAAATTGGGAAGAAGCGGCATTGATGTTGCGTGCATTGCATGAGGTGGAAGCACTCATGGACATCACCTAAGGCAATCAGTGCATGCGGTGGTAGACAGTAGTGAAAGGCATGAACCAGTGAGACACTGATAGCTGGTGAAATGCCAAATGTATCTTTTGTTCCAAATGCTCCTGGAGACAAATTAGAGAATTTTGCATGGCACAGAAGGCCGAAGTAGAAGGTCTAAACAATTTGCAAAGGCACAACGAAAATGACAGCATTCCAAAGGAACACTGTCAAGGTGGGGTGTCAGATTGTAGTAACTGCACTCACTAGGAACAGACATGTCTCCAGTTGATGCTAGGAACGATACAGAGAAGATTAGCAGTGCATGTTTGTGCAAGGATGACACAGCACAAATCAATTCATGGATACCGCCCAAATAGTGGCTCAAAGAAGCGAAGGCAAAAGGGTAGCCGACTTTTGCGTGCGGCCTGAATTCTTGAGAAAAATAAATTGAAAGTAAATTAAAAATAAATTGAAATCAATTGAAAGTAAATTGAACGTAAATTAAAAGTAATTTGAAATCAATTGAAAGTAAATTGAAAGTAAATTAAAAGTAAATTGAAATCAATTGAAAGTAAATTGAAAGTAAATTAAAAGTAAATTAAAAGTAAATTGAAATCAATTGAAAGTAAATTGAAATCAATTGAAAGTAAATTGAAATCCTTTCTTAAGTTGACTGACAAAAAAAAATGTTGAGGGGGGGAAAAAGAAGTGCGAATTATAGAGTATCTTCAAATTGTTTAGGGGGGGGGGCCCTCACATTAATCAGATGCAAACATTATTCATTTTACAACAAACCATTATCAAAAACGATCCATCAGCGGCTTGCTTTGCCGCCCATGCAACTCAGAAACCCAACATTTCCGATAGGTTTACTTTTTTTGAAACTTCCGCCACCGCCTTGTGTGGTACCAGTGGCATCAATTAATCAAAATGAATCCAAGATGTCCGCTGCATTTGTATGATGATTTGGCTTGCAGGCATGACATAGGTATGACGTCCTGGAAACTGCATTTAGATGGGGGAAACAAATTTTCAACACACAGGCATGATCAGGCATGAGTTTCGCGCTTTCCTGTACACAGTACAACTACAGTATAACTGTGTAACTGCAAGACAGTGGGAAAATACCATGAAACGCATGAAACCTTCAACATCCCCTACGGAATTTCTAGGCTAACGCGGCAAAATCACAGGGGGATCCAACAACTATTTGTATGTTTAAGAGGGCGTGCCATGGAAATGCGATGCAATGGGCATGCTCTTCGGCAGTGATTGCTTTTGATACTGCAAGGTGATGCGGGAGGAACTCACCCATTGCCCTTCTTGCCTGTAGACATGATGAAATGATACGAAATGTTATAGTTATGATGGTTCAACATGCTTAAAAATGGTTGATAGCTTAGAATGACTCATTGATCATGGTTTGCCAGAACTTGATAGTGGTTGATATTGGTCAATGGTCGATACTAGATAGACTAGACGCTATGAATGGTTAACGGTGGTGAGTGATGGCGAAAAATGGTTTATTGATAGTGGATTTAATGGTGAAAAAAAATGGTAAATCGCGTCAAATTGATTAACAATTTATGGGTAAAAATAGTTGATTAGTGATCGTTATTTGTGGTTCCTGGTAGTAAATCATAATTAGTTGACTCTTTGTTATCAGCCTGGAGATTAGCATGGATCATGGATCCTACCAAGAGCGTATCCCAGGAAACTGATTTTGCAAATGGGATGAAACTGATTTTTGACTTTGATGATTGCCAATGGTTGATTAGTGCTTCATGAGGGCACCCATTTAGAATGAGGGCGGCACCCCGTGGGGGAGTGAATTTTCATTAAACATGATGATAAAACACTGTAAATACCGATGTTTTATGCATTTGGAGGGTCTAAAACCCTAGTAAAACACATTTTTTTCATCATGATCTTGACATGAGATATACAAAAACATTGACAGGCACGAAAAAAACAAAAAAACCAAACCACTAGATGCACCAAACATCGACAGGCACCAAAAAAAACAGAAAAAACAAAAATTCCAGCAACTGCTCAGAAGTGGACCCATAGTTGCTGGAAATTTTAGTTTTTTTGTCTTTTTTTGGTGCCGGTGCAGGTTTCGTGCATCTAGTGGTTTGGTTCTTTTGGTTTTTTTGGTGCCTGTGCAGGTTTGGTGACTCTGACTTCACAAAACATTGACAGGCACCAAAAAAACGAAAAAAACCAAACCACTAGATGCACCAAACATCGACAGGCACCAAAAAAACCAAAAAAACCAAACATTCCAGCAACTACTCAGAAGTGGACCCATAGTTCGTGAAAATTTTAGTTTTTTTATATTTTTTGTTGGTACCTTTGCAGGTTTGGTGCATCTAGTGGTTTGTTGTTTTTGTTTTTTTTTGGTGCTTGTGCAGGTTTGGTGCATCTATTGGTTAGTTTGTGTTTTTTGATGCTTGTGCAGGTTTTGGTGATTCTAGATTCTAGATTGTGTATGTTTGGATCTTGGCCATATTTTAAACTTATGTTTCAAAGAAGCAAACATACCGTTATTTTTGAATAGCTATGCCACCACACAGGTTGCCTGACCTTAATATTCAACAGCTTGACACACGTCTTTGTCTCTTAGGCTTTCTCTCTCTCTCTCTCTGTCTAACTATTGAAATGAGACTGCTGACAAGACTCTGCAAGATAACAATGATAAACGAAATATGTACCTACTTCTTGAGTTGTAACATTCCCACCATCCTTCTTATCCAGAGTGTTAGATGTGCTTGTGTTATATCCACCTATATAATGTATGCCCTTCCCACCATACTTCTTATGTAGCGCAAATGCTTCTACATATATACAATATTTGTTAAGGTGATATCAATCTAACAAGTTCATGAAGGAACACCTATATCATATCAATTGCTTTTAGCAATAGAATTTCTCCATCACCTCCATCACACTAGTCACCTATTGCTACTGTATATTCTGTTCCAAGATGTGCAGCTACCCATTCTTATGGCATGTTGTGCAGCAGATGTTTTCTGTTATGTGCTGATTGTTTGTAGTTCTTTGCAAGCCTCACGGGAAAAATTGAATCCTGCCACAAGAGTCTGTAAATGCCAGTGATTTTTGACAGCATATGAGAGCCTTTGGAGGTGAACTCTATTTTTTGCTCTAAAATAACGGTTTTAAGCCCACTTTTGGTCACAAAACACTGTAAATACCAGTATTTTTGACCATTTTTAGAGCAAAAATCACTCCCCCATGAGGGGCCGTTCTGTTTAGAATCGGTCAGGGCTTATATGCCTACAGGGGACGCTTAGATGCGCTACCCACAATGTTTTGTGAAGGTTGTTGCCGGGTATCCCGACCGGTCCACCTGTGTTGCAGAACGTTGCTGGAACAACGCGATAGCCGTGCCAAAAGCTCAGCATTTCATCAGTATATCAGTGTTGTTCTATGGTAAGTGGATGATAGTGGATGGTTTGATATGGTTTCCAGATTAAACATTGCCATTTTGAGATCCTTAGGGCCACCATTCATGGACCTGTATGCTTCGCTGTCCTTTTGGCACTGCGAGAGTTCTGAGGCCTTGCGATATCAGAGGCTCATGGACATCTACGAACGAGCTTGTGCCGGAGGGAAGCCGAGAAGCTGGCGCTGAATCGACTCCCGACCAGCAGATCTCCTTCAAAAATAATTCTACAATCTGACCATCTGTGGTTGCCTCTGTGTCACAAGTTTGGTTGATCTTATTCCAGCACTTCCGCTTTTGTCGAAATGCGAAATGCGGGAGATCTGAGTCGCCATTTGGGGATGGGTTTTTTCTTTGTTGGACCTCATTGAAACTCGAAAATGATGAAATTGTATGGTTTCTCACTAAGACGACGAAGAAAAACTCAGGCTGGTTTGCTTTAATTTGGACCTGTACTCTCTGATCTCCGATTCCTTGGTTTTCCTTGGACTTCTAGTCACTTCTAGTTTCCGAAAGTTTGCTCAAAGATTGGGCTCAGCAAACTTCGACATCCCACAGCTGAGCTGCGGTGTAAAGAGATGGCCGACAGCTATTCCTTGCCTGTTTTTGTTGAGAACGATGAGAAATTTGGCTATATAAATGCACTAAAACATCAAGATCAATCAAGATACTGGGCTGTGAGGATACCATGAAACTATTGCTTTTAAGCAAACACAGTATACTGAGAATACTGGGCCTGGGCTGAAAAAACACAGTTCTTTTCTTTCAGGTCAAGGCTGATTGGGAAAGCTGAGCACCTCAGAGACGACCAAGAGTCACAATTTGTGCGGGGATGTTTGGCCGCAGCCTGAAGGGTTCGATGACGTTCGATGTTTCAGCTTGGTTAAGACTCTCCCGAATGCTCCCAGGCGCTAGCAGCATGTCGCTTTACGCCCTGATCACATCTGCGCTGGCAGAGGTGCAGCCTTCTCATGAGCAACCAATGATCAAAGCGAGTACGGGTACAAGTTCAAGATCCATAACTACGGTTTCAATAAGTATCTGTGTCTGACTACTACTTGGTGCACAAGCCAGAGTAGTATCAGCCAATACTACGTACCGTGGATGGATTGGCAGACTCCGATTACAACTGGTGGAAAGCCAAGGCAAAGGCTACATTCAGCCGCAGCTTCAGACCGATAACTGCTTGGTCCTAGATTTTCAATGGTTACTGTGGTCGCAAAGCTGCCAGAACAACCAATATTAAACTTCACTGACACTTGCGGTGCCCAAGTGGTTGTGGCACCTTGCTCAGCGCCGATCAGTGAAAGCGCAAAATCCTGGCATCGGATTGTTCTGTCTGAAGGCTTTTCTTCCTATGAGCTCCTGTCCAGTGCCGTTGAGAACTCTGACGCTCCATCATGGCTTGGTTGCGATTGGAGTGGTCAAGTGGGGACACCTCAATGCTTGGAGTGGAACGGATATGTGGCTGGAATGAACAATGTAGCTGACACCTACTATTGTCAGTCATGCTGGATGGGTGTGGTTGAATGAGTCAGGCTCGATGAAGACCATGGCAAAGTGTGAGCACACTACAGAAAAGGCCAGTTGCAGTGTTGCAAGCTGCTCACTGTTCGAAAGTTGCAGCTGTCACCCTCCAGGCGTCACACCATTTTCACCCTTTTGCTATGACTGCTCTTGTCAGCCTACTGCCTGGAAGATCGTTTTAGGCACTTCGGGAGGCCTTGGTAGCCTTTTTTCAGCGGTGGCTGGTTCCGTGAAGTGCCTTTCTGCGTGCAAGAAGTACCGCCGTGAACGTGCCGAGCGCAGAGGAAATATGGAAGTGCCTTTGACATGATGCACAGCGATCATGTTTGCGTTGGGCCAGATGCAAGGGCACCTGTCCCATGAGCAGGAGAGTCCACCGTTTAGGCAGCATACTTTTTGCAGCATCCGATACCACTGGTGATCAATGGCAATGTTTGCAACAGGTGTCCTCCTCAACTGGAGAACACCTGGACTGCCTAAACTAAACTTAGAGGGAAAAAAGGTGAAGTATGTTTGGGCGCAAATGGACAGTAGACTTTGCTTGCTGCTTTTGCTGGCAACATGTTGAACCTTGCATCTATTTCATTATATTTCTCAACAGGGCACTACTGATAGGGCATTGTTGATGTGTAGTGGTGAGGGGATCTTGTGCCAGTTTGGAAGTAGACGGCGTGGAGTTTGATGCGTTAGCGTTATCCATTTGCTACCCTTGCGATAAGTTTTCTTCAACGCAAAAATTCAGGATAGTATTATTTTTTCTTGCTTCAGTGGGGCTTCCAATGTTGAAACGATTGCAAACTTTTTGGGAGGATCGCAGGTCCAATGAAGATGAGTAGCCTCGAACAACTGCACCTGATCGGAAACCAAAATTCCCGTGTCGCCACAACATTGACGTTTGTAGAAACCAACAGTGCAAATATAGCCATCAGTGCCCGAGGCCTATAGCAAACAAAAACGAGATGCGGAGAAAAGGAAACGTTCCCAGCACTAAGTGCAAAGGGATTTTTTTATAAAATTTTTGTACAGGCCTTCAACGTCACGCGAGAGCGAGTGGGTAAAAATGATGGTGCAAGAACTGTTCAGCAATGACCTGTGCACTTGGAACACATGATCAAATATTGTAAATGGAGGATGCTGCAGGTGACTTCTGTGATTTTTTGATGTCCAGTTCCATCCAATATCGGAGGTTCCGGCGATGCATGTCGGTGAACGTGTGTTTTTTTTTTCAACGTTGCTTGGGCTCAAGGACCTCTCGGAGGTTCGGAGGAACTGTTTGATATCAATTGAGTCAATTGAGACGGTTTCCTCCTTTGGACGAACCCGAGCTGATCCTTTGTGGGTTCCTCGACTCCTCGACTGTCGTACATTTTCTCCAGGTTTCGTGGAAGCAATTAAGTTCATGCCAAAGACTGCGTTGATGGTTTCGAACAGTGTGCTTCCTTCCAAACTCAAAGAACTTTGTCATGGGACCCGTCAGGCGTTGAAAGGTTGCTTGGCCGCAGTTTGCGCTCATTTTGAGGAGTTGCACTTTTGAAGAACCATTTGTCATGTGTTGCTTTCTGTCAGATATAAGATCGATTGAGACACGGTCTTCTGCAGGGAACTAAACTTGATCGTCGGGTGAACAAAGCTCTGGAAGGTGCCGTGGCAGCCCTTTCTTGAATGACTTTTATTTTTTCATTGGACATTTTCAATTATGATTTGGTCGTTTTGTTTGGATTGTTGCGCAAAACCTTCAAGAATCATTGCATGTTTCAAACCTTCAAACTTTGCAGTCTCTGTGCCCACATTTTGATGCCAGAATGCTAGAAACATGCAGAGAGTTTTGTCTCCCAGAACTTGTACATACTGTCTCTTTGGCATTTGGCTTGACAGGCAACCAGCTGGGCAAGGCTCCGCTTTACGATTGCTTTTTTGTCTTTGGTTGTTCACTGTCTAGTGTTTCATGAGCGACACACTACTTTGTGAGGTTTTGTCATGTTGAAAATGGACTGCTCCTCAGATTTTGTTCACAATGGAGGTTGCTTAACTTCCTACTTTTGCGCACCACAGTCGCTCTCGTTCCTTTCCCGTTGAAGTGTTCAGGCACACAACTTTGAGAGCGTGGAGCCGGTGGTCGAGAAGGCCATAGAACCCATGGAGGTTGAGGAAGCTGCGGAACCGGAAGGTGAAGTGGAGAATTCCGTGTGGCTGAGGGCACGCAGAAAGCGTTGGGCGGATGAAACGGACACCGGTGAGGAAGAGAGTGAAGGGAAAGTTCCTTGACAGATGCCGAAAGATTTTCCACTGTTTTAGTGCAATGAAGTCGGAAGACATCACTTCTAGCTTGAGCAAGGTAACAGGTAACAATCCAAAACAACCTGAGCTTCACCCCATCTTCCTTGATAGATCTTGACAGAACAGGAACGGTTCTTTCGCAGGAATTGACCACCTTTCATTCAGCCCTCATGTCAAATCAGTGATGCTCAGGTTTCCTGCTGTAAAAAGTTCGAGTTCGGATCCCAGTTTCCACAATCAACAGGGCAGTGAGCCAACAGCATTTCATTTGCCAAAAATCGCGATCCCAGATTCTTAATCTTATCAACAACCGATACAAGAAGCAAGATGCAGCTTCCGCCGCTTTCATTTGAAGTTTCAAATTCCTTCCAGATCAGTGTTTTGAAGGTGGCTCATGCAAGCAGTGCACCCTTTTTTCTTCCCCAGGATTCTTGCTCGACCTAACTTTTATGATAAGTGATAAGTGTATGTTTGGTCGCATGTGAGCAGGTGTAAACATCACGAAAGGTAGCCTCCCAACGGGCTACCTGGAGTTTTACTTTGCGAAGCAAAGGGGTGGGCTGGACCCCTTATCCCTGAACGACCAGGAGAAAGGGACCCCCCCCTCCCCCCCTCCTCCCCTCCTATGGTACCTTCCTTCCATTTGGACCGCGGATGATTTTCTGCATGGCTCAACATCGTCATCATCATCATCATCATCGTCGTCGTCGTCGTCGTCGTTGTCGTCGTCGTCATCATCTTCATCATCATCATCGTCGTCATTCGTTTACCCAAACGCTCGGTTGTTTATGATTTATTAATGTTTCTGATGTTTATCTGATGATCATATGGCCCATGATATCATGTTCGGAATAACTCCCACCCATGAGAGTCTAACTTGGATGGTAACTAGGCAGCAGCTTTTTGAACCACGGCTATATTTTTCAGGATCCCTCTGATAATCTAAGCCACCAACGGATAGTATTCATTTTCAACATGTGGATCATCTACAACAAGTGGAACAATTAGTGGATTTTTGATTGGCTTGTTAGGGCATTCTGACGTTTAGCACACATGTGAGAAGGAAAAGGTCGGAGCCACTGATGATTTTGCACCATCAGGGATTTAGTGCGCCAGAGTTAGCATCGATTGAGTCAAGTGGCCCTGCATTATCATCATCATCAACATCGTCGTCATCATCATCATCATCATCATCATGATCATCAGCAGCGCAGAGCATCGACCACCCACCCTGCCATCTTATTATCATCACTTACCTGCGTCACCTGCGACACACCTGCCTTTCGTGTCCCCCCTTCTCAAGTGATGTTGTTGTATAATGCAAACCGTTTTGTGAAGGACTTTCTATGCATCACTCCTGCAACAAGCACTCCAGATCTCAACAAAAGACAGCCTAGGTTGCAGAAAGATTTCGGGAACATTGACATGATAATGGCGGCAAAGATGCTTGATAAGAAGTTGGGAAACCGGATGCCTTTGACTCTGCAGGTGGCTCGTCATGTGTTCGAACAATACCCGAAGTTCGTGTTTTGTGACACAGCGAGTGTTCATGCCAACGTGGCGGTCTTTGTTTTGTTGTGCTAGTACATTTTCGGATTCTTGCGGGGTGATGCTCCATTCTGAGGCCACGCCAGACCAAAACCCAGATTGACCACCGCAGATCCAAGCCAACTTACGCTGGAGCTGTTTGATGCACCCCAGTGCCTTGCAGCATCCCATTGATGTGTAGGTGTAGATTCCCTCCGTGTGCTTGAGATAAATGGCACGCATGAAAAGAACATGTGGAATTTGCTTCCCTTCAAACCTTGCTGCGAGCGAATGGATTGATTGAACGGAGATAATTTCCGTCAAGTTGAAGAGGCTCTCCGGCAGCCTTGTTCTTACACATAGACAGATGACAAATGATTCCGGACGTTGCACGAAGCTGTTTGATGCACCTCAGTGCCTTGCAGCATCCCATTGATGTGTAGATTCCCTCCGTGTGCTTGTGATAAATGGCACGCATGAAAAGAAAATGTGGAATAGCCGGGTTCGTGCTGGCAGGATTTTTTTCCTGACCCTGTGCCCAAAAATATTATCCCTCTAGGAAATTTGTTCAGCCCCAACTTTGGTATTTTCAAAGTTCAGGGGGGTTGTCCCATGGAAAAATATTCAGCGACACTGGGGTTGCAACCAAAGAAAAGTGTGGAGTTTCTCGGAACGGAGTTTGTTGGAGACTTGCAAAGGGATAAACAGGGCCTTGGCCACTGGAACTTTATCCAGAGATGTTTGCCCCCATGGTCCCACAATTGATTCTGGATATTTTTTGTGTACCATGTACGCCTGGGGGTTGTGCCCCTTTTTGGGAATGGACATTTATTCCGAAAAAAGCTTGGCCCCAAGAAATTTATCCGGGATAAATTTGGGTACAACCCCCTGTAGGCACCACACACGGGGATGTGGAATTTGCTTCCCTTCAAACCTTGCTGCGGGCGAATGGATTGAACGGAGATAATTTCCGTCAAGTTGAAGAGGCTCCCCGGCAGCGTTGTTCTTACACATAGACCGATGACAAATGATTGCGGACGTTGCACTCCTTGCAACTGTGGGTTGCCGAAGGTCAAAAGGGAACTTTTGTTGACCGATTTGCCCAATTTTCTTTGCGAAGAGCTGGAAAATGTGATGGTCCCCAGCATTCTTGTGGACTTGCTCAGGTGGAAGCATATGAGGAGTGTGTAATCCTGGGGAAGTGTGTAGGACGCCATGTTCTTCCTGTGCGCTTAGACAGGAAGATGCATTGCTTGGAAAGATCAGTGTTTGTCCGTTCAGCTACAATCAGACATGTGTTGCAACTTGCAACAGCGAAAGCCAAAATGCGTGGAAGCCTTTGCTCCTGTCGTAGATGCCATATGCAAAGCAAACGGCAGTCTTGAGCCACAGTTTTATCATTTGTCATGGCTGTTGAGAGCACATAGAGACTTCACAGCAGAAGAGCTTATATCTCTATTCCGAAGCAGTTCAAAGAGAGGATGCTTTTGTGACGAGGATAGGGATGGAAAGTCAGTCCTTGAAATCCTTGGAAGGTGGTGTATAGCACCCCGGAAGGCTCGCTGCTTGGAAAGCTTGGCAGAGCGTCAACTTGTTTGCGCAACTTGCTGCAAGCACACTAAAAGCAAAAGCCACAGCAGGGGTAAAAAGTTACCTGGTTGGAAGCTGCGCGGGCAAAGAAAAGGCAGTCTTAAGCAGATGTTCACATAGCATCAACCCATTCCACTGCATTTAGAAGCAAGTTGAAGAGGCTCCCCGGCAGCGTTGTTCTTACACATAGACCGATGACAAATGATTGCGGACGTTGCACTCCTTGTAACTGTGAGTTGCCGAAGGTCAAAAGGGAACTTTTGTTAACAGATTTGCCCAACTTCTCTTTGCGAAGAGCTGGAAAATGTGAGGATCCTCGGCATTCTGGTGGAGTTGCTCAGTTTCGTCCCAATGTCGCCCTAGCATTTTTGTTGACTCCAGGCATGACGAGAGCGCTCGAAAGATTCACAGCAGAAGCATTTGCATCTCTATTCAACCAAGTCAAGGAGAGGATGCTCATGTGGCAACAACAAGCATTAAAGTCTTGCCCCACCTACCCGCATACCTCTTCGATAGCATGTCCAAGCAAATCCATCCAATCCATCATTTCTTCCTGCGAGTGGGACTTGAATACTGTGGGAAAGATGCACAGGAGATGCAAGGTTTTGCAGATTCCCTCCATGTGCTTGTGATAAATAGCACAGATGAAAAGAGAACGTGGAGTTTGCTTCCCTTCAAACCTTGCTGCGGACGGATTGATTGATTGATTGATTGATTGAACGGGAAACATTTCCGTCAAGCTGATTCCGACTGCAGCAATCCTGTCCTGTTCTTCTGGGAAGCGCAGAAAGTTCACAGTGCAAGAGTTTTATCGTAAATCTGAACAAAGTCAGAGAGAGGATGTTTGAGTGGCAAGGATTCCGGTGGCATCGTTTCAAGCAACTTTCCTCTCAGTTTACTCACAATTTTCAACGCCCGTGGTGTGAGAGGCTTTCCACGCGGTCCTTTGCCATGGGCTGTCGAGGGGCTTTTTCTTGCTGTGGACGGATTCATTGATTGAACGGAAGCAATATGAAACAATATTCGTCAAGCTCAAGAGTCTCTCCGGCAGCATTTTTCTTACAGACAGACATATGAGAAATGAATGCGGGCCTTGCACTCCTTGCAACTGTAGGTTGCCAACAGATTTGCCCAACTTCTCTTTGCGAAGAGCTGGAAAATGTGATGGTCCCCAGCATTCTTGTGGACTTGCTCAGGTGGAAGCATATGAGGATGGTGCAATCCTGGGGAAGCGTGTAGAACACCATGTTGCGCCACATCCAAAGCACACAGGAAGATGCATTGCTTGGAAAGATCAGTGTTTGTCCGTTCAGCTACAATCAGACATGTGTTGCAACTTGCAACAGCGAAAGCCAAAATGCGTGGAAGCCTTTGCTCCTGTCGTAGACGCCATGTGCAAACCGCAGGCTTCAGCCATGGTTTGACAATATGTCAGTCATGGCTGTGGAAAAAGTTCTGCTGAGCAAATTAACCTTACCCGGCTATGCGCTTGCTGGAAAATGAGCGAAATGAAATGAGCCAAGGCTTTGGATTTTTCTTGCCTGGACACGCTCTTGAACTCGCTTCACAGAAGGTCACCAAGGAGCTTCATTGCTGCATGTTTGATGAATCCTTGCTGTATTGCGCATGCTGGGGAAGTGTGAAGAAATGACCAGCAAGCCACAAGACAAGCTTGGCGGGAGGACTGCCGAAAATTCTGGCTATGCATCGCTGTGTCAAATGTCACATGCTCATTTGAGGAGGCCGAAGTTGTCCAGAGCAGATTACGGCTGAAGTGGCTTTCGGAAAGCAGACTTGCACAGTTCCGCAGTTTCTTCCCAATGTCGTCCTAGCATGTGTCTTGACTCCAGGCATGAGGAGAGCGCTCGAACGAAATCAAACGAACAAAGTTTTTGGATTCTGCTTGCCTGGGGGACCCTTTTGAAGTCGTTTCACAGAAGGTCACCAAGGAGCTTCATTGCTGCAGGTTTGATGAATCCTTGCTGTATTGCGCGTGCTTGGGAAGCATAAAGAAATTGACCAGCAAGCAACAAGATAAGCTTTGCTGGAGGTCTGCCGAAAATTCTTGAGGAGCACGAAGTTGTCCAGATCAAATTACGGCTCTGTGTGCTCAAGTGTGTGTTTGGCAAGCAGACTTCCGCCGTTCCACTCTTTCGAGCATGTGTTTTGACACCGGGCATGAAAGCGGTCCAAAAATTCACAGCAGAAGAATTTGCATCTCTATTCCCAGCCACGTCAAAGAGAGGATGCTCTTGTGGCAACAAGGAACGGAGACTCAAAGCGGGTCACTATTCCTGAAAAGGATTTGGCCTGGCTTTCCAAGGAGCACATAGAGACTTCACAGCAGAAGAGCTTATATCTCTATTCCGAAGCAATTCAAAGAGAGGATGCTTTTGCGACGAGGATAGGGATGTAAAGTCAATCCTTGAAATCCTTGGAAGGTGGTGTATAGCCCCGCGGAAGGCTCGGATTCATCTTTTTCTCCAGTTGCAAAGATTTAATTGTCTGCACAGCTTGCTACACGCACATTAAAAATTAGAGCACGAGGAAACCGTTGCTTGCTATAGCCTTGCAGTGCAAACCAACATGCCATTTGATAAAAAGAGAATGTGGAGTTTGCTTTCCTTCAAACCTTGCTGCGGACGGACCATTGATTGAACGGCAACCATTTCCGTTGAGCTGAAGAGCCTCTCACCTAAAGATTTGAACCACATGGACCGCAGATTTCTCAGGGCTGCTCCGATTGCAATCTAAGGGAGGCGCGTTCAAGTGAACCCCATAGCTGGCTGCAAGCATGCTAAAGGCCAAAATGTTGCAGTGCTTGCAAAGCCCATTGGCAGACAAAATGTCCTACCCGCATACCTCTTCGATAGCATGTCCAAGCAAATCCATCCAATCCATCATTTCTTCCTGCGAGTGGGACTTGAATACTGTGAGAAAGATGCACAGGAGATGCAAGGTTTTGCAGATTCCCTCCATGTGCTTGTGATAAATAGCACAGATGAAAAGAGAACGTGGAGTTTGCTTCCCTTCAAACCTTGCTGCGGACGGATTGATTGATTGATTGATTGATTGATTGAACGGGAAACATTTCCGTCAAGCTGATTCCGACTGCAGCAATCCTGTCCTGTTCTTCTGGGAAGCGCAGAAAGTTCACAGCGCAAGAGTTTTATCGTAAATCTGAACAAAGTCAGAGAGAGGATGTTTGAGTGGCAAGGATTCCGGTGGCATCGTTTCAAGCAACTTTCCTCTCAGTTTACTCACAATTTTCAACGCCCGTGGTGTGAGAGGCTTTCCACGCGGTCCTTTGCCATGGGCTGTCGAGGGGCTTTTTCTTGCTGTGGACGGATTCATTGATTGAACGGAAGCAATATGAAGCAATATTCGTCAAGCTCAAGAGTCTCTCCGGCAGCATTTTTCTTACAGACAGACATATGAGAAATGAATGCGGGCCTTGCACTCCTTGCAACTGTAGGTTGCCAACAGATTTGCCCAACTTCTCTTTGCGAAGAGCTGGAAAATGTGATGGTCCCCAGCATTCTTGTGGACTTGCTCAGGTGGAAGCATATGAGGATGGTGCAATCCTGGGGAAGCGTGTAGAACACCATGTTGCGCCACATCCAAAGCACACAGGAAGATGCATTGCTTGGAAAGATCAGTGTTTGTCCGTTCAGCTACAATCAGACATGTGTTGCAACTTGCAACAGCGAAAGCCAAAATGCGTGGAAGCCTTTGCTCCTGTCGTAGACGCCATGTGCAAACCGCAGGCTTCAGCCATGGTTTGACAATATGTCAGTCATGGCTGTGGAAGAAGTTCTGCTGAGCAAATTAACCTTACCCGGCTATGCGCTTGCTGGAAAATGAGCGACATGAAATGAGCCAAGGCTTTGGATTTTTCTTGCCTGGACACGCTCTTGAACTCGCTTCACAGAAGGTCACCAAGGAGCTTCATTGCTGCATGTTTGATGAATCCTTGCTGTATTGCGCGTGCTTGGGAAGCATAAAGAAATTGACCAGCAAGCAACAAGATAAGCTTTGCTGGAGGTCTGCCGAAAATTCTTGAGGAGCACGAAGTTGTCCAGATCAAATTACGGCTCTGTGTGCTCAAGTGTGTGTTTGGCAAGCAGACTTCCGCCGTTCCACTCTTTCGAGCATGTGTTTTGACACCGGGCATGAAAGCGGTCCAAAAATTCACAGCAGAAGAATTTGCATCTCTATTCCCAGCCACGTCAAAGAGAGGATGCTCTCGCAGCAAAGAAAGGGTTTGACAGGTCTTTCAAGGTCTTACCCAAACCACTCCCAAAGGCAAGACAACCGAGCTGGAACAGAGACTCACAGCGGACGTTTATTCCTGAATATATGTTTAAATTGGCCTGGCCTGCCTGCCAAGGAGCACATCGAGACTTCACAGCAGAAGAGCTTTTATAGTTATTCGGAAGCAAGTCGAAGAGATGATGGTCGTGTGGTGGGGATAAGGATGGGGAGTTGGAAGGTGGTGTAGCACCCGGGAAGCCTCGCTGCTTGAAACTTGCTGCAAGCACACTAAGAGCCAGAGCATGGGGAAAACGTTGCTAGCTATAGCTTTGCAATACAAGGCGCCATGCCAGTCATATTGAATTGCGCTCCAACCTAAAGATTTGAACCACATGGACTGCAGATTTCCCAGGGCTGCTCCGATTGCAATCTAAGGGAGGCGCGTTCAAGTGAACCCCATAGCTGGCTGCAAGCATGCTAAAGGCCAAAATGTTGCAGTGCTTGCAAAGCCCATTGGACCTGAACGCAGACAAAATGTCCTACCCGCATACCTCTTCGATAGCATGTCCAAGCAAATCCATCCAATCCATCATTTCTTCCTGCGATTGGGACTTGAATACTGTGAGAAAGATGCACAGGAGATGCAAGGTTGAAAAATAGGCGGTGCTACTGCACTTAGTCTAGTTTCTTGAGTGCAGGCCCCTGCAACCCATTGCATTGATCTCTTTTGCTCAACAGCAATAATCCGAGTGCTGGTGTTGTATGTCGCTTGTGCTGCAGACGCTCCTCGCTTGTACAAGTCTCCGGATTGTTGGCTATCACAGAGTTTGTGTGCAGTTGAATCAAACAGAGTGATTTGTAGTCCCTGGAAGAACGCTGTTCAGAGACACGCAAAGCGGGGCAGAGGTCGCAAAGCAACACGTCAACACTCACTGCTTGAAAAGTTTGATGCTTCTTTTTCTCCAGCAGCAGAGCGTCAAATTGTCTACACGGCTTGCTGCAAGAACGCTCAAGGCCAGAGCAGGGTTAAAAGGTTGCTTGGTTGGAAGCTGCGCTTGCAAAAAAGTGGCAGATTGAAGCGGCTGTTCACAGAGGCTTCAGCCCATTCCACAGCGTTTAAGAACTTTCCTCACAGTTGTGTGCGTGGGGAGATGATGCACATGAGAAAGGCATGTTGCTTTGGTTTGCCGCCTAAACTCACTTCCTCTGGAGCCAACTTTTCAACCTTTTCTGGGTTGCAGGATCATGATCGAAGGACATTATGAAATGAGCGCCCACATGGAATTGAAAAGCAGCAGTTTGGTTTGGGCGTTTGCCTTGCAAGGTGAACGCGCAGCGTACCAGAGACCTTCCTTTTGATTCTTTGATGGTTTGGCAATGTGCATTTGCGTGTTGTCACTGAAATTAGCCTGCCATAGCTGATTCTCCGGACTTTGGGGCGTAAGACTTTGCCACTGAAAACACAAACCAGCATTCACACATTCACAAGGCATTTGGCGTTGCCGCTCGAAAAAGAAGGCACATGTTTAGTGACCATAGGCGCGGTTCTTTCAATCAAGTCACACCGACATCCTGGTATTGAGAAAAGTTCATTTTTTTCCCTATCAGGAGTTTAGAGAAGTCAGTAAAGCAAGGGAGAAACCAACTCAGTAGTAGGAGCATCGCAGCAATGAAAGCTGCCGACCAATCTTGCAGCATTCTTGCCCCATCTTTTTCAGGAGCACACCGAAAGTTCACCGCAGAAGAGTTTGTATTTTTATTCCTAACCAAGCCAAAAAGAGAATGCTCTTGTGGTGAGGATAAGCATGGGGCAGTTCTTGCAATCTCCTGCGTAAACCACGCCCAGTGGCGAGCAAGGCGAGCAGGAATAGAGACTCAAAGCCGACTGCATCAGTTCTGTCCCGTTTTTCTGGGAACTGCAGAAAGTTCACAGCCCAAGAGTTTTCATCGCAATTCTGAACGAAGTGAGAGAGGATGTTTTGGTGGCAAGGATTCGGGTGAGTGTAGCATGTAGCATCTCATGCGCAAAGAGAAAAGCTCTGTGGTGGGAGTGCAGCCACAAGACCCATGGTGGACTTATGTCCCAGCATGATTTGAGGCACCGGAAATTGCCAACAGTGGATTATGCCTCGAAATTCAACTGGGTTTGTCAAAGCAGAGTTGCTCAGTTCCACGGTGGGACTTGCCCGATGCCATGCTGCTCTGACGGCCTCTTGCAATGTCTTAGTCTTGCTCTCCTGCGTAGTTGTTTTGTTGTACGAATGTGCACAGGTCCTTTCCTTTTTGTGCAGCCTGCCCGTGCAGCCCACATCGTTTCAAGAAGCTTTCCATGCAATTTACTCACAGTTTGGAATGGGCTTGGTGCGAGAGGCAAGATGTTTAGAACCAACAAAGTTGAGAGAAACGTGTTTTATCATTTCTCTTGAGTTGGTAAGTGGTGTCAATGTTGAACTTGCAAAAAGAGATGGTTTGCTTTCTATGAGGTCCTGTGCCATGGGCTGTTGTGGCAAGATGATAGCGCTGGCAAGCTGCCACAGACTCACGAGGGTGTGTCGGCAACAGGCTAAACATGAAAGACTGCACCAGGGAATCCACACAATGTTTTGGATATGTATTTTCCTCCTTGCATCAAGAGCTCTGGTCGACTTGCAGCCACGGCAACGACGTCTTCAGTGGCCATTGCCTTCAGAAGGATGACATCTTGTTTTCGCCAAGTGCCTACAATGCAGGTCAGTTTTGCCTGCAATGTCAACCACAACTGCAATTGCTGCAGAAGCCGACTCCGTTCCTGTCACCTCGGAAGGTGCATACATTATCATTGGGTGACTTTTCCTGGGTGTTGCATTGAGACGGAGCTTTGTTGGTGTGAGAAGGTTTTGACATGTCACATGTCAAAGCGCTTCAAGCCGTTGCTGGGGATCACAAGCCGCTTCTTGCGGCGGCATCGCAGTCTTGGGATCGTAGAATCTTTGGACCAGCGTAATTTTTGCCACCAGGTCACCATGTCAAGAGATTCCCAAGCCCCGACAGCTCCGCACAGTTGATTGCTTTACCAAGCCAAGTCAAGTTTCCATGCCCAAGGGATTTTTGTTCCTGTCTGTCCCAGAGCATTGCAATTTCGCCGGCTACTTCACCCAAGTGTGAGCAACGATGACTCGAAGGACTTGCAGTGGTGTTGAAGAAACCCAGATTAAGAAAGTGTTGAAAGGCGCCCAAAAAACACACACCGTCGAGGGTATCACTTCGATGTTGCGGAGCCTGCGTTCCACGCTTGCGTCCTTTCCAAGCAAGACATGCAAGATGGGATGTCCAGTGCTGGAAATTGTCAAAGATTTGTGTACTGCTCCCATGTTGATAAATAGCACAAAGTATGTCATGAGTTATGATGTGACAGCCAGTGCCAGAAGTGTTCGCAAGATAGAGCGAAACTGTCCACTAACGAAAGCACCGAGCATTCTAGCTACTTCACCCAAGTGTGAGCAACGACAGTGGACTTCCAGTGGTGGTGAAGAAATTCAGATTCAGAAAGTGTTGAAAGGCGCCCAAAAAGTCTCACTGTCGAGGGTATCACTTCGATGAAACATGTTGGGTTTTCAAGTTCCCAATAGTTGGAAATTCAAATTTCAAACTATGGGTAAGACGGTTTCCATCCACGCATCCAGGCTTGAAATTCAGATTTCAGCTGTTCTCTCCACCCCTTCCTTTATTTTCGGACTTTACTTCGAAGTATAGCTTCTGGATGCTTCTGGCTGCATTTCAACAGCTAGCATGTGAATTCTGTCCGTTGCTACCTGTTGATTTTAACATGTGATTTTCCACTGCCGAATGTGTGCATTCAGTTGAAATTCAGTCACCAAGTGGCAGCGTTGGACATTAGCCTCTCATCGCTTGCGTCACAATGGCAAACGTTGGGTCAAGTGGTGGAAGGCGACGTAGCAACCAACCAAGGCCGCAAAGCACACGGCAGACTCGCCTAGAGCTGCCGGCCAAGCATGGTTGAACCCCAAGAAGAACAAAAGGATATAAAAAGGATATATAAGAGTTCAGTAGCCAAAGGTCTTCATGACCTGGTTGAACCATGACCTGCCAAAAATCATATAGTCTTATATATAAGACTCTCACTGCTTCGACTTTCAAGAACCAGACCAAAATCACAGCTCGCTGCAAAGAGTGCGTTGTTGACTGTGACCAACCGTTTTCTTTTGGATGGACAGAGCCTGGGCAACTGCGAGTTGAAGAAAGTGGGGAACCCAGAAAGTCCAAAATTCGAACTTCCAACTTCCACGAATATGCAATTCAGCCTCATCCCGCATGTTGCGGAGCCATTCCACGCTTGCGTAATTTCCAAGCAAGACATGCAAGATGGGATGTCCAGTGCTGTGCATATTTGGCTGATCGCACTTCCTTGTCTATTAAGGAAGCTGTCAGAGAATTGGGTATTTCTCCCAAGTGCTAGCGGCATTGTCAAAGAGCGCCCACGCATGTCAAGCTGTTGAGGCTATCACTTCGATTGCGAAGAGCCTACGTTCCACGCTCGCACGACTCAAATCAACACATGGAAGGTGCGCCAACTTGAGTTGAAGGGAGGATATGAGTGCAGACGCTCAAACACATGAACTCGAGTGCTGCGTGTGTTTGAAAGAGAAGATGGAGAGAGCTGTCCTTTTTCCAAAGGAAGGAAACTTGTGCATATCTCTTGCAGCTTGGGCCAATAGTGAGCCCAAACAACTCAAAGGTATTTGCGGTCATTCAACCAGGATGGGGAAATTGAATTTTGTCCTAGAACGAAGAATCGATAGACGGATGGACCAAAAGGCAGGAGCAAGAAGGGACGAGAAAGTTCAGACACAACAACAGCTACTGCCTGAGCAGCCGCCTTTGAACCTTTCCAGGAAAATCGCACTTTTTGTGGAGGGGTTTGTGAGAGGATCGCATGACACATCTTCAGTGCTGGCCAATTCTAGAAAATACTTCTGTGGTTCCTTTCAATCCTCTTGAGGTGTCAATGAGGTATGCTGCACCAGCTGTGCTGAAATGCTGTGCGGAAATCGGATTAGAGGTGGATCTTCTGATCGGACACAGCCACGGCAGCCTTGTGGTCAACAGTCTTGCCAGCTTGTTCAAGCGGCTGGGTCAAGAGTGTTCGGTGATCTTCTTGGATCCCCGAACTACTGAGAATCAGCTGTGGTCCTTACCGATGTCCACAGCCTATACCAGCGTTCAGAATGTGTCATACCCACTGTTCAGGCTTTCAGGCGAAGTTTCTTTCTCTGCGCCATTTGTTCCACACCCTCTCTTCAAGGAGGCAGAGAGACTGTACCAAGAGGGTATAAGAATCGCACCGAAAACTGCCGTCTGGAGTGATGCTCTCATCGCACACATGAAGGACGCAAATCACGCAGGGGTCCCCAAATTCTATGACATTTCTACACAGATCCAACAAATGCAACGGCAGAAAGACGCTGGGCGTGTGGCACCCGCGCAATGAGCTCGTCGTTTCGGGATCTCATGAGAAGGAAGCGTGCTTGCAGTAGGCGGCTTGCCAGACATGCAGTTTGTTCGTTCGAAATGAGCACCTCTTCGTACTGCTGCGCATCACAAAGCCACATGTTGCCGGACCTGCACGCACTGGTTTGTTCAAAAGTTCAATGCAGCCTTGCTTCTCGTTTCAACAACGGTCAAACATGGAAGTTGGCGACTTGCAATAGAGGTCAGGGACAAAAGCAAGCAGCTTCGGAGGCTTTGCCAAGCCAGCCTTTAGAGGCTTCAGAGACTTCAGCAGAACGACAGCTCACAGCTGAAGGACGACTCAAATACCCACAATTCCAATGTCAACGGAGGCCCATGACTTCTCATCCATTTCAAGGTATTTGACAGCTCTCTTCCTTTGCCCAACGCTATGTTGGTGGCAACCACACACCAATCCAGATGGGGAAAGAACACAAACCATAGTCCATGGCATATGTTTGACCTGAGTGTCCCTTTCTCTTCGATCAAGATGGTCCGACAAGACACGCACACACACACAGATGGACGAAGTTCCCACAAGAGATGCAGATCGAAAGCGGACGCCAGCATGGCAGCTTTTGTAGGGTTGGTGTGATTGTGATGTACTTTACACATCTACTCTTGGCTGCAGATTCACACACTGGCACTACGCCCTGGCCCCGTGTACCGCCAGGAAATTGGCGTTCCTAATCAAGCCAAAGAGAGGGTGCTCTTGTGGTGAGGATAAGGATGGGTCAGTTTTTCCAACATCTTGCGCAAACCACGCCCAGAAGCCAGCAGGAGCCAGCGGCCGACTGCATTAATACTGTTCCGTTTTTCTGGGAAGCGCAGAACGTTCACAGCCCATTCTTTTGAATTGTAATTCTGAACGAAGTCAGAGAGAGAATGTTTTGATGGCAGGGATTCCTTGTGGGCGTAGCATCTCATGTGCAAAGAGAAAGCTCTGTGGTGGGAGTTTTGAGCCACAAAACCCGTGGTGTACACCGGCCAGCATGATTTGAGGCACCGGACATTGTCAAGAGTAGATTAGGTTATGCCTCGACATTCAACTGTGTTTGTCAAAGCAGAGTTGCTCAGTTCCATGGTGAGATCTGCCCGATGCCATACTGCTCTGACGGCGCCTTGCAATTTCTCAGACTTGCTCGCCTGCGTAGGTGTTTTATTTTTCAAATGTGCGCAGGTCCTTTGCCTTTTGGGCAGCCTACCCATGCAGCCTACATCGTTTCAAGCAGCTTTTCATTCAGTTTACTCACATTTTGGGACAGGCTTGGTGTGAGAGGCAAGATGGTTGGGGCAAACGCAGTTGGGAGAACTGTTTTTCTTGATTTGGGCAGTGTCAATGTTGAATTTGCGAAAAGACATGGTTTGCTTTCTATCAGGTCCTGTGCCATGCGCTGTTGTGGCAAGATGATAGCGCTGGCAAGCTGCCACAGACTCAGGAGGGTGTGTCGGCAACAGGCTAAACATGAAAGACTGCACCAGGGAATCCACACAATGTTTTGGATATGTATTTTCCTCCTTGCATCAAGAGTCGGTGGCCATTGCCTTCAGAAAGATGACATCTTTTTTTCGCCAAGTGCCTACAATGCAGGTCAGTTTTGCCTGCAATGTCAACCACAACTGCAATTGCTGCAGAAGCCGACTCCGTTCCTGTCACCTCGGAAGGTGCATACATTATCATTGGGTGACTTTTCCTGGGCGTTGCATTGAGACGGAGCTTTGTTGGTGTGAGAAGGTTTTGACATGTCACATGTCAAAGCGCTTCAAGCCGTTGCTGGGGATCACAAGCTTCTTCTTGCGGCGGCATCGCAGTCTTGGGATCGTAGAATCCTTGGAGCGGACTCATTTTTGCCACCAGGTCACCATGTCAAGAGCTTCCCAAGCCTCGACAGCTCCGCACAGTTGATTGCTTTGCCAAGGCAAGTTTCCATGCCCGGAGGATTTTTGTACCTCTCTGTCCCAGAACATTGCAATTCCATGCTTACATGATTTCCCATCAAGATATGTAAGTGCATTGAAGAAGTGCCTGTCAACCTTAGTGCAGTGACGAAATGGCTGTCATTGGTGAAGATGCACGCAGCTAAAGTTTTTACGTGACAGCCAGCGCCAGAAACCAACTCCGATTTCTAACCGGGTAACTGTTCGAAAGATAGAGTGACACTGTCCACGGACGAAACTACCGTGTATATTCACTCTTTCACCCGAGTGTGTATTTCTTCGATGTTGCGGAGCCTACATTCCACGCTTGCATCAAGAGGCCGGACGTCCAGTGCTGTGCAGTGTATGTTTGGCTGATTACACTTCCCTGTCTATTCAGGAAGCTAGCAGAGAGTTGGGTATTTCTCCCAAGTGCTAGTCGCAGTGTCAAGAGTGCCCACTCGTATCATTCCAATCAACACATGGAAGGAGTGCCAGCTTGAGTTGAAGGGAGGGTATGAGTGCATACAATCAAATACACCAACTCGAATGCTGCGTATCTTGGAAAAGTGAGATGGAGAGAGTCGTCCTCTTTCCAAACGGGAAAGCTGGTGAATATCTCTTGCAACTTGTGGCCATTAGTGAGCCCAAATAACTCCAAGGTATTCGCAGTCACGGGCTGGGTCCCGCAAAGGTGAAATATTTTGCCCAAGAAGGATTGAACTGTTCTGGGAATCTGGGAATAAAGCACTTCTTGTGGAGGGGTTTGTGAGAGGATCACATGACACATCTTCAGTGCTGGCCCAATTCTAGAAAATACTTCTGTGGTTCCTTTCAATCCTCTTGAGGTGTCAATGAGGTATGCTGCACCGGCTGTGCTGAAATGCTGTGCGGAAATCGGATTAGAGGTGGATCTTCTGATCGGACACAGCCACGGCAGCCTTGTGGTCAACAGTCTTGCCAGCTTGTTCAAGCGGCTGGGTCAAGAGTGTTCGGTGATCTTCTTGGATCCCCGAACTACCGAGAATCGGCTGTGGTCCTTACCGATGTCCACAGCCTATACCAGCGTTCAGAATGTGTCATACCCACTGTTCAGGCTTTCAGGCGAAGTTTCTTTCTCTGCGCCATTTGTTGTTCCACACCCTCTCTTCAAGGAGGCATTCAAGGAGGCAGAGAGACTGTACCAAGAGGGTATAAGAATCGCACCGAAAACTGCCGTCTGGAGTGATGCTCTCATCGCACACATGAAGGACGCAAATCACGCAGGGGTCCCCAAATTCTATGACATTTCTACACAGATCCAACAAATGCAACGGCAGAAAGACGCTGGGCGTGTGGCACCCGCGCAATGAGCTCGTCGTTTCGGGATCTCATGAGAAGGAAGCGTGCTTGCAGTAGGCGGCTTGCCAGACATGCAGTTTGTTCGTTCGAAATGAGCACCTCTTCGTACTGCTGCGCATCACAAAGCCACATGTTGCCGGACCTGCACGCACTGGTTTGTTCAAAAGTTCAATGCAGCCTTGCTTCTCGTTTCAACAACGGTCAAACATGGAAGTTGGCGACTTGCAATAGAGTTCAGGGACAAAAGCAAGCAGCTTCAGAGGCTTTGCCAAGCCAGCCTTTGGAGGCTTCAGAGACTTCAGCAGAACGACAGCTCACAGCTGAAGGACGACTCAAATACCCACAATTCCAATGCCAACGGAGGCCCATGACTTCTCATCCATTTCAAGGTATTTGACAGCTCTCTTCCTTTGCCCAACGCTATGTTGGTGGCAACCACACACCAATCCAGACGGGGAAAGAACACAAACAAAAGTGCATGGCATATGTTTGACCTGAGAGTGCCTTTCTCTTCGATCAAGACGTTCCGACAAGACACGCACACACGCACACAGATGGACGAAGTTCCCACAAGAGATGCAGATCGAAAGCGGACGTCAGCATGGCAGCTTTTGTAGGGTTGGTGTGATTGTGATGTACTTTACACATCTACTCTTGGCTGCAGATTCACACACTGGCACTACGCCCTGGCCCCGTGTACCGCCAGGAAATTGGCGTTCCTAACCAAGCCAAAGAGAGGGTGCTTTTGTGGTGAGGATAAGGATGGGTCAGTTCATTAATTCTATTCCGTTTGTCTGGGAAGCGCAGAACGTTCACAGCCCATTTTTTTGAATCGGAATTCTGAACGAAGTCAGAGAGAAAATGTTTTGATGGCAAGGATTCCTTGTGGGCGTAGCATCTCATGTGCAAAGAGAAAACTCTGTGGTGAGAGTTTTGAGCCACAAAACCCGTGGTGTACACCGGCCAGCATGATTTGAGGCACCGGACATTGTCACGAGTAGATTAGGTTATGCCTCGAAATTCAACTGTGTTTGTCAAAGCAGAGTTGCTCAGTTCCATGGTGAGATCTGCCCGATGCCATACTGCTCTGACGGCGCCTTGCAATTTCTCAGACTTGCTCGCCTGCGTAGGTGTTTTATTTTTCAAATGTGCGCAGGTCCTTTGCCTTTTGGGCAGCCTACCCATGCAGCCTACCCATGCAGCCTACATCGTTTCAAGCAGCTTTTCATTCAGTTTACTCACACTTTGGGACAGGCTTGGTGTGAGAGGCAAGATGGTTGGGGCAAACGCAGTTGGGAGAACTGTTTTTCTTGATTTGTGCAGTGGTGTCAATGTTGAATTTGCGAAAAGACATGGTTTGCTTTCTATGAGGTCCTGTGCCATGGGCTGTTGTGGCAAGATGATAGCGCTGGCAAGCTGCCACAGACTCACGAGGGTGTGTGGGCAACAGGCTAAACATGAAAGACTGCACCAGGGAATCCACACAATGTTTTGGATATGTATTTTCCTCCTTGCATCAAGAGCTCTGGTCGACTTGCAGCCACGGCAACGACGCCTTCGGTGGCTATTGCCTTCAGAAAGATGACATCTTTTTTTCGCCAAGTGCCTCCTACAATGCAGGTCAGTTTTGCTTGCAATGTAAACCACAATTGCAATTGCTGCAGAAGCCGACTCCGTTCCTGTCACCTCGGAAGGCGCATACATTCTCATTGGGTGACTGGTCCTGGGCGTTGCATTGAGACGGAGCTTTGTTGGTGTGAGAAGGTTTTGACATGTCACATGTCAAAGCGCTTCAAGCTGTTGCTGGGGATCACAAGCCGCTTCTTGCGGCGGCATCGCAGTCTTGGGATCGTAGAACCCTTGGAGCGGACTCATTTTTGCCACCAGGTCACCATGCCAAGAGATTCCCAAGCCTCGACAGCTCCGCACAGTTGATTGCTTTACCAAGCCAAGTCAAGCTTCCATGCCCAAGGGATTTTTGTTCCTGTCTGTCCCAGAGCATTGCAATTTCACCGGCTACTTCACCCAAGTGTGAGCAACGATGACTCGAAGGACTTGCAGTGGTGTTGAAGAGACCCAGATTAAGAAAGTGTTGAAAGGCGCCCAAAGAAAACACACCGTCGAGGGTATCACTTCGATGTTGCGGAGCCTGCGTTCCACGCTTGCGTCCTTTCCAAGCAAGACATGCAAGATGGGATGTCCAGTGCTGGAAATTGTCAAAGACTTGTGTACTGCTCCCATGTTGATGAATAGCACAAAGTATGTCATGAGTTATGATGTGACAGCCAGTGCCAGAAGTGTTCGCAAGATAGAGCGAAACTGTCCACTAACGAAAGCACCGAGCATTCTGGCTACTTCACCCAAGTGTGAGCAACGACAGTTTGAAGGACTTCCAGTGGTGGTGAAGAAATTCAGATTCAGAAAGTGTTGAAAGGCGCCCAAAAAGTCTCACTGTCGAGGGTATCACTTCGATGAAACATGTTGGGTTTTCAAGTTCCCAACAGTTGGAAATTCACATTTCAAACTATGGGTAAGATGGTTTCCATCCACACATCCAGGCTTGAAATTCAGATTTCAGCTGTTCTTTCCACCCCTTCCTTTATTTTCGGACTTTACTTCGAATAATAGCTTCTGGCTGCATTTCAACAGCTAGCATGTGAATTCTGTCCATTGCTACCTGTTGATTTTAACATGTGATTTTCCACTGCCGAATGTGTGCATTCAGTTGAAATTCAGTCACCAAGTGGCAGCGTTGGACATTAGCCTCTCATCGCTTGCGTCACAATGGCAAATGTTGGGTCAAGTGGTGGAAGGCGACGTAGCAACCAACCAAGGCCGCAAAGCACACGGCAGACTCGCCTAGAGCTGCCGGCCAAGCATGGTTGAACCCCAAGAAGAACAAAAGGATATAAAAAGGATATATAAGAGTTCAGTAGCCAAAGGTCTTCATGACCTGGTTGAACCATGACCTTCCAAAAATCATATAGTCTTATATTTAAGACTCTCACTGCTTCGACTTTCAAGAACCAGACCAAAATCACAGCTCGCTGCAAAGAGTGCGTTGTTGACTGTGACCAACCGTTTTCTTTTGGATGGACAGAGCCTGGGCAACTGCGAGTTGAAGAAAGTGGGGAACCCAGAAAGTCCAAAATTCGAACTTCCAACTTCCACGAATATGCAATTCAGCCTCATCCCGCATGTTGCGGAGCCATTCCACGCTTGCGTAATTTCCAAGCAAGACATGCAAGATGGGATGTCCAGTGCTGTGCATATTTGGCTGATCACACTTCCTTGTCTATTAAGGAAGCTGTCAGAGAATTGGATATTTCTCCCAAGTGCTAGCGGCATTGTCAAAGAGCGCCCACGCATGTCAAGCTGTTGAGGCTATCACTTCGATTGCGAAGAGCCTACGTTCCACGCTCGCACGATTCAAATCAACACATGGAAGGTGCGCCAACTTGAGTTGAAGGGAGGATATGATATGAGTGCAGACGCTCGAACACATGAACTCGAGTGCTGCGTGTGTTTGAAAGAGAAGATGGAGAGAGCTGTCCTTTTTCCAAAGGAAGGAAACTTGTGCATATCTCTTGCAGCTTGGGCCAATAGTGAGCCCAAACAACTCAAAGGTATTTGCGGTCATTCAACCAGGATGGGGAAATTTAATTTTGTCCTAGAACGAAGAATCGATAGACGGATGGACCAAAAGGCAGGAGCAAGAAGGGATGAGAAAGTTCAGACACAACAACAGCTACTGCCTCAGCAGCCGCCTTTGAACCTTTCCAGGAAAATTGCACTTTTTGTGGAGGGGTTTGTGAGAGGATCACATGACACATCTTCAGTGCTGGCACAATTCTAGAAAATACTTCTGTGGTTCCTTTCAATCCTCTTGAGGTGTCAATGAGGTATGCTGCACCAGCTGTGCTGAAATGCTGTGCGGAAATCGGATTAGAGGTGGATCTTCTGATCGGACACAGCCACGGCAGCCTTGTGGTCAACAGTCTTGCCAGCTTGTTCAAGCGGCTGGGTCAAGAGTGTTCGGTGATCTTCTTGGATCCCCGAACTACTGAGAATCAGCTGTGGTCCTTACCGATGTCCACAGCCTATACCAGCGTTCAGAATGTGTCATACCCACTGTTCAGGCTTTCAGGCGAAGTTTCTTTCTCTGCGCCATTTGTTGTTCCACACCCTCTCTTCAAGGAGGCATTCAAGGAGGCAGAGAGACTGTACCAAGAGGGTATAAGAATCGCACCGGGAACCGCCGTCTGGAGTGATGCTCTCATCGCACATATGAAGGACGCAAATCACGCAGGGGTCCCCGAATTCTATGACATTTCTACACAGATCCAACAAATGCAACGGCAGAAAGACGCTGGGCTTGTGACACCCGCGCAATGAGCTCGTCGTTTCGGGATCTCATGAGAAGGAAGCGTGCTTGCAGTAGGCGGCTTGCCAGACATGCAGTTTGTTCGTTCGAAATGAGCACCTCTTCGTACTGCTGCGCATCACAAAGCCACATGTTGCCGGACCTGCACGCACTGGTTTGTTCAAAAGTTCAATGCAGCCTTGCTTCTCGTTTCAACAACGGTCAAACATGGAAGTTGGCGACTTGCAATAGAGTTCAGGGACAAAAGCAAGCAGCTTCAGAGGCTTTGCCAAGCCAGCCTTTGGAGGCTTCAGAGACTTCAGCAGAACGACAGCTCACAGCTGAAGGACGACTCAAATACCCACAATTCCAATGTCAACGGAGGCCCATGACTTCTCATCCATTTCAAGGTATTTGACAGCTCTCTTCCTTTGCCCAACGCTATGTTGGTGGTAACCACACACCAATCCAGACGGGGAAAGAACACAAACAAAAGTGCATGGCATATGTTTGACCTGAGAGTGCCTTTCTCTTCGATCAAGATGTTCCGACAAGACACGCACACGCACACAGACAGGTGGACAAAGTTCCCACAAGAGATGCAGATCGAAAGCGGACGCCAGCATGGCAGCTTTTGTAGGGTTGGTGTGATTGTGATGTACTTTACACATCTCCTCTTGGCTGCAGATTCACACACTGGCACTACGCCCTGGCCCCGTGTACCGCCGGGAAATTGGCGTTCCTAACCAAGCCAAAGAGAGGGTGCTCTTGTGGTGAGGATAAGGATGGGTCAGTTTTTCCAACATCTTGCGCAAACCACGCCCAGAAGCCAGCAGGAGCCAGCGGCCGACTGCATTTCAATACTGTTCCGTTTTTCTGGGAAGCGCAGAACGTTCACAGCCCATTTTTTTAAAATTGTAATTCTGAACGAAGTCAGAGAGAGAATGTTTTGATGGCAAGGATTCCTTGTGGGCGTAGCATCTCATGTGCAAAGAGAAAGCTCTGTGGTGGGAGTTTTGAGCCACAAAACCCGTGGTGTACACCGGCCAGCATGATTTTAGGCACCGGACATTGTCAAGAGTAGATTAGGTTATGCCTCGAAATTCAACTGTGTTTGTCAAAGCAGAGTTGCTCAGTTCCATGGTGAGATCTGCCCGATGCCATACTGCTCTGACGGCGCCTTGCCATTTCTCAGACTTGCTCGCCTGCGTAGGTGTTTTATTTTTCAAATGTGCGCAGGTCCTTTGCCTTTTGGGCAGCCTACCCATGCAGCCTACATCGTTTCAAGCAGCTTTTCATTCAGTTTACTCACACTTTGGGACAGGCTTGGTGTGAGAGGCAAGATGGTTGGGGCAAACGCAGTTGGGAGAACTGTTTTTCTTGATTTGGGCAGTGGTGTCAATGTTGAATTTGCGAAAAGACATGGTTTGCTTTCTATGAGGTCCTGTGCCATGGGCTGTTGTGGCAAGATGATAGCGCTGGCAAGCTGCCACAGACACGTGAGGGTGTGTCGGAAACAGGCTAAACATGAAAGAACGCAGCAGGGAATGCGCACAGTGTTTTGGATATGTATTTTCCTCCTTGCATCAAGAGCTCTGGTCGACTTGCAGCCACGGCAACGACGTCTTCGGTGGCCATTGCCTTCAGAAGGATGACATCTTGTTTTCGCCAAGTGCCTACAATGCACGTCAGTATTGCCTGCAACATGAACCACAACTGCAATTGCTGCAGAAGCCAACTCCATTCCTGTCACCTCGGAAGGTGCATACATTATCATTGGATGACTTTTCCTGGGCGTTGCATTGAGACGGAGCTTTGTTGGTGTGAGAAGGTTTTGACATGTCACATGTCAAAGCGCTTCAAGCCGTTGCTGGGGATCACAAGCCGCTTCTTGCGGCGGCATCGCAGTCTTGGGATCGTAGAATCCTTGGAGCGGACTCATTTTTGCCACCAGGTCACCATGCCAAGAGATTCCCAAGCCTCGACAGCTCCGCACAGTTGATTGCTTTACCAAGCCAAGTCAAGCTTCCATGCCCAAGGGATTTTTGTTCCTGTCTGTCCCAGAGCATTGCAATTCCATGCTTACATGATTTCCCATCAAGATATGCAAGGTGCGCTCTCTCTATAGTTGAAGGACGAATGCAAGATATGCAAGTGCATCGAAGAAGTGCCTGTCAACCTTAGTGCAGTGACGAAATGGCTGTCATCGTGTGAAGATGCACGCAGCTAAATAGGAAGAAATATGTCATGAGTTTTTACAAGACAGCCAGCGCCAGAAACCAACTCCGATTTCTAGCCGGGAAACTGTTTGAAAGATAGAGTGAAACTGTCCACGGACGAAACTACCGTGTATATTCACTCTTTCACCCGAGTGTGTATTTCTTCGATGTTGCGGAGCCTACAGGGCCTACATTCCACGCTTGCATCAAGAGGCCGGACGTCCAGTGCTGTGCAGTGTATGTTTGGCTGATTACACTTCCCTGTCTATTCAGGAAGCTAGCAAAGAGTTGGGTATTTCTCCCAAGTGCTAGTCGCAGTGTCAAGAGTGCCCACTCGTATCATTCCAATCAACACATGGAAGGAGTGCCAGCTTGAGTTGAAGGGAGGGTATGAGTGCATACAATCAAATACACCAACTCGAATGCTGCGTATCTTGGAAAAGTGAGATGGAGAGAGTCGTCCTCTTTCCAAACGGGGAAGCTGGTGAATATCTCTTGCAACTTGTGGCCATTAGTGAGCCCAAATAACTCCAAGGTATTTGCAGTCACGGGTTGGGTCCCGCAAAGCTGAAATATTTTGCCCAAGAAGGATTGAACTGTTCTGGGAATCTGGGAATAAAGCACTTCTTGTGGAGGCATTTGTGAGAGGATCACATGACACATCTTCAGTGCTGGCACAATTCTAGAAAGTACTTGTGTGGTTCCTTTCAATCCTCTTGAAGTGTCAATGAGGTATGCTGGACCAGCTGTGCTGAAATGCTGTGAGGAAATCGGATTAGAGGTGGATCTTCTGAGCGGACACAGCCACGGCAGCCATGTAGTCAACAGTCTTGCCAGCTTGTTCAAGCAGCTCGGTCAAGAGTGTTCAGTGATCTTCTTGGATCCCCGAACTACTGAGAATCAGCTGTGGTCCTTACCGATGTCCACAGCCTATACCAGCGTTCAGAATGTGTCATACCCACTGTTCAGGCTTTCAGGCGAAGTTTCTTTCTCTGCGCCATTTGTTCCACAACCTCTCTTCAAGGAGGCAGAGAGGCTGTACCAAGAGGATGTGAGAATCTCACCGTGCTGTGCCATGTTGAGTGATGCTCTCATCGCACACATGAAGGACGCAAATCATGCGGGTGTTCCCAAATTCTATGACATTGTACGCAGATCCAACAAACGCAACGGCAGAAAGACTTTCGCGTTTCATGAGAAGGAGGCGTGCTGGGAGTAGGAGCTTTTGTCTTAATTCCGAACCAAGTCAGAGAGAGGATGTTTTGGTGGCAAGGATCCGGTGGGCGTAGAATCTCACCTGCAAAGAGACGAGCTCCTTTGACAGTGCCACCGAACTCTTTTGTGTCCCTGGACTCGGCACAGATGAACACACTCTGGGACCGCGGAAACTCCAGTTTGAATTTGAGGACTCCAAAAGAGAGTCATTTCCGAGTCTGGCGCGCATCAGCTCGAAAACAAAACACGATTCGATGTGAGTTGTTCAAGAGCCTTCCTTGGTCTTGCTTGATATGGCGTCTCCACCAGCTCCATTATATGTTTTCTTCCTCGGCGGCGCTTTGATTTTGTGGCCTATCAATTTACATTTTTCTTTCTGCAATAATTCTTGCACTCTGGATTTGACCATGCTTTCCAATCATATTTGCTGAGATCTTTCACCCCAGCTATTGGCTCTTGGCTCAAGGCCCAAGTGGAAACTGGCAAGGAGCAAGTCAGATGATAGACAATGCATGCGAAGAAGATGTAAGGTTGGACATGAAGCAACCAAGAGCACGCCCTCGAAAGAATCAAATTTGTTGATCCAAGACCATACGGTGCGTGGAAGTGTGTCCAGGAGCCCATGAGTGTTTGGACGGTGGGGCAGCGTGCATTTGGGATTTTGCTTTGAATCCCTGTTCCAGACTTATTACATCTTATTGCGAAAGCAAGCTTTTGCTGGCTGAAGTCCTCTTGCTTTAGGAAGGTAATGGCAAGGGCTGAGGGCTGCCGCTTGGCTGGAGTGATGTTTTTCAGGCATCATCATCATCAGTATCAATGTATTCATGACATAATTAGTTTTCCCCTCTTCTTCCTCCTCCTCCTCGTCGTCATCATCATCAGTAGCAACATTGGTTTCATCTTGATTTATCACCTTTGCCAGAGCAAGACATGGCTTTCAGCAAGAGATACATGTGCATGCAGCCCTTTGTGTCTCAAACCTCCACCTAGATGCGGGAGGTGGAGCTGTACTGCCTTGAGGTGATTGCTCCACAGGTGAAAAGTCAGGTTTTGTTACGAAGCCCAGCCAACAGGCTGGGCTTAGTTGTTAGTTGCGAACGTAGTGAGATTATAGGAGATCTGGGAAGCGGCTGCCTATTGGTGTCAACATGGTGGAAATTCAATTGATTTAAAATTGAAGAAGGGGTGGACGCGGGAGGCGTTTTCTAGGTCATGTACCAGGTGGCAATTTGGTTGAATTCCCCCCTGGTCCGCAAACCTGAAGCTAAACTTTGTGTATGGAGCAGACGCGGTTTTCTGGTGTAGATTGTTGAAGCTCAACGGGTTGGGGCACGTCGTGCTTGTTATCAGGACATAACTTAAAGAGGGATATTTATCCTTGGGTCTTGTGGGAATTCCTTCCTGGTCTACACAAGCTTCACTGGTGTAGATTGTTGAAAACTCAACGGGTTCTGGCGCAAGTCATGCTTGAACTTTGATGGATTTTACCCTTGCCGGGTTTGGGTGAAGCTTGCGAGGTTGGTTCAGAAAGGAAGAGAATAAACAATTAAAGGGCCGGATAACCCCACAAGTCCACTTCTTCCAATAATGAGCAACAAATGTTGTAGCAGGGACGGGGAAGGAAGGAAAGACGAAGGAGGTGGTGGAAGATCGAGAAGTAAAACAAGTTGTATGTGAAGAGTTGTGCGTGACAAAGTGGTATGTGAAAGATGGTGTGCGACGAAGAAAATGGTGTAGATGGCAAAGTTTTGTGTGAAAGATTGTGTACAAGTACCCACGCCTGCCACGCAAGTCGAAGGTGGATGTGACAGAGTGCCACGCCTGCCACGCCAAAGTGTTGCGGCGTCACCGGCGACTAAAACCGGCCCAAGCGCGCCACCAGAGCCAGCCCAGTGCCATAAGTGCCACGCCTGCCACGCAAAACGAAGGTGGATGTGACCAAGTGCCACGCCTGCCACGCGAAACGAAGGTGGATGTCACCAAGTGCCACGCCTGCCACGCAAAGTGCCGCGGTGTCACCGGCGACTAAACCGGTCCAAGCGCGCCACCAGAGCCAGCCCAGTGCCATAAGCGCCACGCCTGCCACGCAAAACGAAGGTGAATGTGACCAAGTACCATGCTTGCCACGCGAAACGAAGGTGGATGTCACCAAGTGCCACGCCTGCCACGCAAGCTGTGTGAAAGATAGTGTGTGACAAAGTTGTGTGTGAAAGATGGTGGGTGACAATTGTGTGTGAAAGATAGTGTGTGACAAAGTTGTGTGTGAAAGATAGTGTGTGACAAAGTTGTGTGTGTAAGATAGTGTGTGACAAAGTTGTGTGTGAAAGATGGTGTGTGACAAAGTTGGTGTGTGAAAGATGGTGTGTGGCAAAGTTGTGTGTGATAGATGGTGTGTGTGTGTGAAAGATAGTGTGTGAAAAAGATGGTGGTTGACAAAGATGTGTGTATGTGTATGAAAGATGGTGTGTGACAAAGTTGGTGTGTGAAAGATGGTGTGTGACAAAATTGTGTGTGAAAAAATGGTGTGTGAAAGATGGTGGTTGACAAAGAGGAGGCAAAGTTGTGTGTGAAAGATGGTGTGTGACAAAGTTGTGTGAAAAGATGGTGTGTGAAAGATGGTGGTTGACAAAGAGGAGGCGGCGGAGGAGGAGGAGGAGGCGAAGGAGGAGCCGGGATACAGAATCAAAAACAAGAACCCCACACAAAGATGTGGCGAAAAAACATCATGCTTGAACAGTTGATGGATTTTATCTCTGGGTTTGGGTGAAGCTTGTTATGTTGGTTAAGCCATGTTAAGACATGTTAAGACAGTATTGCGATGTTGGTTCAAACAAAAATAAAACAATACCTCATGCCTGAGCTTTTGATCGATTTTATCCTAGGGTCTTGTTGGGTTTGGGTGAAGCTTGTGATGTTGCTCAAGCCAGAAAGAAAGGAAAGAGAAATCATGGATTTCATCAGTGGGTCCTGTAGGTGAAGCTTGTGCAGAAAGACAAAGAAGGGAAAAAAAAACGGGACAGGGACATAACCTAAAGGGGGATGCGGTGAGATGTTGGCTACAGCACGTTTAAGGTGGTATAATTGGCTAGTGGAAACCCGAGGGGCCAAGTAATGTGAATTAATGTCATGTATGAAGCAGACGCTCTTTCTGGAAGCTACATGCAGGGAATGAACTAAAGGACCCACCAAAGTCGTTTGCTACATGCTAGATACATCGACCCAACGCGGTAAATTTGGGACATTTTGGATACACCGTCCGAGTACTTCCAGGAACATGAAAGACATGCTGATTTCCCGAAAACCCACAGTAGTGGTGCTTGTGTTTGCTGGTTTGACCTGACTTCTTGAGATAGGAGCTGGATGATGCTCCGACTATTGTCTATTGTGTTTGAAACCGATTTTTGCGAGCATCCTTGCGCACTCTTGATAATTTGCTACCTCCTGTTTTTTGTTTAAGTTCAGTTAAGAGTTGATTTGAGTTTGCTTCTCCTTTACAAGAGAGGAAAATTGTCATGATCAAGACAAGCAGGTACCTAGTTTTGGTTCGCTCTTACCTGAAACTGATATGATTTTTGGAGACGGAGTTGGAGCTCCTAATGGCTTACCTAGACATGGAATAAGGTGCAGGCCAGCCTCGCAATCCTTTTAACTGGTAAACGGGGAAGGTGGGAAAAATACACGTTGTTAAAACAGGTGAAACAAGGGGGAAGGCACATTGAGTTTGATACCAACTTCCAAGCTTAATTTCTAAAAATAATGGAATGGATTAAGATCAAGACAAGCAGGTTCAAGGCGCTAGTTTTGGGCTCCTTTTTGGCACCTGATTTTTGGAGACGAAGTAGAAGCCTCCCTTTGTTTTAGATTTGCCGATTTTCGTTTGGCATAGCGTGTCAATGGATCTCTCAATGCCGAGTGCCAACTGTGGTGATTGTTTGCTTTGGGTCCTGGTCCCGTTTGTTTGTTGATTGCGTGTTTGTTTCGCGTGGGAGATATGCAAATCTGGCAAGGGATGTGCACTTCGTCTCCTCACTGGCGATTGTGTTTCAGTTTTGGTTGCCACGCTTGAGTGTACAGTTGTGACTTGGATCTTCGGATTCTCCCTTGTAGTGTGCACCGCAGATAGCATCGAAGCTGCCATCGAAGCCCTTGAAGGACTTCTCCAAGTCTGTGATTTGATGCACCTGAGCACAGACAAAGACAAGACCCTCCTTGCAGGTGGGAAGCCATTCTGAATAGCCAACTTTCTGCGCACGTCACTTTGGTGGCCTCATTAAATTTTGCGAAAAAAAACACTTGGAACAGTCCAGGATAAAACTACCAACCATTAAGATCTCAGTGCGTGAGAGCGCTTGCGTCAAACAAACAGAAGCCATCACAGACTTGCCCCCTGCTTATACCCTGTGATTCAGGGTTTCCCACACACACAGAAGCCTTCTCTTTCCTTCTTCTAATTTATCTATCTATCTATCGATCGATCTATCTATCTACCTATCTATCTATCTCTCTCTCTCTCTTTCTTTCTCTTTCCTTCTTCTAATTTATCTATCTATCTATCTATCTATCTACCTATCTATCTATCTATCTATCTACCTATCTACCTATCTACCTGTCTACCTGTCTACCTGTCTGCCTGTCTGTCTGTCTGTCTACTTACCTACCTACCTACCTATCTATCAGTCTATTGATCTAGCTAGCTAGCTAGCTAGCTAGCTAGCTACCTAACTACCTACGTTTCTAACTATCGAGCTATCTAGCTATCGAGCTACCTAGCTATCTAGCTATCTATCTACCTAGCTATCTATCTATCTAGCTATCCAGCTATCTAGCTATCTAGCTTTCTAGCTGTCTAGCTGTCTATCTGTCTATCTTTCTTTCCATCTATCCATCTGTCTGTCTATCTAGCTATCTAGCTATCTATCTACCTACCTAGCTATCTAGCTATCTAGCTATCCAGCTGTCTAGCTAGCTAGCTTTCTATCTGTCTAGCTGTCTATCTGTCTATCTATCTTTCCATCTATCTATCCATCTGTCTGTCTATCTAGCTATCTAGCCATCTATCTAATCTTATCTTACCTGATCTGATCTGATCTTATCTTGTCTTTTCGTGTGTTATCTTATCTGAATCCAATCTAATCTGATCTGATCTAATTTAATAATTTCGTCTAAATTTAACCTAATCCAATCTAATCTGACCTAATCTAATCTAATCCATCTAAAGTGGAGGTTGACACATCCATAACGAAGCAATTCTCCGAGACTTCCTCAAAAAATTGCAAATCGCAGATCCGAAACGAAGAAATTCTGCGAGATTTTTTCAATTTTTGAAGTTGACAATTTCAAAGACGAAGCGATTCTGACAGACTTCCTTCAAAACTGACCAATTGAGCGCAGAACTGACCGCCTCGTGCCAATGCGTTTTGCGATTTCTCCATCCCATCTCTCCAAAGTACCGCGCCTGCCAAGAAAAAGTAACGCCAGGTCACACGAAGCGTTGCACTTGTCAGGCACAATCGCCCGAGGAAACCTGAGGATCTGGTTCTCCAAAATGCAACCTCTCTCAGGAACTCTATTTCCCGACCTCCGCACATATATGATGAAAAGGTCTCTTGTACTGAGCTTGCCACACAAATTGCATCTTTGCAGAGGCTCTTCAAATATCCCACGCCTGCCGTTCTTTTTTTAAACATGTTGCAAAATCCACTGCCCCTGCAAGAAAAAACCCTGTCGGTCCAAGTCCTCGCTAAACTAGGCCTTTGCTAAAGGCCTGGTTAAACTAGGCCTTTGGGACTGAGGTTTTCTCTATGTGATTATTTTTGAGGTCGTATTTTTGTGAAACTTAGCCGGGCAAGGTCCCACCCTCAAAGATATCCAATGCTTAAAAAATTGAGGGCGCAACTTCGAAATTTTCGAAAATAGTGACACCGTGAAGAAACCGTCAAAAGGCCGTGAAAACCCAGTGAAAACCCCTTCAAAAGGCCGTGAAAAATCCACGAAATCAGGTTTGTGCCAAAAAAATGCAAAAAAATGGTTTTGCGATTTTGTGACCAATTTTTCTCATGAGTGCTCCCGCTCTATGTGGCTGCTGCTGATCTTACGGTGCGGACATGTTATTTTTTTCAAGGTATGAATTTTTATTTTGAGTTTTTTTGAGGCCTTTAGTCATTTAGGTCCTTTACTATAACGGCTGCGTTAAATTTGTCCTTTTGACTGGGAAACGACGCTTCGACGTCCAAAGTGGTCCCAACCTGGTGTGTTTTTAACGTTTTGCCTTCCGAATGTGCGTCGCGCCACAACAGCACGCACTTTTTCGACACTCTGACCTCCTAAAAGTGTTCCGAACAACATGTGATGTCTTTAGCAGATTTAGAATTTTGACTGCGAAACGCGCTTCGCGCCACAGCCGCGTTCACATTTGGAGCATCTCAACTGCCAAAATTGCTCTGGACGTGAGGTGCTTTTATTTTGACTTCCAAATGTGTTTCGCGCCACAGCGGCGTGCAATTTTTGATCTTTCATCCCGCCAGATGGCTTTGCACCCTCCCCTTTACTGAGCCTATCTTTTCACCTGCGGAACCCCCACACCTTGGGAAAACGCAGTGTTTCGCGACTTTTCTACCTTTTTGCGCGCCTGAATCTTCTTTCTTCTCCGTTTCTCTTCTCTGATCTTCTCTCTTTTTCGTTTCTTTTCTCTGATCTTCTTCCTTCTTCCTTTCTCTTCTTTGACTCTTCCCACCTCTGCTTTTCCATCTGTCCATCTTGTCAAAAGTTTGACTTCTAAACTTCGTTCGGTTATGTAAAGATATGGGCAAAATACCGAACCTAGCAAACCAAGATTTGTTGGTCGGTTCCAATTTTGGCTTCAGAACACTGGGTGAACACAGCAGATAGCATCCGCAAATATGGGGAACGTGGGTAGGAACAAACAATATTTGGGCCACTCACAATATATCTGTATCATTTTCAAGTCACCTTGAAACTATCTAGATATGGGATATCCTGCAGAAGCACCCGTTTAGAAGGACTGGCTCAGAGCCATCCATCAACCCCCAACCCCCAATCCACTCAAACGGTTGGGGGGTCAAGATTCAGATCCACGGAAGCATTGCCACGTCTGGGTACTGCAACCAAATTTGGGGTGCACAATGTCTTGACCCAATCCCGTAAATAAACGTTGGAAGACATGATGTTTGGACCAACAAGTGTGTGGCGCGCAAAGAATTTTATTTTCATCGCTTCAAAAATTGATTGAAGCGTTTTTTTTGACCCTTTGGTAATCTAAGGCAATGAACAGTTCCCCGATCTTCGGATGATATTCGGATGTATTTTCCCACAGATTTTCGGAGTTCCCCGCTAGCTAGGTTGGTCCATCCTACTACTTCTTGAGGCAACTTCAATGGAGCGGATGGAGAATGCGGACGAAAGTGATACGCCTGATGCGCTTCATCTCTCAGGCACGGTGTTCACTGTTCACCATAAATTTGCGAATTGATGCACAGAATTTGATGGAATTGACTAACAGGGCGTAACCGAACATGGACTCAAAGAAGACAATAGATTCATATAAACGTAAAAAATGCTATGTCACGACCTACATTCGAAACATTTCGATTTTCCATCATTTCCTCACTTCTCAGGTGATTCAGGTTGAAAAATATGTTCCAACAGTCGCCTTCGTTTTTGTGTGGTACCTGCAAGCGGTGGATGATTTCCCTGGGTTGTTCTTGGTGGCACTCTGTAACAAAGTCATCGTGTGCTGCCTGTCCTGCGAGCGCCACGCGACTGGGTCCTCGTGGACGGCCAAGCTGCCCCGCTGGCTCTTCTGGCTCATCGTAATGGTTGTGACCCCAGTTATTTGTGGGCTATGGCCTATACTTACCAACTGGGATGCACCGCAAAGTGGGATCTGGGGATGAAAACGCACCAAAAAACACATCAGAAAGTTTCCATAGATTTGGGGGATGGATATCCAATGGGTTTTGGACGCAGATTTGCAGTGATTTGCAGATGACTGGTATGGACCAGGTATGGGGATTTAATGATTGAAACAGGGAACGAAACAACCATGAACAAACCTTGGGACTGATATCAGATATCTCTTCAGGATATGCTGCGGCTGGCAATTTGGGATATGCTACGGCTGGCAATTTGGGACACTGTGGCGGAGACGCAGTACTGGTTTGTCCTGGGCTGCAATTTGCTGTGCATCCTTCTACCTGCATTTTTGCCGGTCATTCGATTTGCATTTGGGTCAATGTCTCAGGGAATAACCCATTTCAGAGCGATTTCTCTGGGGAAAGCCCGGATCTTGGGTTCGATATTTTGACATGATCCCATTTCAGACCCTTCTGTTTGTTTCTTTCCCTTTAGAAGCACTAGTGGGATTGACCCCCAAAACCTAATCTACCTGGAAGTTGAACATTTCCAACCCCTTTTTGGAGGTTGAACATTTCCCAATCCAAAGATCCAGCTCCAGCTGTGGTCCCAGCTGTCCCATGTCTCCAAGGACAAAATCTTTCACAGAGCTTTCTTCCATGATCCGTACAGCACACGGAAAAACTCAAAGCGCTTGCAAGGGCCAGGCGTCATTGATTCCGCAGCCAAGGCTGGGCAGGCAATCCACCTTAGCCTAAGCTCATCCAATCCCGTCAAATATCAATGTACACCAATGCGATTTTTATCACCAGCTTGACATGACATATTATCACGGTTACATCATTTTCACATTTACCATTCCTATCATGAGTTGAATCTTCATGTTTTAGTGGCACATTTTGGCCTAAGTGCACAAGAGGTGCTCTGTTTGTCGCGTTGACTTGTTCTCCAAACGTTCACCGCGCAAGTCCTCAATAATTAACATGTGTTCCCTGGTGTGTAGTGGTGGCGCTAGCGAGTGTTGCGGGTGTGGCTGCAAGCAGGTCGTGTGTTGGCTCTGTGGAACAAAGGCGATGTTCTTTTTAGATTTACCGATTTACCTAAATTTCACGTCCTTCACTGTACAGTATAGTAAACAACAATAAACAGCATAGATCACGGCGAAGGGGAATTGTAGATTGAACCTTTGTGCTTGGCAAAGGAGCTAGCAACTTCCACGAACAAAGTCGAGCCAAAGGAACCTCTTGAAGAAGTGCAGAAGGGCAATGCCGAACGGAACACTTTTCTATGTCGCCATTCCATACCGCTTTGCAGAAACAAACAAGACTGCACAGTTGAGAACTGCCGGTTTTGCCACGAGTGCAAGAGACCTGGCAAACGAAACCGGGAAAGGCAAGCAAAGCGTAGAGCCTTGTCCCCGCTTCAGGACCAAAAAATGCGGGGAGATGTAAATCTGTTGCTCAGGTCGCCCTTGGGTGAAAAAATACGGGAACCCTTCAGTCATGTGCAACTTGCAGTACCAACATAAGAACATATATTATTTTCACCCATAAGTTCGGTTTGGTGGATTGCTGCGACAATGTTGGATCATGGCTGGCTTAGACAAGTCGCCACAGAAGTAGGGCTCCTGGAGGGTAGGATCCACCCACGATTGGATCCGACACGGTGAGCCAGTCTTTTTTGGGCCCAAGCCTTTGGAAAAAAACATGTCGGGACTCCATGGATCGCCTCGTTGGCACCAAATCACAATGAATTGAGTTTATTGACCGTCAAGACTGTCAAGATGTTCATTGAAGAGAAACTTGTTCCTTCTCAAGTTGTTCGTTTGAATGCACACTTGAAGAAGAACCCAGATGAACATGTAAGTGAAAGGTAAATCTGAGTCAGACTCTTGATTTTGGGAGAAAATGGTGATCTGACCTCAGCTGCTTAGAGGAAATTTAGGGCACATGGAGACAGACCGATGGCATCCGCTTCGCGGTGGATGGAGCCAGCTGCAAGACTTGGTGGAATTTGAATGGTGCAGAACCTTCATCCTGCTGAGTTGTTTCCTGTGTCCCAGCACGGATAACAGGGTTTTCTTGGTTGTTTGTTGGGCACAAGGTTTGCTTAGCCGCTTAGCCCTGATCAGATGTCCAAAATGGACGACCCGCATGACCCGGCAGTTGAGCCTACCAAGGCTGACCCTGTGAATGGGTCACATTCCATGATGGCTGACTGAGAGCTGGGTAATAGTGGACTGTGCATGGTTTGGCAGAGTTTGGGAACTGCACAATCCACCAGACTCAGACAGTTCGTTTGCCACCAAACAAATAGTTCAGCTGGTCCAACGCTGTTTGAATCATTTCTGGTGTTGGGTCTTACTTGTCCTGTGTCTGACAGCCTGTGTCTGCTTATTTCCCCGTGTTTGCTGGCAAAAAAACTACTACCGGCCAGTGGTTGTCCCTCTATTCTGGGGATATTCGGGTAGCGCCCAACTATCCGCATGTTTTGGTATACAGTCTTGGTTGAATTTATTGATATTTCGATTTTCAATCCGTTCCCTTTTTACACACGTACGACCGTACGACATACTCATCTATAGGTAGTCCGTGCATCAATGTATCGTTCATTTCGGCCTGGTGTCCAGGGGCAACAGCTGCCTCAGGTTTCCCTTGGCTCATGCCCGGCGACGACGTCGCAGAATGCCCGTTCAGTTTCGCTCTGTGGATGACTCCCAGGTTCATTGGCTTGCTTTAAGGGACAATTTGAGTGGAATCCCCTCCATATACTGTAATGGGGGAACGAATATCCCCTACAATTTGACTGACGTCGCATAGGTAAATCGTAGAAATATTGATTTTTCTAAGTTCGCCAGGTCCCCATTTTGTAGGAACCAGGTTGTGCCCCAAAAATGAAGTGCAAATTGTAGGAAACTTGATGTTGGCAATATATGCTGACTTTTGGCACCACTAGGAAATGGGCAATGCAAGTGTAGGTTCAGCATTTTGAATCGTAGTTTTTTCTAGGGTGTCCAGCTAGAAACCTATAGGAAAAAGGTTGTGTCCGCAACGTTGTGGCTGCAATTTTTTGGAGGGACACAACCCAAAGCTGAAATTCGAACCCCCATTCCATATCCATATTCCAGTGAACAAAGACACTGAAAAACTATCTGTAGATTAAAAACCTTAAATCATTTTCGCACCACGATTTTTGGTTAGTTATGCACCAACATATCCTGCGTACCACTGATGATTCGGAATTTGTTGGATTAGCCCTAAGTCTCCATATGCTTACGGAGGGCTTTGCACTTCAAGGCATGGTCAAGAATTGGGGCTTCCTTGCCCAGTTGTATCCATGCTGTATGTGTGTTCGGTGCCGTGCAGCGTTGATACAGAGTTAAAACCATTCTCGTGTTGGCTTTTGACGTCTTTCAGTTCCTGCAAGTTGGATTTTGATGAAGTGTTGGAGCTCCAACCCGTGTGTTTCGAATGAATTTCAGTCTCAGATTGCTCAGATTGGACTTGGTTTGATCATGTTTGATCTTCTCAGGTTCGAGCTTTCGTTGGGGTTGGCCTTTGCATTCATTCCTTGTCAGCGGCCTGGATTTTGCTGCCCATCTTCATTGACCACAAGATCGCTGCGGACCCGGCCCTGCCGGGGTTGACAGAGGAGACCCTGACAATCACCACCACTGCTATCTTTGGCGGTTGGGTGGTGGGTTCCCTCTTCCTTCAACACCTGATGTCGGCTTTCGACAAAGCTCAGCTGATCGTAGCTGGCTGCATAGGGCTCCTGATGGTCGCCCTGGCAACTGCGACGCTGCCACATCTGACGGCAGGAAACCTGGCAGTCTTCACAGCTGTGAGATTTGTACAAGGACTCCTGCAGAACATCGTATTTCTCGAGACGGTCTATGTGCAAGAAGCTGTGCCTCCAGGTTGGGGCAATGCAGCCTTAGTGTCCGCCAACGTGGGGTTTTGCCTGGTGGATATTCTACAAGCCTTCCTCTGTGGGGGACCCATGCTGTTGTGGGACTGGCGGCTTCAGGTGTTCCTGTCTCAATCCGTGCCGTTGCTCCTGGCGCTGCTCATCGGCTTCCCGAAGCGCTGGGAGATCCTGTGCTCTCTGCCAGCGGCCAGCAAGGCACTGTGGAAGAAGGAAGAGGTGAGTGCTGAGTCCACCAGCCTGACAGCTAAAGACACTCAGACTTCCTTGAGCTTCGAATTGATGAGTTTGGTGGGAGAAGAGAAAACAGACTTCATCATATTTCATCATGCTTGCTGGCCATTAGTTTCCCCATTGGTTTCCCCATTGGTTTCCCATTCTTTGTTGCGTTTGTTGATGAAACGCCCCCTGGGCCCCCCTGGACCCCTAGGAATGGCACCATGGGATGGCACTGGCCAGCGGTTTCCTGGCGAGTTGCAGCGGCTTCTGGGGTCTGAGCTATTCAGCTGGACAGCTCTCCCCCAACAAGTGACCTGGCTATCGGGGGATTCCCCTCAGAATTCTAGAGCTGATAATGTCTGATAATGCTTGATGCAAACCATTTGGCAATGAACATGGTCGATTATTGCAGTCTTTTTTTTAAGCTGAACAGTGTTGGATCTGCCAATAGTGCTGGTATGATGCTGACATGTTGAATTTGAACACGCTGCTGCTATTTTCCGCCTGGTATTTCCCAAGAAACAGCTAAATTGCGTCGCGTGTGAACGTGCGTCCCAAACTGTAGTTGGTTCCACTCACCTTCCGGAGGTACAGAAGCATGATGTTCTTTAGCGCCGCTGACATCTTTGGCTATCTTTTAGCCCTGAGCGCCAGTAGTTTGGGACGAAGCCGGGTTCAAGCGGGAGCTTTCTTTTTGGCCACGGTGTGTCACTTGGAAACCTTAGTAGTAGTTGGGGAGCTGGAGAAAATCCTGGATGTTCGCCCAAAATCCGGGTTGTGATGCTGTACCCAAATGTATTCAAAAGGTGTGTAAGAAATCGAATCCCGGCCTCTTGTCAGTTTCATTAGCGTCTCCTGGCGTCAGGTTTGTTTCTCTGCAGCACTGGTGAACCTGGAAGTGCTCTGGTGATGGGTTCAGCGATGCTTGGGCGAATCTGCTTGGACTTGTGCTTTACCACGATCTACGTGCCTTCGCATGATGGGCTTTCAAACGCCTTGGATGGTTGACATAATTGGGCCTTTCAGGTAGCGTAATTTGTTTATTATTTATTGGGTGAATCCCAGCCATTTTTTGAAGACTTTCCCATTTGAAATGCCCATTTGGTTTGGGATTTCCAGTTGAGGGTAGTTCAACTTGCTAATCCAGGCGTTTGTTGAGATCTTCTCTGAGTCTGCGCGCAAGAAGGTGCTCCCGGCTTGCAACTTGGCACATCTTTGGGGCCCTTCAACCTCCCCGCGAAGGGTTGACAAGTTGAAATCCCCACAGGCCGTGGCCGGGTGATGGGCTGAGGTGAGATGACCATGCGCATTGGAGGCACCTTGGCCCCCTACGCGGGCACCCTGCCGCCCTCGATTTCCTGCAAACTCTTCAGCTTTCTTTGCCTGGCAGCGGCATTGGGGAGTTTGCAGCTGCCAGACCAGCCTCATTCAGCCCTCAAAAAAAAACTGGCAGATTGGTGAAACAAATCTGTGAGAATCCGATCTTATCGCGTCGCCTTGCTTGTTGCAGCCACCCCCGCGATGAATGATGTTCCTTTGCTGATGCAGAGGGCCCGGTGAGCATGTTGCGGCAACGAATCTGGTGCACCAAGTGCTCACCGGAATTTCGTGACGCTTTTTGTGGGTTAAATCATGTTAAATCTTGGGTCATGTTGACAGGTGAAGATTTGTTGACATCCAAAATAGACCTGATTTTCCAACACCATTCTTTCGTCCAAAGACGAATCTGAAAGGTGGGTCCATCCCATACTTCGATCTATATCCCTGCCCGATTTGCTGATTCGACAATGTGGCAGTCTGCAAAATGCTGGGATGCATCAACCTTCTCAAATATAGAGTTCTGCACAGAGATTCCACCAGAGGTGGAAAAGTTGTTTCCTTACTATTTTCAGCCTGATTCCTTCTTGTTTGGGCCAATCATTTCCTTGTATAATGATAGAACCTCGGAAAGTAGATGATTCTGAATCGCTCAGAACAAGACCCAGAGGTGAAGTCTCTTGTTCTGTGTATACCATGTCCTTATTCCTCAGACCCTGTCCCGAGCCTGTTGCCGCAACTTCTCTGTTCAGCTCAGCCTGTGGTACATTTCACCTGGAGAGTTCAGAACCATGGGTTCGTTCCATGAAGAGGAGGCTAAATAGTTCTGAATCCTTCATCACCTGGTTGGTCAATCTTTTTGTGGATTTGATGGAAGTCGAAGATTTTTTCTTGGCTTTGCGCATCGAAAATGCTCAGCCCATCGCTGGGAGTGTTTCCAGATAGTTTTCAAGTCATGAACGATATCAAGTGGCCATTGGGGCCATCCACTTCCTATCTGAAGCGACCCTGAGATTGCTAAGCCATGGCAAGTCCTGAGGCTGGTAGGGCAGGGCCAATCGATTTTATCGGCAGAGTGCAGGAAAGTAGGGTTTTTGAAGGGCTGGTAGATGAGTCTTCCCATGATTGTCCACTGATTTTCCCAACAAAACCTTTGGATGTTCTTTGGGAAATCAATGGAAAGATTGGAAAGTACAGCTCCTTTTCATCCGTTATCCCGATCCAGGAGCCGGCAGCGAAGCGGAGTAACAGCGGTGCCACTGCCACAGCGACAACAACCGCCGTGCCAGTGTGCAAGTGCCTCTTGCTGCGCTATGTACCTGGGACTTCAGCGTTCTTCCAAGATTTCAAGTTGTGGTGGAGGTGTTCATGTTTCATTTTTCAAAGTTTCACCCAGCATTCCCTGCAGAATCGAATTGGGTGAATTTCGGTGCTCAAAGGCACTTCTATCTGCGCCTTTTGGGGCAACTTACCGCTGCGCCACTAATCTTGCAGCCCAGGACTACGTGGCCGATGTCCTGGAAAAGCGAGCTCCCCATCGGGCAGGATCTATGGCACGGATGTGAGTGAACTGAAACACTAAGATTGCTAAGAGTCCAAGAGTTATCGAAAAAAATGGTGCATCTATTGGACTCGTATTTCCTATGTCACATATGTCGTATGTTAATGAACTGCCAGTTTCGCAGTTTCAACTTGTTTCAACCGCCTTTTAGTGTTGTGGTTAGATGCTTCCATCTCCATTTGTTGCTAGGGGTGCTGTGTTACAGGACACTTGGCGCACTGGAAGAAGCTCGCAGACTTGAACCAGGCAGGGTTCAACTCCTTGAGTCATTCCGTACGCCATTCCCAAACGGCCATGGTGCATTTCACCAAATCGATTTATATGAGGTGTAACGATAGTCAACATATATGTCACCATTGATAGTCAACACATTTTTCGCCATATTTGACACCTTTTGGAGAGGAAAAACCATGAACAGATATTTCCAGCTCCAAATCAACCTCCAATGGCTGAGGTCCTACTGGGAGGAGCAATGGATCCCCCAGAGGGTGCCCTGATCGTGTTGCGGGGGTGTGGGAGCCCGGTTTGTGGCAACTGGAAACTCCCAAAACGCAATCTCGTGGGGAAACCCAAACATGTTCCCTCTCCGATCTCCAGGTCGCAAAAATTGTTTTGGACCCAATGTTCGATGTTGGTCCATGTTGGTCCCACGTTCAACACTGGAAGGGCACATCTTTGATGATGAGATGTTCCAATTCTTGGCTTGGGCCAAGGATCGAACGGGAGAAGCTTGATGCCTACGTCAAAGAAGATCCCTACGTGGTGAACGGATTGGTGCGGGTCCCAGAGCACATTTTTTGATGGAGAAACCAAAGTTACATGTATTTCTTTGGGAGTGGATATGGGGCATGTTTCTTGGACCAGGTCTCATAATTTCCACCCCGTTTCCCCCCGAGATTTCCTTGTAATTAACTTGGACCGGTTGTAAGATGCTGTGAGTGGCGATTTCAGGCGGATTTATTTCAGCTTTCTGCCTGTTGATGCACCACCCACCACTGGAGGTGCCATCCTATGACATCAAAGACTGGAACGTTGTAGTGGGATCAGCCATGCCAGCTGAGTGAAAAAAGTGAGCCGCCTTCGAAAAAGCTGTGGGGAGCTGAATGGCATCCAGCTGTGTGTGTTGTTGTTGGCCTTTTTCCCAAAACAGTGTGTCCACTTTTGTGCTGAGCACAATGTGTTTTCGTTTTGGGCTTTCCTCACAGATGCTGCTGCAGTGGAAGTTGGGGTAAAAGTATCAGTAGTACCGCACAAGGCGGTGGCGGAAGTTTCAAAAATAGGAAACCTATAGGAGAGGTTGGTTGTTGTGAATTGCGGATGGCAGGGCGAATCCACTGATGCACCCACAGGTGGTTGGAGTTGTGTTTTTTGGAATGGTTGCAATGGTTGCAGTGGTCACCTTACCACAACTGGTGGATGTAGTGTGGTGTAGTGCAGCTGTTACTCTAGTTGTAGTGTAGTGTCGTGTAGTGGAGCTGTAGCTGTAATGTAGTGTAACTAGTGTATTTGCAAGCGCAGTTGCAGTTGTAGTCGAGGTGTGGTGTAATTAATGTAGTGTAGTGCAGCGTAATGTCGTGTAGTGTTGTGTAGTCTAGCGTGGTATTGTGTTGTAGTGTAGTTGTAGTTGTAGTGTAGCGCAGTGTAATTTGTATAGTGTAGTTGTAGTTCTAGTGTAGTGCAGTGCAATTAGTGTAGTGTAGTGTAATGTAGTGTCGTGTAGCGCAGCGTCGTGTAGTGTAGTAGTGTAGTGTAGTATGTGTAGCGTAGTGTAGTGTAATGTAGTGGTAGTTGTAGTTGCAGTTGCAGCTGCAGTTGTAGTTGTAATGTAATGCAATGTAATCAGTGTAGCGTAGTGTTGTGTAATGTAGTGTGGTTGTACGTAGTTGTAGTTGAATTTGTAGTTGTAGTGTGCTGCAATGCAGTTCGTGTAGTGTAGTTGTAATTGTAATTGTAGTTGTGGTAGTAGTTGCTGTTGTAGTTGTTAGTGTAATTGGTGTAGTGTTGTGTAAGTAGATGTGATTAGTGTAGTGTAATGTAATTAGTGTAGTGCACTGTAGCGACCCTCCGCTTTAGCGAGCCTACTTTTCGATCCTTCGGAGCCACACATCATTGGAAAAAAAAAACGGTGTTTCGCGACTTTCCTCCCTTTTCGCACACTTGGATCTTCTTTCTTCGGAGACTTTCTTTTTTTGATCTTCTTTCTTCTTCTTTTCTCTTCTCTGACTCTTCCCATCTCTGCCTTTCATCTGTCCATATTGTTGGAAGTTTGACTTCTAAACTTAGTTGGATAAAAGCCTTCTGCGCTCCGCCTGCTACCAAGCCATGCCAACAATGCAACAGGTGTTCCTATAATATTAGCGTAGCTCCAGCTCTCAAACACGTCCCGATTTGCTTTCTTCACCCTGTCTTGTGCGTCGCTGCCTGAGTGTTTTCTGCGTAAATTCATTGTTCCCTTGTGCTGTTGTTCGATGCATGCGTACCAAACAGGTCATGACAACCAGTTGGGCCGATATGTGCGCAAACACCTCAGAGTGTTTTGCTTACGCGCGACCCCACTGCCTGTGTAGGAAACATCTTAGGAAGCGGATGAGGATCTGGCGCGCTTTTGGGCGCACGTGGTTCCTGAGCAGCACTTGGTGGAGTCCATGACATGCGTTTGCGCACAGCGCAAAAATATTTACATACTTATTTCTTTGTGTTCATTGTGCGACGAGGATGCGTGCAACCTCATTTGTGCCTTTTGACATGCACGAACTTTTTTGATAAGGACCTTCTTAATACATGCAGCAGAGATCAGGCTGGCAGAGCAATTGGGTGCTCTTTTTCCTCCAGCGAATTTAGGGTCGTGCAAGGGGAAAAAGTGTGCTGCTTTTGTGCTGACGCGATTTTGGTTCTGGAGACATGAGGCATAGGTTTGCAAGTTTTGATTTGGTGATCTCCGTTCGGACACTGGTCCTTGTGGAACTTGGGGCTGCCCTTTGCCCAGGCAATTGCAGCAGGTGCCACGGATGTCTTTCCTCCGGGGAAGCCATCCGCGTCATCTCTAGACTGGTTTGTATGAAGTGAACCAAGCGACCGCAGCCACGCCTCTGTCACAACAGACCGTGTCTGCGCGAGCTTAACAAACCCACCTTTTGGGAATGTGGGATACCAACTATTTATGGTGTTTTTTGGGGTGGACTGTTAACATGGATTTACCAAGTAAGAAACCATGTTTTTTTGATACCAATCCTTTGGAACCATAGCCATATGATTCTCACCCCATCAGTACGGATTCAATGTGACCCTCTGACTTAACGATGCCGTAGTGTCCCTCACTGCTTAGGGCAGGTGATTTGGGATTGCTAGACTTTGTTTTTTTGAATGAAAGGATGAACATGTGTGTTCTATTTCCGCAGCAGGGCCCGCACCCGTGACATCCGATTACAACGGAGAGTTGGTGATCATTAGATGCCAATGCACCAGCTGGTTGAGCCAGTTACAGGGTTTCTTGCCAGGCGAACTCTGCAAGTCGGATCGCAAAGGTGGAGCAAAGACAAAGTGCACTGCAGAAGTCTTTGAATAAGTCATGATGCTGTATTATCGCAATTTCGGGACTTGTATTATGCTTCATGTTCCTGTTCGGACCGACAAAATCCTCTAGGTAGTTTTCCACTCTTGTTTTTCCCCACCTGCCAGGTGAGGGTTGTTAGATTTTATCAGAGCTGTTCTCCTCCTCCGCCTCCTCCTTCTCCATCTCCTCCGCCTCCTCCTCCTCGCAGTCCAGATCCCAACCGCGACTTCCAGATCGCAGTGGGCACTGCCGGACCTCAACGGCGAATTCCAGATCCTAGTGGGCACTGCCGGACCTCAACGGCGAATTCCAGATCGTGCCAGAAGATAGAATCCCAGATAGAATGCCAGATAGAATGCCAGATAGAATGCCAGATAGTATGCCAGAAGATTTGCCAGATAGAATGCCAGAAGATATGCCAGATAGAATGCCAGATAGAATGCCAGAAGATATGTCAGATAGAATGCCAGAAGATTTGCCAGATAGAATGCCAGAAGATATGCCAGAAGATATGCCAGAAGATATGCCAGATAGAACGCCAGATAGAATGCCAGAAGATATGTCAGATAACATGCCAGAAGATTTGCCAGATAGAATGCCAGAAGATATGTCAGAACATATGCCAGAAGATATGCCAGATAGAATGCCAGATAGAATGCCAGAAGATATGTCAGATAGAATGCCAGAAGATTTGCCAGTAAGAAAATGTATAAATGCCATGGTGGGGATCATTCGAAGTGAAGTATTTTTTTCAGAACTTAGCTGTGGGATTTTGCGTTTCATTTTTCAACTATACTCATTTTGTTCCAAAGCGTGATCCAAAGCGTGACATGGCAACAAGCATTGATTCGGCTACAGAGAACAAATTCTTTTCCATCTGAAACCACTAGCTCCAAAGTATTGCTTTTGGGGAGCCAGCAAAATGGCCTGACAACTCGAATTTGAGAGATCATATTTAAGTATGTCCGCGTGAAGATTCGGTTTGAAAGATTGTTCAAGATCAAAAAGTTGAGATCAAAGATTGCTGCAAATCATACCAAGTTCTAGTACATGTTTATGTTTGACGATCGTGAATGGTCCACAGCAAGATTACATCACCACCCCACTATTATTATGGCCATCATCCGGTCTTGGAATTGCAAGAACAGTCATCACCATGACCAGCGGAAACAGCAGATAGGAAGTATGGTTACACATAGTAATGACAATCACTAGTTATGAGCAGCACACAATAGTTATAAACTTAGAGTTTCGATGGCTCTTCACCACGATGAATTGTTCATTCCCGCTGGAGAAGGCTCCGCTGCCAGGAGCGGGCGCATGTGAAGCAGCAACAGCAGGAACTTGCGGAGGCCACGCCTTAGAACCGCCAGTTGGGAAACGACGCCAGGGTGGCACTGCTCCAGATGTAGCTGTGTATGATGTATGTGTGTCGCGTAATATGTGTATACATATATCGAAATACAACGGATCCCATGCCCCTAATATTAAGCACCCCAAGGCAATCTGTTCATTTTTGGGGTTCCAAGGATGGTGTTTATATAATATTAGGGGAATGGATTATGTATATATATATAAACATATGCAGATCCATGCGCATACTCGTACCACGCACGGATTATGTGTATGTAGATACGTACCACCAGGGGGTGATATCTATGCGTATACATGACATGTATAACGACATGATTGGTTTCCTTCTCACCAGAATGGCCTTATGTTCGCAGAGAGAAACAGAAAATCCATGTTTACATGTACCCAGATGTTGCAGCCAATGATCCGGAGACGAATGTGGGCCTCGAACCCATGCAAATTCTTGGGTTTTAAGCAAAGTAGGGTTCCGGCAGTTTCAGGGGTTGTTCCTTGAATGGAAATCAGGATCGTTTTGCATTGAAGGTGCTCGGATGGCAGTTGTACGTTTTTTTTTTGAGTCTAATCATTCGGCTTGCATGAAACTGCTTGTTTCTGATCTCTGAGATCATGCTCAAAAGGTATACTGCCGATCCATTGAACCACACATCACTGATCTCTATTCTGATTATGAGTGCTGGGTGGCCCCATCACCCGCTCCATCCATTGCCGTAGCCTCAAAGGTGCTGAAGAAGATTCAAGAGGTGGAAACTGAGGTGGGGGACAGTGGATTTCTTGTGTGTCACATTGGCATAGATAGGTAGGGCTAATTTTACTTATATGAAAATGGAATGAACATTGAACACTTAGAGAAGCGAGATGTCGGCCGAATGGTGGAAGATCTCCACAAGAGCGCTGGACCTGCGCAGAAGTTTGTTTTGAGGTGTGACCTAAACAGTTGCCTACGCAACACGGCAATGCAGCCTTGGATGACATGTGGTCCCCACTGGCTGCCAGGCAGAGAAATGTGCTGCCAAGGCCGTTCCTGACTCGCGGGGCGCGGGTGGTAATGTAACAATGAAAGGCATTTTGTCCTTCCGAAAAAGTATTTTGATGTAGCAGAAACTTGCAGAAAATTGTGAATAAATGGCCATCCTCCTTGCTTTTTGAGTAGCAAAAGGGCTGTTTGCGCATCAGGTCTTGTATTAGACTGGCTCAGTATGCGCATGTCCCCATAGTCAGTTTTCTGCTAGAACGTGTGCCCACAAGTCAGGAACAATCTGTTGAATTGAAAGATGTCAGAAGAGCCCTTGATGCTTTACAAGCTGTCCTTCAAAGATGCCTAGCAATTTCAAGGCAAGTATCCCAGACAAGCAGATGTGCCAAAAGTTCCACCGGTGTCGGCATTGGCCCACTGCAGGACCATTCCACTGAACAGCTGCAGGGCATCGAAAAGGCCCCTCCCTCATCTGGTAAGTTTCGGGGATGTGGAATTTGTGGGTGCACACAGTGGAGAACGGTTTATCTCCGGAGAAATGAGCAAACATCTCACTTGGAGCATGTGCGGCATTGATGGACAAACTCCTGCCCGACCAGGGAAGGACAAACCCTCGTCAATTCATGGACTGGACATGCACGAATCCGTTGATCATGATTCACTCAACCTGCATATGGCTGCTGAACAATGATGATCCTCCAACATGTACAGTTTCCCACTGAATGTATGATCAATCCTGTGTGTTCTTTGGTGACCCATGGCTGTGAGTCATGGCCACATATTTTTTTTGCGCCAAGGCACTGAAGATGAAGATGAAGCAGTTGCCCAGCTTTGAAATGGAAAGAAATCGGTGCCATGTGCCATGTGTATGTGGCAAATTGTAGTGGCATGATTTGGATAATGACGCAGTCACTTTCGTCTCACAGGCTTTCAACACTCTTAGAAGATTCACGTTGTTGCGAGGTGCATCTTTTGGGGATTTCATCAAGAACGAAGCTGCAAAAGGAAGTGGAAGTGGTATGTTTGCCCTATGATACTTTCCATCCAAGGTGTGGAAAGCTCATTGACATCAAACTGAAGAGTCAGCGCCTCAGAGGGACGATGGCTGCCGGGTCCAGGGACCTTGACCGGCTGACAGGTAGAATACTGTTTTGGTAGGCTGATTGGCATACCTTTTGTTGTTATATTGTTGGGAATCCCACTTTCGAAAAGTGTGTATATGTACACACACATATATATATATATATATGGCAGTGGGTCAAAACCTTGTACCCCTGGTGAACATCAAAATAGCTGGTAAATGGATGTTCATCCCACTAAAAATGGTATTAATAGGTATTGATCCATACCCATATATAATATATATATATATGATGTATTATGTGTATTATTCATATCAAAGATGGCCAGAAAACCAGCAAAGTGGGGTGTCTTTACATTTCTACGGCTGTTCCTGCAACTTTCCTTCTTCCCTAAGTGTCCATCTTTGATCGCTCGCAGTGATACCCTCGATGACTGTTGCCAGTTGAACCCCCTTTTGGTGGACGGCTTCTGCGTCGGTCCATGCGACAAGCAACTTCAACCCATAAACACCAACCTTTCAATACCAGCTAGCCATCCAACACACCCAAACTTAACCAAGCAACCGAACCAACAAAGTGTCACTGACCTAATCTACCAGTATAAACCCTCTGAACCAACACTATAACCACCCAGACCAACCGACCAACCAACCATAACCATAACTATAACTATAACCAACCACAACCCACCATCAAACATAACAATGCCCATAACCAAAGCTATTACAGTACCATAACCGTAACCAGCCACCACCTCTGTTGGCTTCAGGCGCTTCCGGCTTCATGTTCACAGAGCTCAAAGAGTTGACGCTGCGGCTTTCGAAGGCCAGGGCACCTCAACTGGAGCTGACCAGTTGGAACATGGTGGATGGTGTATCATGGGATGTGGGTAAATAATAGGTACAGAAATGTGATACATACCGACGTATACTCGTTATTTAACTTATGTGTATATATGTATATACCATTGGTTACACAATGGTACAGAACGGATGTATGTATGTATGTATGTAATGTATGTATGTATGTATGTATGTATGTATTAATGTAATGTATTAATGTAATGTATTAATGTAATGTATTAATGTAATGTATTAATGTAATGTATTAATGTAATGTATTAATGCAATGCAATGCAATGCAATGTAATGTAATGTTATGGAATGTTATGTAATGTTATGTAATGTTATGTAATGTTATGTAATGTTATGTAATGTTATGTAATGTTATGTTAATGTTATGTAATGCTGTATGTAAATGTTATGTAATGTATGTAATGGATGTAATGTAATGTTAATGTAATGTTATGTAATGTAATGTAATGTTATGTAGTAAATGTAATGCAATGTAATGTAATGTAATGTAATGCAATGTAATGCAATGCAATGCATGTAATGCAATGTAATGTTATGTTATGTTTATGTTAATGTAATGTAATGTAATCTAATGTAATAATCTAATGTAATCTAATAATGTAATGTAATGTAATGTAATGTAATGTAATGTTGTATGTGTATGTATGTATGTTGTTATGTAATGTAATGTAATGTAATGTAATGCAATGTAATGCAATGTAATGCAATGTAATGCAATGTAATGCAATGTAATGCAATGTAATGCAATGTAATGCAATGTAATGCAATGTATGCAATGTAATGCAATGTAATGCAATGTAATGCAATGTAATGCAATGTAATGCAATGTAATGCAATGTAATGCAATTGTAATGCAATGCAATGCAATGTAATGCAATGTAATGCACTGCAATGCAATGCAATGCAATGTAATGCAATGTAATGCAATGTAATGCAATGCAATGTAAATGCATGTATGTAATGCAATGTATGCAGAACGTGCAATGTATGTACCGTAATGTGTATGTTTGTAATGTTGTAATGTAATGTAATGTGTATGTAATGTATGTAAATGTATGTAATGTATGTAATGTATGTAATGTATGTAATGTATGTAATGTATGTAATGTATGTAATGTATGTAATGTATGTAATGTATGTAATGTATGTAATGTATGTAATGTATGTAATGTATGTAATGTATGTAATGTATGTAATGTATGTAATGTATGTAATGTATGCAATGTATGTAATGTATTGTATTGTATTGTACTGTATTGTATTGTATTGTATTGTATTTATTGTATTGTATTGTATTGTATGTTATGTATGTATTGTATGTTATGTATGTATTGTATGTAATGTATGTAATGTATGTTATGTTATGTTATGTTATGTTATGTTATGTTATGTATGTTATGTTATGTTATGTTATGTTATGGTATGTTATGTTATGTTATGTTATGTTATGTTATGTTATGTATGTATGTATGTATATATATATTATATATTATAGCACCACTAAAGTTTTGTCAGTCAGTCGCATCTAACATGAGTTAGTGATATGTAACTCAGTGGATTTATGGTGATCTAGACCATTAACAGCGATTCCCACCTTTGTTTTTGGGCGGTTTTGTTCGGAAAGCTGCATGAGCCTCGTGAAATCACCCCTCTTGTCAGGCGAAGGCAACCGGAGGCCCGAAGGGTAGTCGTTTGGTCTATTTTTGAGGAGTGAGTTTGCTTGAAAGCCGCTGACGACATGATTAGTTCATAGAAACTGGAGCAGTTTTTCACATCCTAGCAATTCTGCTCTTTTGTCGAAATGTGCACCCATGTAGCTCTTAGATAGATATCCTTGCATGTGTTGTCCATTTAGCCTGATGAATTGTCAAACTAGAACATGTTATTTTTTTGAAATGGACACATCAAGTTGGAAATCTTAGATGAGAGATATACATTGATAGATATAGATTTGAATTGATTAGAGTGGATTGGACTAGACAAATTAGACTATATATAATTAGACTGATTAGACGTATATATCTATGAACTTTTAGATGCATAGATATTAGATTCATACTGTATCATACTGTAGATAATATATATATATTATATATTATATATATAATAATTATATAAGTACACGGAGAGCGATATAAATCGATACAAAGATATTAAGGCATTTGGATATATATAGACGTATAGACAGAACTGTCTCGAACTATATATATATATATATCGATATATAGACCACCAACAAGATGTAGAACTATATAGAACTAAACTAGATAGATAGATAGATAGATAGATGGACAGAAATGGATATATGTACATTGTACACATAGATACCTCGATTCCACCACCAAGACCTAATAAAAAAAGGGCTTAGGCCGGGGCACGCCATGACGCTCCAGGTGTTACGGCCCCACCGGGAATTTCCAGCACGACGCCCATCAAGGTGGGTATTCAACGATGTGCATCAAAATTATGGGAATAGGTGGGATATACAACGGATATAACTGATAAATAATGATAAATAATGATGAAAAGTCATGAAAAGTCATGGGGACAAGAGATGATATAACTTAATATAACTTATATACCTTATATACTGATACAACTGATAATGATGCATGTTCAATGTTTTCTTCCTATGGGGTGAAAGTTTACTGTCCGGTCAATATTGGGGAGGATGGTCAAGTGGATTTCACCAAACATGCCGAGTTCACCCAAAGTACATCAATTTGGCGTCAACAAATGGCATGGACAATCAAGTTTTACCGTGGTATGATCGCAATTTCAACACATCATCACTTCACTTGTCCAACTTGTGTTCCTAAGACAGTAGTGATATCAGCCAGCTATATGTACTTATTAAAGTACACTTATGGATTGCAGGATATCACTATGGCGGTTGGCGTCCAATTTTTATGGACGTGTCCAGGCCGGAGGAGTGGCTCCTGGTGCTGTGCCCAGATTTGGATGATCTTAATGGGTGGTATGACCCACCAAAGAGTGGTAAATAAACATGGGTTTACCACATTATCTGATACTATATATTACTATATGCCACATTATCTGATACTATATGATTTTACATGGGGATAAAACCCAGAATCACATAAATCGGCAATATCACAATGTCACAGCTGTCACGGACCCTTTTTTGGGAAGGGGACCCTTATTTTAATCGAAACCTTCTTTGTAAGTTTTCTTCTCGTCACACTGCACCATTTCTTTTGTCGCATCAACTCGCGTATCTGAGGTGAGAAAGCAGCACCCAAGGCATAGTGGCATGTTGTGGATGGTGTATAATGGTGCAAGCAGCAATGTTTACAGTGTAAGCCTCCAGGATTGTCCAGTGGATACCATATAGGATAACCAGATACCGAAAATTTGCCTTTTTTGGCCAGGCGGCACGGCCGGGTGCTTCCTCTGAGAGGACGGCATCCAATGAGGCTGGTGCCAAAGCTGGCCAACTCCTCCTGAATTTGCTGAACAACAAGGAGGACCCAGCGACATGGATCAGAAAGAATCACCGAGCTAGTCTTTTGGGATAGGGAACTTGAGATAACTTGAGTTATTTTTTTTGAAACGCTTCAATTCACATGAAGAGGATGAAGAGGTTCCTGCAAACGTGCGTTTGACATGTCACAAGAAAGCCAATTGAGAGACATAGAGTCGTTCCCAGAATTGGATGATAAGAACATTTAAAGGAAGTTGGTGGTAAAGACATTGATTTGCTGTAGATTTTCACATGATTTTCACTTAAAACCTCTTAAACCCAGCCATTGAATCATGAGTCCAGTTCAAATCGAGCCACAGGAGAAGCCAATCCAGAATGCCGGCGCGGCATTGCTGCAGCAGCTGAAGGGCGGAGGAAAGAAGCCTGAAGGCAGCTGCCTCGACAAGTTGCTTCTTGCTCTGACAATGGTGGATTTACCAAATTTCATGGGGAAAATGATGAGTCACTAGTAGGATTAAGTTCTCAGGTACCAACCCAAATCCATTCCCTCATATTCCCTCTTTTTTTTGGGGGGAGAGGGGAATCATGAGGATCCCCATGAAATTTGACCATAAATGATGGCTCAGGGGTTTCCCAAGAAGTAAATGACTGTATTGAACTTGGTGCCAGTTCGCAGCGATGACGGCGCGGGAATGGCATTGCTCCAATTAGTGAAGAACGGAGAGAAGAGCTGGACCCAAGGCGCCGGAATGGGATCAAAACTCGAGGTCCCTAAAAAAGAGGATCGTTTACTTCGGTTCAGTAAGTTTTGCAGTTTAGACTGCTTTAGTACTAGTACTTTACTGTCGGATGTTTTTTTTGGGGGAGCATTGAGCATCCATGTAATGTTTGACCTAATCTATGTAGTTACGCAGAAGTAGGGTGTAAATGTGCTTTAACAGGCTGAACATGTAATGTGTTACTAAGATAGCAGTGAAATGACTGGAATAATTCTGATATATTCTGATTCTGATGCTCCTCCCTGAGTCGTTTTGTTCCAGGAACTGGAGCCGGCTGGTCATGGTGGAACGCAGTCAGGGCCCCCAGCATTTTCAGCCAACTGCATGGCTGCCACGCGTCGCGTTTTGAGGATTGGGACAACTGGGGCCAGGGAAAGGCTGGCTGTGGCATTGTTTGGGGATCATCATTTTTGGCCACCACAATTCAATCCTATTGGCCTATGGATCCTATAGGCTTTTAGCCCACACACTCTGCACTCCAAATGGGCATGTGGAAGGCCCCAGTTTTCTCATGTACATTGCATCAACAGTTTGCCATTTCAGATCTCCAAAAGGAAAGCAACATGAAACGTCTTGACCTTGGACGGTAGGCTGGCAAGAAGGCCAAGTCCTCAGATTGGGCTGGGAACCCGGTTCACATTTTGCATGGCCTTTGACTTTAGCAGACATGGAACGACTTTCAGGCATGGAACTCTGGAGCCAGGGGAGCCAAGCTGTTTCAAATGACATTGACATTCATTTGTTTTGGCATGTTTCAGGGATGATTTGAGTTTAGGGGATGGATCAAAGTGTGCGACCTTGATATTTTCATGAAGTTAAATATATTGGGCACTACCCTCTGGTAAGTTGACATAGCCTTTGAAAATCCTCTGTTTATAGATGAATTTCACTGATTTTCCCACATTTTCCTGGATTTTGTTCGGGGATTTCGCATTGCCATGTTTGATCACCGAAAAATAAGATTAGGGACGCCAAGCTTGCCGCTGGCCGAGGATTTGTGGGGCTATGGCCAGGACACGGATAGGATGAACTTCACATTCAACCCCGAAAAAAAGTTGAAGAATAGTTCCCCAAAAGGTTGAGCTGAATAGTTTGATAATAGAAGATATCTATTGATATCTATAGGGCCCTGATTTCTGCTGAGATTTGGGTGTCATCCGTGCATGTTGGTATACTGGAGGGGATATGTTTTCTGAGTCACTTGGGCTGCAGGAGTGGTCGCAGAATGAGGCCCAGTGGTGGGCTCCAAGTGCCCCGCAGTGGCCCAGGCGGGGGTCCCCGCGTTGGATGCTGGATGGGAATGCGGATGTCGGTGAGTGGGAATGCCACTGAATGCTGCTCAATAAACTTATTCTTCCTCTCAATTGTCAATTGCCTGCCAATCTTGGTGTTGAAAATTTCAGGCACCTCCCAGTTTGGCCGCAACAACGGATGGTTCCCGAACCATTTCACCGAGCCGCAGGCAGAGTCCCAAGAAGGGCAAAGGGAAGTGAGCTCGACAGGCCAACAGCCAGGACAGAGATTGGATCATGGCAGATCGATAGATAGATTAGATAGATACTGTAGAGTATCTTTGGATATTGAAATGATGATTGAAATGATGGTTGAGGGTGTTGACCAGGACACCTCCTAGGGATCGTTGGGGCCCCTGGCGTCGCCCTTTCAATTTGCGAAGAGCGCTTTGGTCCTGTGATTTTCATGTGAGAATTGTCCGCAACTGGGGGTGTAACCAACAAGAATGGGGAATTACCCAACCAAAACAATATACCAGATGTTCACATGAGGTTCATTTTTATGTGGAAATAGGCTGGTGGTTGGAAGATTGGGTTACTTGGTAGCTTTGGGATGCTTTCGGTGTACCGACTGCTTCCTCTTGGGCCACTCAGGAACGATTCAGATGACTCCAATCAGCCAAAGGCGCAATGCTGATTTGAATTGACACCATCCTACTTAAAATATTCAAATCAGCTGCATCCGGTACAGGTATCAGTTATGTCATGTCTGATGAATTTATTCAGTGAGCGGAAGTGAATTGCAAGTGACCATGTGCCAATGCAAAGTGTGAGTTGGAGGGCTGCGGGTGGCCAAAACTGTCAACCCCCCCCTACCAATCCCAGAATCCCAGAACTGGTTCAACCCAAAATTTGGAGGAACACCCAAATTCTTGCAGGTAAAACACTTCGACACATTTGCATCTGGTTTTGCTTCGTTGAGGCAGCCAAGTCGAGCGGAAAGTGATCGAAGATTGGCAAAAACTACGCTAAATGACATTCCTAGATGGAACACTGCCGTCATGAATCAGAACACTGAAACCAGATCAGTGTTGAACGATGTCTAACAGCCTTAAAGCTGGCATGTCTCAAGCATTTTTTAGAGAACAAGGGATCTGATTCATGATTGGCATGACCTTTTGTGCAAGTAATGGCGCTGCAAAATTTCATGCAGCTGATTCTCATGCACGTTTCTGGTAGCAGGCTGGACCAGTCACCCGTAGACTCTCATGAAGCATTTCACAACCAGCCTTTGGTGGGTGATTTCAGGTTTCAACTGTCTTTCACTGTTCATCCCTACCTGAAATCATGACCCCACTTGACTCTTATATTGTAATTAGACAGGATGAAATAAAATGAAACCACCAACCAGAGTTTCAGAAGCTGAAAAGCTGATCCTCCAACTGAGCCAATAGTCCAATCCACTCCAACTTGACGAGCCAGGTGTGTCACGAAGTTGCGTAGCTTGCTTGGGTGATGTTCGGAAAATCCTAGATGGATTCCTGCAGCGATCCGATGTTCATATTAATACACCAGCCAAGACATGACGGTATCCCAGCCATAGTAGGACACCAAGCCTAGTATCAGATTCCAAGATCATATATTATATCAAACCGGATTTTCTTGTAGAATTGTAGAGTGTTCCTTCAAGCAAGCCATTGACAGATTGAGACATTTCAAGTCAGTCAGCAGGTAAGAATCTGTAAGACAGCTGCTGGGATATCGTCACTCTCGCGCACAGACGCACGGCATCGAATGGTTTCAAGACTCTGATGAGAAAAAAAACAAGGAGAAAGCCTGTGTAGCTACAAGATGCTCAGGGTCCTGTGCAGCTCAGTTTATCTCACTTGTTTCTGTTCTTGTATTTCTAAGCCTAACTTGGGGTGCAATGCTGCGTCAAGTGTTCCATGTTGGAATGCAGAAGCAGTGATGGCTCAAATTTCAGCAGGTGCATTCTGTGGAAACATTCAAGAGCTGCATGAGGTGGTCCGCTCATGTAACTAAGGACTAGCACATTCCAGGCGCAGGGATTAGCATCTTTTTCCGGGAGGTACTCGTAGTTGCTGACCATGCAGTCGCTTGTGGCTTGCATTCACGAATTTCTGGAGAGGGCCAACCAACTTGCAGCTTGGCAAAGCTTGGCAGCAATATGGGGCCCAGATTTCCAAGCGTTCCATCATGATTGATGCATGTTTCTTGGGCTGGGAGACCCCAAAAGCCAACTTTTCCCTGAAAAATCGATTGCTGTGGGACCCCTCCAACTCCCCATCGACATGACATGACAGGCATTGAGCTCGTGTGGCTCATGCTATGGACCTGGCCGTGATCGACAGCCTTTGGATTCAGTTTTGGTGAGTTTGTTTGACGTGAGCCCGCTGGGCGATGCCGATCCGGAGGCAGGGAGCCCAAGAGAAAATAGCAAAAAACAAGAGAGAGACTTCAGAGAGACCATATTTTGTCAAAATATTTTGAGAGAATGTTCCAGGTGGTTTTTTGCAATATGTTATCTATGACTTCGGATGGATTTGGCGTTGTACTCCAGAAATAAGTTGGCAGGCAGTTTCAATCATGTAGTTTTCTTACCCTGCATGCGAAAGAGAACCTCAATCGAGCGTCAGATTGTTTCGGTGGTTGTTCTTCCAGTGCATGTTTTGTGCAAGGTTTGATGGAGCCATATCCATCCATATCCCTGAAATCCAGCATAAGAACATTCCCCAAACATCCCCAAAACCAGATAATCTCCTTGGAAATGGTCATTGAGTCAAAAGACATTCAACACGGGGATCCGTGTCACGACATTTCCCTCAGGCCATTCGAGGTACCCAGCGGGGAGCCAGATTTTTGCATGTTGCATGAAGGGCGGATTGAAGAAGCAATCCGCGAGTTTCATAGCGTCTGCAACCGGGTGCCCAGGACCAACTATTACCAGCTGATGAAGTTTGAAAAATTGAAGGGACATTTTACACTTGAAACCACGTGGAAAAACTATGGTTCCAATATGCTTCCCCTGTCAATCGTGACAGCCTTCCCTTCAAGCAATGGATATGTGAGAAGGGGATGAACTTGTATGACGTTAGGGTGCATTTTGCGTCATTTTGTAAGAGATTGGCAACAGCAGTTCAGAACGTTCCCTAGTTAGGCCCTAGTTGGAATGGCTGGGAAGCTAGTACAACATCCTCGAGTTCCGACGAACAAGCAGTATAATCGGGAAGATGTGAGGCCGCTCGAAGCCAAAATTGAAAGGATTTAAATTTTCTGTTTCTTACAGTATTGAGATGGATCAGGGAAGATCAAGAGTGATTTAAGATGATTTAAGGCTTTTACGAGTAGGTTTGATCTCGAGTTTGCTTGAAGCAAGCTGGGATGCAAGAGAATTGCATCAAAAACGGTGGCACTTGAGAATCCAAACAGTTTCAATGCAGGCCGACAGCTTGACCAATGAGTCAAACATGGCAGAGGTTCACAGGAAAAGCAGATACAGTATTATAGTAATCCCCAGAAAGATAGACACGTAAAAAAAGTCCGAAAAAAACCGGTCACAAACAACTTCTCTGTTTTTGTTGGGGTATCGGTAAAATCATAAAAGAAACAACATACCAGGTGAGTTTCATGGAAGTGTATGGAAATATGCAGCACCCCGAGTTCCCTCCAGGAATGCTGTTGCGCGTACCAACTTGGGCAGCGCCTATTTTGAGCGTGGCGATGAGGATGCAGCCTTGCATTGGTTTCGGTACGCCTATCGTGGCTGGGCAGACGCTCCGGAAGGGATGGTATTGTTGGAGGACTCTGAAATGGAGGCATACCCGTGTACCCCAAAATCATCCAAGTCACTGCTTTTGATCAATGGGAAAAAACAATGGTTTGGGTTCCTATATTTTAGGAAACCCCAAATTCAAGGTTTGGATGCGAATGATGCGGAATGATTTTGAAGAATGTCGTGGAGCATCCTCAATTCCAACTACTACAACAATCATTGGATATCATTATGGAATATTATCGATATAATTGGCAAGTTTGGCCGCCCATTGTCATTTGATGAACCCATGTTTTTGATCCTGACCCCTGACACACACACAAAAATGTTGCTTGAAATGCCTGGAATGGTTAGGCCCTGCCTTTAGTGATCAGGCAATGGAATCCACACGATTTTGCAGATGGACCAGCGATATGGGTATTTGTCCCAGCGATGAAGCTTAGGTTGCGATCGAGTAGACCCCCATTATATGTCGCTTGAACCTAATTATATGTTTAATTTATATTTATTGTGCGAGGTTTTACCTTCAGGAAAAATTGAACCCGAAGGTAAAATAGGGGTTATATACCGGTTACCCCTCGACCTTTTCACTGTTTGTACTTCATTTCTGATTGCTTGTGGTTACTGTATCCCCCCACTCTCCCATGGATGGTAGTGGGATGTTAGTGGACCGGCGGATCATAGCACGTAATAAGCCAAGTCAAAGCCCAATATGTTGGGTGAGATGGCTCCTGTAGACCTTGGAAAAAGCCTCATGTTCCAGCATGTTCCTATATTTTCCCTCCAATTTTCCTATGAAACTTGCCATAAAAAGGTGGATGTCTCCCAGGTTCCAACCTTATTTGAGCCATGGCTCAGTTGCCGCCGGAGGCCTGGACAATCGCAGCTGCCGCATCCTTCGTGGGGCCGTGTTGGAGCAGCGCTGCGGCAACTATACGGAGGCGCTGTGGTTGCTCAGGAACTACCTGCGACTTGGATGCGACCTGGGGATGCTATGGCATGGGGGTCAATAGTGGTCAACAGTGGCTAGTCATGGGCAATAGTGGTCAAAAATGGTCAATAAATGCTTAATAATGCCTAATAAGGGTTAACAACGGTTAAACATGGTTAAAAATTAAAAATGGTTGATAATGATTATATAATAGCGCGGTGATTAGTGGTAATTAATTGTTAAGAATACTGTCATTTGTCCTTTGATATTGAACCGTTTGCGAAGAAAAATGGTGGATGATTTACTTATTAAACATGGTGGTTTTCCATTTCTGTGTTGAATTGCCACATGGCTATTTGTACCAACAAAGGAGGATCATTGGAGTCCAACTCATAAGAAAACATGGGAATGTCGTAAGATATCACCTTGAAACTTGATATACGGAAAAGATGCAGAAATAGATACTTTACTGGACAGAATCTGGGGTGTACAGTGGGTTCAGTGAAATCACGGTAAAATATGGGTAAGACAGGGCGTGAGAAGTAAATCAGTAAATCAAGAGTCCATGTTTTCCACCCCATATCCATGTTTTCCTTGTTTTTGGTGGACAGTTCAATGGATATGTGACTCACAGTGACAGTTCTAGTACAATGCTAGTACGAACTCGGTGTTGCTAAGGCAAGAAGTTGATGAGTTCAACATGCAGGTGCGCACTGGTTTCAACTGACAGCTGACTGCCGTGCATTTTGAAAGATGGTGCGAGTCTGAAAGTGCAAGACTCGATGTACCTGATCCGTGATCCCAGCATTCTTGTAGTTTTAGCTCAGGTACATACCCCGTTCCATGTTAAGATAGGATTCAAGATCCAAAAATGATAAAATGTAATGACACATGCACTGTATATGTTTTATCTCGATACATGAAGGATGGATCACCTGCTCAATTTGGTAAGATTTGGATAGATTTGGTAGGAAAACATTGCAATGTAAACCTCTGGGCATCCAAAATGGTTGATGGATGTCTTCCCCATTCAAGATAGATTTACACTGCCCACACAGCTTACCAAGAGCCTAACTTGCACGTGTTTTCAGCAAGTCAGTAGTTCCCTGAGAAGACCGAATTCAAAGAAAAAAAATGCCGGTTGTCTTTGAAAAGGTTAGGGGGTTCTTTTTCAGGTGGCTCCACAGTTGTCTCTTCCTGTTCGAAAAGAGGATGCTCTTGACTCTTTACATCACATTTTGGAAATGTCACCTTGCTCTCTTGGCACTTTCTAGTGTTTTCTATTGTGTAATGGTAATTTAATAAACTACCCATATTTTGGTTTATACCACCCATAAAATTGGTGAATCATTGGGGATGGTGCATCCTATAGTGCTTTACCAACATGAGATTTTTCTGGAACCATCCGTTTTTCCATGGGTTTCATATATGTTTCACGGCTTGGATCGCCGAACGTCCAGGTGTTGCACCAGCTGGCCATGCTGTACCGCGATCGTCAGCAGTGGACCCAGGCGGGCACCTGCTTGTAGGAAGAGACTTCTAAAATATCAAAAAATTGCCAATCCCAGGCAAGATGGGTGGTACTGAGTTTTTGTGGTTGCAATGTATCCATTGTTCTGGGTACTTTCAGGGTCTAGGAAGGCCGAGGTACAGGTAGAAATACTGTAATTGTATAAGCAGAATTACATCGATATGATGATATGTAATTATTTTAGCTTCAGGGCAAGCCATGGGCAGCCCCGTCAAACATATGCTATAAACACACTTGCTCCACCTTTGTTCTTGGCTCTGTGTGTGTGTGTGTTTGTGCGCCACCGGTTGAGGCAAATGCTGTTAGGACACTGGCTTGAACAAGAGGAAGCACAAATTGCATGTTTTTCCCTGACATTGTTTAGCATTAGCAGCAAACCTGTAGGCAAATATATGGAGCTCGCAGTGATTCGCAGTGTCAGATTTGCAGCAAGCTTCACTTGTTCTAAAGTCATCTCCCAGCATCTACTTTCATCCACTGCTTCAGTCCCAGCTCAGGCGGATCCCACCAACCGGGAGATTGCCAAAGAACTTCTGCCGCCAGCGGTGGAGATGTGATCGAGTACCGCAGCCATGGCTACAATGAGAGGTGCCACAGCTCAGATCCATTGATCAATGGTCCATTCAGGTGTCTCGAACTACTGGGCCCTAATACTAGGTCATATAATAGATAACATTTCCATACATTTCCTTAGAATGACCTGACCTATGTGGTATACCTCCAATTTATGTGCCTTTTTTCACACCTGGCCACGGTACTTCTGGTAAGGGGAATCACCCCAAAGCCCAGCCCACTTGCTGAGATTTGCCGACTTAGTAGCTGCGTGGGGTTTTCCCAAAGCAATCAACTCCTGGTCGAATTGCCACTGGCAGGGAATATTAGGGATTTTAAAGCAACACCACACTCCAGATATCTCCAGATGTTACCATCCTGCTATTTATTTTTGGAGTTGTCTTTGACTGGCGCATTGGTGGAATCAGTCCTTGTTACCATCAGATTCCGTCCTTGTCTGCAGAAATCATTGGCGGCCAATCCCACACGCTCTGTGATGAGAGGTTCGGGCTCCGGCTGAATCTTCTTGTATCCTCTTGTATCCTCTTGGATGCTCATGCAATGCCATGCCATGCCATGCCATCATCATCATCATCCTCCTCCTCCTCTTCATCCTCCTCGTTGTTATTGTTGTTATTGTTATTGTTTGTTGTGTTTGTTGTGTTTTTTGATTGTATCATCATGATTACCTTCGCCATTGTCAGCTATCAGCAACCATCATCACTGTCTAAAAAGGGGCAGATCGGAACAAACAAAGTAACCAGGTTTATTCATGTTTGACGGGTGGCTAGTAGGGGCAATTATCCTCATGTTCGTTTTCAGCTTAGTGAATTGCTTCAAGTTATCCAGAGGATAATATGTTCATTAGTGTCATCGTAATTATTACTATTGTTTTTGTCAGTATTGTTATTCGTTTATATCTTTATGGACAGGGTTGGGATTGTTGCAATGAATGTCACCAGCAAGTCCAGCTTGTTGCTTTATAAGTCCCGTTAACAATATCCATCTACCAAAAACCGTCTATAATTCATGCAGGTAAATGCAGGTAAGTGGTCTTTATATCACTATTAAACCATACACTATACACCAACATACTAAACCAAGATACTAGACCAATATCATCACCATTTCAGTAGCTTAAACCCCCCATCCAACCCCGGAAACCAAGCCATTTCATGCCATTTCCATAAATTTGGAACATCTCATAAATGTTAGATAAATCTCATGAAATCCCCATGAAGATCCCCATGAAATGCCCACGGACTGCCAGGTTGCCGCCAAGTCGACGCCGGGGCGATGGCGAAGAGGTCCGGCCTGGGAGATGCGTCCGGAACTGAGTCGGCCATGGGGGGCACTTACGAACCATGAAAAATTGGGATTCAAGGATATTCAAGGTACAGAAATGAGGATTTAGTCATGAAGAATTAGATCTATAGACTTTGCAACAAAAATGGAGGTTTTACGTGATTTAACCATAGAACATTGTGGTTTAACCATCAAATTTGGTGCTTTGAACTTTAAGAGGACAAAGTCAACTTCGGATTATTATTATTGAACCCGGTTTATTCATTAACATGCCCCTCCCAATTGAGCCCAAGGTTCATCGCAAGTTGACATTATTAAACATCAGTGAAAATCTAGCCAACACAGGGAGAAAGAATGAGAGGTTTTTTGGGGGCGTGACATGGTGGGATTTGTGTCGTGGAAAGTCTGGCTGATTGGAGATGATCTCACTGAGCCGATCTTGGGTCGCTCAGGCGCGGGACTTCCGCGGACTCCGCGGACCGCACTTTGCCAAGAACTAGCGGCCCCAGAGTTTTGCAGAAAGTCGCAAGATTCGCAAGTATCAATTGATCTGTTTGACCTTAATACAGCCTCATGTCGTTTTTGTTCCTGTCTTCGTCGAACATGCTGAATATATCATAATATAGTCTGAATTTGTTACCATTGCTCACGTTTGTGATCCTGCGGACGTGAAAAAATCCGGAAACGTACTTCGATGTCGTTGCCAAGGCCGCTCCGGCTCTGTAGATCCTCGCTTACCATCTGCCGAACGCCTTGCACCAAGTCACCGTTGATCCAAAACTAAATTAAAAGCTGCACGGTATAAGAATACTAATAAGAGGTTATAAGTCTGGACATTTAAGATCATTTAAGGAATTGCTCCAATTTTATGGTAATTCAAATGCGGAATATGGCGACGAACCATTAGATTTTTTGGGATACAGATCCGGGATACCACAGTTTTGGACTCTGACAAACCGCTGCGAAAGGGCTTGAACCGTCATGAACCGTCCACCTCAGGCCGGATGTCCATTGCAGATCGTTGGGAGCCTTGATTTCAGCCAATTCCAATCCCAAAGCTGTCATATTAGGTGTGTAATTATACAAGAAAATGCGGTTGAAAAAATGGCTATGCCCCCATGGTTTTCGGAAAACCCCTGAACAACCAATGGATTTAGGGGGTTTGTTTACCACATTTTGATTTTATTTTCAGAGAAACCCAATGGGGATTTTGAGGTCGGGCTGGCTCGGCCGAACGCCTGGAGCCCAGCTTTGGGAATGCCTACATTGCCTACATTGTATGATGCTGATTATATGTGACTATGTGAGAACGATCATATCCGTTGGGATACTTTAGGGAAACCACATCATAATATGATACAATATGTTTATGTTTGAAATGTGCATCAGGGTTGAAAGAAGATTTGGCTACTTCCGAAATCTCAAAAATCTGGCCTAACAACACATTCGACATGGAAAGTCACCCATTTATAGATGATGCTCCCAGCTATAAACATTCATGTACTCCAATTGAGTTGGGATTTCCGAGCCATGTTTGATTGCCATTAATTATTCATCACCATGAATCAGCATTATAAACTATGAATAGAAGCATCGTGATTATGGTTCTTCGATAATTATGAACGTTTATTTTTACATAACCTTTATTGACAATTATTGACCAGGAATCGCCATGAATCACCAATCACCATGATCAACCACTATGAACCATAAAAATAAGATGTCACTGCTGTTGGATCAGCGGGGTCAGCGGTTCTCCAAAGGATGCCAATTTCCACTGATACGCTATGAAAACTACTCCTCGCATCTTTCTTTTTTCCACACATGCCCAAAACGACCTGATCATTGATCATTATAAGGGCTGCCGCCGCTGCCGCCGACCCCGGAAGCGGCAATTAATCAAACCAAATTGGCATAAATATTCTTCGGTGCTTCGCGCTTTCAGGTTTTACCCCTTTTTCATGTGTATATGTTTGTGAAATATATTTGATCAAAGGAAGTTGGGAAGCAATACTTCCGAGTAACGAATGACTTTTACTATGATGAAGGGTGGTGCGCGATCTATACTTGATGGAATTGACTATGATGAAGGGTGGTGCGTGACCTAACAATACATAACAAAAGAATAAGAAGCGATGGAATTGACTATGGTGAAGGGTGGTGCGTGATCTAACAATACTGAAGGGTGGTGCGTGATCGAACAATACACATCGCAAAAGAATAAGAAGGTCTGGAATTGACTATGATGAAGGGTGGTGCGTGATCTAACAATACATAATCAAAGGAAGCTGGTGACGATGGGAAGTGGTGAGGAAGGGAAGTGGTGAGGTGAGGAAGGGAAGTGATGACGAAGGGAAATGGTGACAAAGGGAAGTGATGATGAAGGGGAGTGGTGAGGAAGGGAGGTGGGGACGATGGGAATTGGTGAGGAAGGGAAGTGGTGAGGAAGGGCAGTGATGATGAAGGGGAGTGGTGAGGAAGGGAGGTGGGGACGATGGGAATTGGTGAGGAAGGGAAGTGGTGAGGAAGGGAAGTGGACGAAGGGAGGTGGTGACGATGGGAAGTGGTAACGATGGGCAGTGGTGAGAAAGGAAAGCGGTGATGATGGGAAGTGGTGACGAGGGTTGCATGTGCTATGTGTTGGGGAGGAAGCCGGAGCACGAAACCTTGAGTTTTTCCGTGTGAAGTGGTCGCAGCCGGCAATGAAAGGTACCGCGTGTGTGCGGCGGTTGCGGCTGGGGTCGTTTCATGCGCGAATTGTTCCTCCTATGTGTTTTGCAACGAGTGGTTGTTCCTGTGTGCGTAGTTCTATGCGGTTCTTGAATCTCTGGTTGCAGATTGCATTGGAATGGCTGCTTCATTGTCGTCATTTGATGTTGCCACGTGCGTAGATAGGTGCAGGTTTGCTACGGGATGCTGGGAAACGCATTGTCATGGCTGCATGAATGTTGCATGTGCTATGTGTTGGGGAGGAAGCCGGAGCACGAAACCTTGAGTTTTTCCGTGTGAAGTGGTCGCAGCCGGCAATGAAAGGTACCGCGTGTGTGCGGCGGTTGCGGCTGGGGTCGTTTCATGCGCGAATTGTTCCTCCTATGTGTTTTGCAACGAGTGGTTGTTCCTGTGTGCGTAGTTCTATGCGGTTCTTGAATCTCTGGTTGCAGATTGCATTGGAATGGCTGCTTCATTGTCGTCATTTGATGTTGCCACGTGCGTAGATAGGTGCAGGTTTGCTACGGGATGCTGCGAAACGCATGGTAATGGCTGCATGAATGTTGCATGGGCTATGTTTTGGCAGCCGGAGCACGAAACCTTGTGTTTTTCCGTGTAAAGTGGCTGCAGCCGGCGATGAAAGGCACCTCGTTTGTGCGGCGGTTGCGGCTGGGGTCGTTTCATGCGCGAATGGTTCCTCCTGTGTGTTTTGCAACGAGTGGTTGTTCCCGTGTGCGTAGTTCTATGCGTTTCTTGAGGCTGTGGTGGCAGATCGCATTGGAATGGCCGCTTCATCGTCGTCAGTTGATGTTGCCACGTGCGTAGATAGGTGCAGGTTTGCTACGGGATGCTGGGAAACGCATTGTCATGGCTGCATGAATGTTGCATGGGCTATGTTTTGGGGAGGAAGCCGGAGCACGAAACCTTGTGTTTTTCCGTGTAAAGTGGCTGCAGCCGGCGATGAAAGGTACCTCGTGTGTGCGGCGGTTGTGGCTGCGGTCGTTTCATGCGCGAATTGGTTCCTCCTATGTGTTTTGCAACGAGTGGTTGTGTCTGTGTGCGTAGTTCTATGCGGTTCTTGAATCTCTGGTTGCAGATTGCATTGGAATGGCTGCTTGATTGTCGTCATCTGATGTTGCCACGTGCGTAGATAGGTGCAGGTTTGCTACGGGATGCTGCGAAACGCATTGTAATGGCTGCATGAATGTTGCATGGGCTATGTTTTGGGGAGGAAGCCGGAGCACGAAACCTTGTGTTTTTCCGTGTAAAGTGGCTGCAGCCGGCGATGAAAGGTACCTCGTCTGTGCGGCGGTTGCGGCTGGGGTCGTTTCATGCGCGAATTGTTCCTCCTATGTGTTTTGCAACGAGTGGTTGTGTCTGTGTGCGTAGTTCTATGCCGTTCTTGAATCTCTGGTTGCAGATTGCATTGGAATGGCTGCTTCATTGTCGTCATTTGATGTTGCCACGTGCGTAGATAGGTGCAGGTTTGCTACGGGATGCTGCGAAACGCATTGTCATGGCTGCATGAATGTTGCATGGGCTATGTTTTGGGGAGGAAGCCGGAGCATGAAACCTTGTGTTTTTCCGTGTAAAGTGGCTGCAGCCGGCGATGAAAGGTACCTCGTGTGTGCGGCGGTTGCGGCTGGGGTCGTTTCATGCGCGAATGGTTCCTCTTGTGTGTTTTGCAACGAGTGGTTGTTCCTGTGTGCGTAGTTCTATGCGCTTCTTGAAGCTGTGGTGGCAGATCGCATTAGAATGGCTGCATGACTGTGGTTATCTGGTGTTGCACGTTTGCGCTGTGATGCTGCGAAACGCATGGTAATGGCTGCGTCAAGGTTGCTTGGTGCCGCGGCTGCATGCGTAATGCTATTGTCTTTTGCAGCTGGTCTTCGTAAATCGTATTGGAGTGGCTGCATGAAGGCTGCGACAGTGATTTGTCAGCAGATTTTCGCAATTTTGCCGCTAGCAATTTTCCTTTTAAAAATCCTTTTGCAAAGTGCTTCAAAATCGTTTTTTTTTGGCTTTGGCGTCGAGATCCATCCGGTTTTGGAGCTGCAGTGTCCGACGTCGTTGCGCATAGTTCTATTGTGTTTTGCAGCTCAGTCTTTTCAGATCGCATTGTAGTGGCTGGGTCAAGGTTGCTTCTTGCCGCGGCTGCATGCGTAATACTATTGTCTTTTGCAGCTGGTCTTCGTAAATCGTATTGGAGTGGCTGCATGAAGGCTGCGACAGTGATTTGTCAGCAGATTTTCGCAATTTTGCCGCTACTGGTAGCAATTTTCCCTTTAAAAATCCTTTTGCAAAGTGCTTCAAAATCGTCTTTTTTTCGCTTTGGCGTCGAGATCCATCCGGTTTTGGAGCTGCAGTGTCCGACGTCGTTGCGCATATTTCTATTGTGTTTTGCAACTCAGTCTCCGCAGATCGCATTGTAATGGCTGCGTCAAGGTATTGTTATATATATATATATCCTGATTCTATCATAGATTGCTTGAGCAGGTAGGTTGATCACCGATGACCCGATACATTTCCTCGAACAACGACTTGAGAACAGAATTTATCAGGTCTGAAAATAACAACATCCAATATTCATAAACAGACATGATAACGATCGGCAACTCAGGATTGAACAATCGCTTAGTTCAGAAAGATCAATGGATGCAATAGAACAGAAAACATCGGAAGAAAAAAGAAAAAGGTTACGCACCTACAGTAATTAGATATACTGTTTATGTAAATATCAACACACACACATATATAGATAAATAAAAATATATATATATTTATATATTTTTATGTGTGTGTATGCCTCTACGATCTAGCTATGCCTATCTATCTGTACAATTCTAGGCCCCTTAAATTGGACCCGCCCTGGTCTGATTCACATCGAAGGAGATCGTGACGGGCACTGCCCGCGAGCTCCTCAGGGTGCGGCAGCTGAAGCGGGCTCTCCGCACAGCCGCGCGCCGCTGCCGGCTCAACGTCCGCCGGCACAACCAGCCAGCGGCGTTTCCAAGGAGGATGGCACGGCTGGTTGCCGAACTTCGGAATCGGCTCTTCCGTCTGAGAGAGAACGAAGAGGAAGAGAACGAAGAGGAAGAGAACGAAGAGGAAGAAGCCTAGGCCGGGGATACAGCTGGGGCCCGGGAAGACCACCAGCATAGGAAAATAACTATTCGCTAAAGGCAACTTTCCATCTTCCATCTAACGACATTTCAAACCATTATACTTAATTATAAGCAATGGCGTGCAACTTCGAGATTGCGCATTCGAAATTCATACTTGGCAAGACCAATTCATAAAATGCACGGATCTATATAGAGATGATGAAGATATAGAAAGAGAGGAGAGCGGATTAACATCTTCTAATGATACCGGCCGATGGAAATTTCCGATCAATGAACTGAATGACCTTGTCGCCCTGCCAAAACGCCCCGCCGCAGGCCAACGAAGGACGAAGGGCAGCGGCAAGCACAGAAGTCGCCGTACAGGCCCCCCTCCCACCGGACGAGCACAAAGCCGTCCGGTGGGAAGGGGGTGAGAGGCGCAAACGGCAGAAGACGGCGGAAAAAAGACGATGTTCTGGCAAGTATGGGATTTACCCCACGAAGAGAAAATCGATGTTGTTCATCCCTTGCAATTCTTGCCGCGGCTGCATACGTAATACTATTGTTTTTTGCCGCTGGATATTGTAAATCGTATTGGGGTGGCTGCAAGAAGGCTGCGACAGTGCTTTGTCAGCAGATTTTCTCCATTTTGGCGCTAGCAATTTTCCTTTTAAACATCCTTATAAAAAGTGTTTCAAAATCGTTTTTTTTGCCCTTTGGCGTCGAGATCCGGTTTTGGAGCTGCAATTTCCGACGCCGTTGCGCGTAGTTCTATTGTGTTTCTAGTTGCGCGTAGTTGGAGCTGCAATTTCCGACGCCGTTGGCGTAGATCGCATTGTAGTGGCTGCGTCAAGGTTGCTTCTTGCCGCGGCTGCGTCAAAGTAGTACTGGGAAGTAGTTTGTGCAAACTTTGTAGTACACAGTAGTACTGGGAAGTGCTTTGTGCAAGCTTTGTAGTACAAAGTAGCATTGGAACGTGTTTTGTGAAATGCCAGTTTCGCAGTTTCAACTTGTTTCAACCGCCTTTTGGTGTTTTGGTTAGATGCTTCCATCTCCATTTGTTGCTAGGGGTGCTCTGTTACAGGACACTTGGCGCACTGGAAGAAGCTCGCAGACTTGAACCAAGCAGGGTTCAACTCCTTGAGTCATTCCGTACGTCATTCCCAAACGGCCATGGTGCATTTCACCAAATCGATTTATATGAGGTGTAACGATACTCAACATATATGTCACCATTGATAGTCAACACATTTTTTGCCATATTTGACACCTTTTGAGGGCAAAAAAACATAAAAAAAACAGATATTTCCAGCTCCAAATCAACCACGGCTGAGGTTTTTCTGGGAGGAGCAATGGATCCCCCAGAGGGTGCCCTGATCGTGTTGCGGGGGTTTGGGAGCCCAGTGGTTTGTGGCAACTGGAAACTCCCAAAAGGCAATCTCGTGGGGAAACCCAAACATGTTCCTTCTCCGATATCCAGGTCGCAAAAATTGTTTTGGACCCAATGTTCGATGTTGGTCCATGTTGGTCCCACGTTCAACACTGGAAGGGCACATCTTTGATGATGAGATGTTCCAATTCTTGGCTCGCGCCAAGGATCGAACGGGAGAAGCTTGATGCCTACGTCAAAGAAGATCCCTACGTGGTGAACGGATTGGTGCGGGTCCCAGAGCACATTTTTTGATGGAGAAACCAAAGTTATTTCTTTGGGAGTGGATATGGGGCATGTTTCTTGGACCAGGTCCCTTAATTTCCACCCGTTTTCCCCCGAGATTTCCTGTAATTAACTTGGGACCGGTTGTAAGATGCTGTGAGTGGCGATTTCAGGCGGATTTCATCAACAGTTTTCTGCTTGTTGATGCACCACCATCTGCTGTCTCCTTGGCTATCTCGCAGCAAAAATTGGCCAAAAATTGAGGTGCCATCCTATGACATCAAAGACTGGAACGTTGTAGTGGGATCAGCCATGCCAGCTGAGTGAAAAAAAAGTGAGCCGCCTTCGAAAAGCTGTGGGAGCTGAATAGCATCCAGCTGTGTGTGTTGTTGGTGTTGTTGTTGTTGTTGTTGGCCTTTTTCCCACAACAGTGTGTCCACTTTTGTGCTGAGCACAATGTGTTTTCGTTTTGGGCTCAAGCAAGAAGGCTCCATTTCAGCTCCTGCCCACGGGTTGCTTGCAGGTGGGTTGGAGGCATAATTTTTTTATATGTCCGATTTGAATGGGTACGTATTAGAGATGTTGCTTGACTTGGGACCCTTTGAGATCCTCGTAAAACCCTTCAACTTGGGAGGTTGTCGTGTGACCAAATTGTGGCTGAGTCTGTGGGTTGGATGGAGTTTTCAGCTGGTTGGTTGTTATGCCAAAAAAAACGTCACCAGATGCTAAAGGGATCGTCTCAGTTGCAAGACATCCTTTTCGATTTTGCTAAACAACTTCTGGGATGTTCACCCAACACCTTGGAGCGTCACCGATCATTTGTGACCGACAGCGCAGGTGTTTGGTTTCATCCATGGCCCTGTCTGATCTGAAAATTGGACATCCAGCCCCCAGGCTTTCGAGGCGCGCAGCTCTTGGGATGTGGTCAATTTGGTAAGGCCGTTGTTTGTGACCACACGCAAGGCCCCGCACTGCCGAGCTTTTTGAGAGGAACAACTGGTGTGTCCCCCAGAGGCCAATATGACAGGTACATATAGCATAGCAGGGGTGTTTTGAGATCCATGAAAAAAAATTGAAACACGCAAAAAACGGTGAGTTTCAGGCGAGAAAAGTCCACAACAATAGTATTAACAATAGGTACATATAGGTACCATGTACGGATTCCGTTGGGTGAAACCATCGTTTTTCCCATGGTTTTTCCAAGTGTCACTTTTGGAAACCCAAAAACTGCCAGTTGGTGACATCAGTGACATCAAGGAATCCCCAAAAATTGGGAGGTTTGACCCTCCAGAATCCCCGGGAGCTGTTGTTTTTGCAGATCTTTTTCCCACGATTGAGGTTGACTCGATCCAACTCAGACCACACCAAAGCTGTGACCACGATGCGCTTGGATGGGGCACACCCAGCCGGAAAGCCCAGTAAATGTGGCCACAGATCCGGCAGAAACTGATGTTTTTTTTGGTGTTGTTTCCCATGGTCAGGTGCAATTTCTCCGACTTTTTCTGGTGGTTTGGCATATTTTACCCTCTGGTAAACATACAAATAGCTATTGAACATGGCCATTGAAATAGTGGATTTACCCATCAAAAATGGTGAATCTTTCCATAGTTTTTTGTAAACGTTTACCAGAGGGTATCCATAGATTTCCATAGATTTCCATAGATTTCCATAGATTTCCATAGATTTCCATAGGTTTCCATAGATTTCCATAGATTTCCATAGATTTCCATAGATTTCCATAGATTTCCATAGGTTTCCATGATAAAACATTGATTTTCCATAGATTTCCATAGATTTCCATAGGTTTCCATAGATTTCCATAGATTTCCATAGATTTCCATAGATTTCCATAGATTTCCATAGGTTTCCATGATAAAACATTGATTTTCCATAGATTTCCATAGATTTCCATAGGTTTCCATAGATTTCCATAGATTTCCATAGATTTCCATAGATTTCCATAGATTTCCATAGGTTTCCATGATAAAACATTGATTTTCCATAGTTTTTTGTATGTTTACCAGGAGGGTACCATCCAAAACCGATGGGCTTTCATGGGATGGTCAAGCAGCTGCCATATGCCCAGTTGCGTATGGCTCGGATGGCCTCAACTCACTTCGTGGAGGCGCCGGTTTTTTGGTGACAGAAATTGGAGGTCTCCCGGTTTTTTCCAGGAAAAATCGCCGTTTTCTCATGGTAAATATCCGTAAATCAATGTAAATCATATGACATAACTGGTCCATAAATTGGCTTTCGAAAAAAAAACAACACAATAATTCTGTCTCCCAGTAATCCACCGATTCTCATGGAGCATTTGTGATACATGTGATGCTTGCACTGTTTTGGGAACGGTTGCGAAATGATTTGAGATGCCAGGGAAGGAGGACCGAAACAACACCTGACCAGCGCAGCCACCCTAGAATCGGAAACATCTCCAAATCAAACTATTTCCACAGATGTATCTGAAAACAAACGCAGAAACTTTGTGGAAGTCTTCAAGGACAGTGTCTTTATAAGCTATATCAGTTTCAGTTTTATTGGATGTTCACATGGGTCAACACACCAAACAAATCCACTGAACATCACTACGCTTTGCAGAGATCGATTCCTGTGCGGAGCAGCCACCGGCTTGCCGCTTTCTGCGATGGCTGCGATGTCTGATGCCACTTCAGGTTGGTTCAAGACGCACGCCACCAGCTTTGCCAAGTATGGTGTCTACCCGGGACAGGGCTTGAAGGTTTGGAGCTGAGACTTGCCCAGTGCCTGTGCCTAGAAAAGGGTGGGATCAGTAGATTGGTTGAAGGGATGTTTTTTGCTGGAACCCTATTTGATGGGAAAAGGCCATATTTTTTCAGCAGATTTTCCTTAAACCAACCCATTGTTTGAAAGAAGTGAGTGAGGCAGCTAGATTTTCCGAGACTGACTGAACATCGGCAGCTATTGACGCCTCACGAAGTTGTGGACGATATGTTTGAACTGTTAGAGACACGGAGAAGTTCCTGTCGCCAGGGGATGTACATGCGTGATCCTCACACTGGTATGTGGGTGAAGGTGTGCCGGGCTGCAGTTGCCCAAGCTTGGGGTCGAGATGTTTCCAGCACTCCAACCCCCCATAATTTGGAAGGTATTTTTTGCTGGACTGCCTGATTGCATCAAATTTTTACTTCGAGGTTTTGAGTCAAGCATCCAGACCCTGACATTTTGGTGGTATCCATCTTCTCGGCAAAAAATGGGAGCCACTTGCAGCAACGCATTGAGTTTCCTAATCACATAATTAATGTAATTTAACATAGCTATTGAAAATATACCATTTATAGTGGATTTACCCTTCGAAAATGGTGATTTTCCATAGCTTTTTGTATGTTTACCAGAGGGTAATTGACCAGCCGATCAATTGATAAACATCTCCACCCTTGGCTGTCAGATGCTGTCAGGATACTCCGGATCGCCTGTGGAATGTCGAGAAGCAAATCCCCAAACCCAGCTCAGCGACTTGGCAAACCCCGTTGTCGCGAGGAAAGGAGCGGCCCACAGTTTTTCTGTTGGGCAATTAGTTGGGCAGTTTTCGGCCATCAAACCTGGTTACCCTCTGGTAAACTAACATAGCAATTGAAAATGGCCATAGAAATAGTGGATTTTCCCATCAAAAATGGTGATTTTCCATAGTTTTTTGTAGGTTTACCAGAGGGTAATGGACCATTTCTAGCATTTTTACTTCGACGATTTTCCCAGCTATAAAGCTCCATATAGAATCATCCAATTTCCCGGTGATCCATGGAAAAACGGTGTGATTTGAGGAGCCGCTGATTTTGAAGATGGTCCGGTCTAAAAGTTGAAGCCCAGAAATCCAGAGCCTGGGTCTGGGAAAAACATCCATCACCTCTCAGACTCAGAGGGAAAGTAACTGGAGATACGACTTGGAGTCAAACCCGATCTTTTCATAGGCGAAATTGCATGGCAATGGTCATATGGGTTTGTCTAAAAATAGGATCTCCCAATATGATGCTTCATCACAAGTTTCCCCTGAACAAATCGCCAAGTTGAGGGTTCAGTGGCCCATTTTCAGGTACCAAATCCATAGTTCCCTGGAAAGGAGCACTCTACGAATCTTTGGTAACCATACTACCAGTGGGTTCACCATTTTTTTATGGCATGAACCATGGATAAGTCACAAGTTTTGCGGGTCCCAGGTGGCCAAGACCAACAAGGACTTCGTTCCCTTGTACGCCCTGGACGTTCACCTCCATGGTAAGCCCTGAGCTGGATCCTGAGATGGCCCTTGGCGCAGGATAGTCTGGTGTCAGCTGGGAAAATCCATGGCACTGGGTTTTAATGGAGGTTTGGATGGAAAAATGATCGAACATGGAAGGGTTTCATAGATTTTCCGGGTGGGGTGATGGAAGATATGTAAGATCCACCAGTCCTGAGGTCTTCGAAGACGTGAGCCATTTCTTTTGCTCATCCCGGATTTCGGGAGAGCCGGGGACCCAATCATCTCCAAAGCTTGGGTCCCTTGGGCAGATTTGGCACAACTGCGAATGCAAAAAATGTGCCTGGCCCAGCGAAAGTTTGGAATCTTCAGACCCCTCCAGCGGAGCTGTGAGTGGTTCAGCCAGCAGGGCTGGGGATCTCCAGAATTTTATGTGTCGCCCCTTTCCCTTTGGGCAGCACCCGAAAAATCACCGGCAGAACACTGGCAACCGCCACTGCCAAGTGCTTTAAGATAACTCCACTGATGTCGACATGTCTCTTCCCAGACACGGGACCCTGGACCTTCTGGTGGTTCATTTCAAATTCGACCACCAGAGGGTTGTATCCTGACTTATTGATCGCCAAAGGCGCTTCCTTCCCGTCGTGCAGTGGAAAAACTGGGAGCTACTGGAGGATTGGAATTGAAGAGCCATTGGATTCACACTCAGATTCTGGTGAGTTTACGATTGACATTCAGATTCTATGGCGATTTGGCGTTGAACATCTTGAACCGAAATGAACCGAAGCCATCCATTGGTTTGTGGTGCTCACATTGACTCGTACTCAGGTAAAAAACTGGCAGCCATGCTTCTGCTATCTTCTGCTTATGTCAGCCACATCAGCCGTTTGGCACAAGCCAACGACCTTCCCGAAGTTCTATCCGAGACTGCAATTCACGCCGCTTCTGAAGTGACTACTACCTTTGAGGCGCTGAATGTTGATATTTCACATTGTAAATTGTATCCCCAAAATATGCCACTTGTATCCCAATTTCTGGTCAGCTACACCATGTTTAGACCCATTCAACCCCATCAAGCATCAAGAGTGTACCTTGTCCACGAGCAAAAGATGAATTGAAATGCGATGCAAGGGCGATGCGAAGCCTTCTTCTCTTGGCCAGTTTGTGGCTAGTGCAGGACTCAGGCTTGTTTGCCATTGTGGGGAGGGATCAAAACCCATGAAATACATTGAAATACCAGTTTTTTCTTTGGGAAGAACATCCATAAACCCCAGCTATGTTGGGGGTTCACCAGGGCACCAGGGGTACAGATTTTTGACTCATGCACACGTCAATTTTTGGTAGCTGCACTGCTTTCATTGGAAGAATCAAGAACCATCAGAGGGTTCATCGAGACATCAGAAGGTTCATCATGATCTGCATATCATCGCTTTCTCCGCGTGCTCCGCTTTCTCCTAGTTCCTTTGCAGACCACTGCACATGAGCAAAATCCTTCCATACGAACCAGGGTCCTTCACATGTCAGCCGCTGTCAGCCCTTCACCTTGAGGTTCGCAGCGCGCGAGACAGTCGTCAACTTAGACCCACCAAAAAAACGATGCGTTGTGTAACTAGTAGTGACATCTCATGCGGTGATTGTTTTTCAGAATCTCCATTCTCTGAGTGAAAAACCAGCAATCCTGGTCCAGCTCGGAGATGATCCCTGCAGATTGTCAACTTAGGTTCAAGCGATGACATTCTGCAGGACTGCTTGGTTTATGGCCAGTTGATGCCTCTGTTGGCTACTCAGTGCCACACATTTTCTCCATGGCCATCCTCTGTTGCTATGAGGAATATGCAAACAGCAAGCCGTTTTCAAGGGCTATATGACAACTTATGATATGCAACGGCTGTATATGATTATGCTATCAAAACAGCTAAATGATAACTATAATATATCTGTATGGTTTTGTGAGTGGTTCCAGTTTCTGAAGCTTCCCCGATGGCGCGGCTCAGCACTTCGGAAGTTGAGATGAACTTCATCAGCTGCCCACTGCCAACAACATGACGACCCTGCCAAATACTCACTTCGAAGAATGGGTGATTCTCAGGCTAAACCAGTTATACGGTATTTACATATAATTATATTATTTATATTTATATAAATTATATATACACATGATATTTTAGTCATTCTAAATTCCCCGAATTGTTAAAAATGCTCTCCCCAAACGAAACGCTGATTTCATACTGGATCTATTCTGAACCAGGAGATGCAGCAGGCGCAGATGCTCGGGGCAGAGTACCTGGAGCAGAAGTCCCAAGTCCCAGTGGCCTCTACGGTCTCCGTGGATCAGTGGCTACAGCTGGGAGATGTTTTCGTTTTCCTTAAAAAAATGGGTATGGATCAATACCTATTAATACCATTTTTAGGGGGATGAACATCCATAAATCCCAGCTATTTTGATGTGAACTACAGGGGTACAAGGTTTTGACACACTGCCAAATGGAGGAATGATCATGGTTAAGTAACGTGCCTAACTAGTAACTAAGAGTTTGACAACGGGGATCAGCAATGTTGATGTTAGAAAGACCTGTCTTCCAAATCACCTAGGACCTATTTGGCTGGGTCGATTAGTTGGGGGGTGGTGAAGTCAAAAAAATTGGATCCAAGAAGTGAAGCTTGTGACTTTCCAGTAACAAACAGTATCCGAAGAACACCACTTTTGCATCAAAATGTCATTTCTTGGAAGCAGATTCTCAGGCAGCCAGAACTGGGTTCCAATACGGTTCCAACTGTTGAAACAAAGTGGGGCGCCGCGTGGCGAGTGCCGAGAGTGCGGAGGCAGAGGGAAGCCTTTGTGGTTACAAAAGCCACTAGCCTCCTTCAGGCACGGTGCCGCACGGAAGTTGAGTTCGTTGAGTTCTGAATCGCAGAGATTTTTTGCCAAGTTCCAAAGAAAAACATGTCAGAGAAAAACACATGGGAGTTTTTTTGAGAGTATTCGTCACTTAGTGACTTAGTGATCCATGATGATCCATGTGTACTGGGTCAGAGTTTGTTGTTCCCAAGTTTGGAAGTGATGCTACTCCGTTTCCTCCTGGTCTGCTGGTCTTGTTGCAGGTGAACCGAGAGACCTCCAGAACCGACGAGCTGCGTTTGGGTGAGGCACCCGATGGCTTAGAGACCTAAGAGGTGTGGGGAGGATGGCAACATGAGGGTAGCATTTGCGACCCTCGGGTTTGTGGAAGTTCATTTTTGCTGTTTTTGCTTCGTGAAAGTCTCGTTCCGACTGGCGAAGAGAGTCTTCGGAACACCACACGACTGCATCAGAAACTCAGAGGGTGTATTTGTGAGTTAAAGGAACTGAATGAATCCAGGGATCTACTGCTTCAAGAGAGAGCATGACCAACTCTGCCATGCAGGCCAAGTTCAACCCCTTCAAACCAGCAACTCGGCATGAATCGGCTTGTTGGGGTCTGAGTAGCTATCCATACCCAGGGTTTTTGCATTGCGGTTTGAGGTTTGCTCACCACGACCGTCCCCAAACGCGACAGGATATTGCGCTAATGCGCCAGAACTTGAATCCCTTCCTTGTTGAAGATGATGATTGAGATGTTGGTTGACAAGTTGAAGATATCTGGGTGACTCTGGCCAACAGCAGCTTTGTTGGAGGCACCCAAATGTACAAATCAAGCAGCTTTTTAGTGGTCCAATTGCTTGCAAGAAGGTCAACATGTGGGCGGTTCTTGGAGAGGTTGAATTGAGATTGATCCCAACTGAATCAGTGTTTTTCATGCTCGTTTTCGAGCATTTCTGGCAACTGGATTCCTGAATATTCCTGACATGTTGTCCCTTTTGAGCGGATTCACCTGAAGTTTACAGGGCCTACAGTGGAAACCGCAATCTTCTCAGCCCTTTGACGGTCTGCGCCGAATGTGCGCCAAACCTTGCGAAGCGCTTGAAAGGTTGCCACATAAAAATGCTGAGACTGGCTGAAATGACAGTGGGAATTCATTGCCATACGGAAGTGGCTCAAAAAATCTAATGCCCAGATACCATGTAGAATCTATTTTTTGGGAAATCTCAGAAGGTAAATTCCTTTGGCCCAAAGGTACAAACAATGGAAGCGGATCCCTGGAGGTTTAAAGTGGAACGTCCCATAGATCGGAACATGTCTGCAATTCTTCCCAGATTTGTTGGGAACTTCAGGAGATTTTTGGACTCCACATGCTGAATGGGTGAAATGGTGCAAGAATGGCTGGACTTACCAAATTTGGCACCCTCTTCAACATCAACCATCTTATTTTAATGTTGGGCATTCCAAATTTTTGAAGCGGAGTTTGAGACAGAGCAGTCTATGTGTCAAACTTGCCCAGTTTGAACTACTGCAACTGTCATCAGGTCACGATTCCCATTGGTCCCTTGATTTTCGGCTTCAACAGCTCCAGAGGATGCAGCTGTTCCCCCGGTGCTCCTTGGATCCGTGCCCGGCTCGCTGGTCTCTCTGTGGTTGCAAAGTACAGCCGCGCCAGAGGTGGTCCATGTATAGTGCTGGCAAGGGCTATGGCTCCAAGGGTAGCTCCAAGGGTGGATCCGGAAAATCCAAAGGTGGATCCAAGGGACCCAAGGGATCCAAGGGATCCAAGGGGTCAGATGGTGCAGATGAGTCGGATATCTTGGTGATCGGTGCTGGCTGTACTGGTGCCCTTGTTGCGGCCCTGTTGCCACTGGAGGCACAGCGACGTGGCGTGCCGAAGCCGCGGGTGTCGGTGTGGGAGTGGGGTCGGGGACCGGCTGGGCGCATGACCAGTTTCTGGAGCGAAAGGGATGGTGCTCGTGTGGTGGCAGATGTTGGTGCTCAGGCGTGGTCCAAAAAACACGAAGGGGTTGATTTTGTGTGGCAACTTTTCTGAGTGCCTGCTTTCATTTTTCAACTTTCGTACTTGAGTTTTTGCAGAGATGATACAGCAAAGAGCTACAAACACTATGGACCACTGGATAGATGTGGAGATCTTTGTGTTTTCTTTCGAGTTCCGCCCGTTTGCAGGTGATTTCGTTGCAGGACCCCAGCAGATTGCCACCATGGATGCAGGATGAAGTAATGGTTGCCGAGAATTTGTCTGACACCAGCGAGCGACGGAAAGATTGGTATCACTTCTATGCCGTTGGAGGCTTGCCCAGCCTGCAGAGGGCATCATTGACACAGGCGGATGTGATGGAACTGCACTTCAACCGTCGGGCCGCTTGCTACCGTCAAATGAAGATAATGAAGATTTCTAGGATGTTGTTCTTTTTGGTAAACTATTTCATTATCATATAGAATCATATAAACATGATCAAAAGTGGTCGATACCTTACGAACCTGACACTTCCTTCAAACAGGGAACCTCTTGTTAGGCTCTTTTTTTGGTGCTTTTGGCATGTTTTCTGACCTGAAATCCACCTACTTTCGGTTGCAAGACTTGCGATGTTCGGAAGGATTCCCCTGTTGATCTGTTGCAAGGTAATGAACCTGCGCTATGAAGGCCGTTGGTGGGCCAGCTATTCAGAGAGGGGCACGCCCAGGTCCGCCCAGTGGCAGGACTTTGGGCTCCTGATCTTCGCAGGCACGGCCCAAGATGCTCTGAATCTCTCCGGCCTTCGCGACAACTTGGCGCCGCAACAGTTGCAGGCCATGCGAGGGGTTCGAGACCTGGCTGAGAGGGGTTGAGGTTTCATCCATTTTCATCCCATTTCATCTTCCATGCTCGAATTCTTAGATTCTCATGAAGACTTCCAGGAAATTTATGAAATTTGTGGACTTCCTCCGTTAGACATTTTTGAAAATTGGTCGACTTGCTGGGATCTGAGCGGTTCTTGTGGATCCTCATCCGTCATCCCAGCCCAGGATACGACCACCGGCTCGCTTTGGCCTTGATCTTCAGGGCACACCTGGCATCGCGCTTGGAGAAGCTATGCCAAGGACGGGCTGAGTTGGTGGTAGAGGATTCGCCCATCCATTTGATTGCGCGGCAAGATGTGAAGGGCAGAAGCCACGACAATGCCGTGGCGCTGGTCTTGCATAGCACTCCAGCTTTCGCGGCATCAAACCTGCAAGTTGTGACTTTGTAGCATTGGTTTCTGATGTTTCTGCAAGAAGTGCTGTGGATGGAAAAAAAAATCCTGCACCACCTTGGATGGTTGAAACATGTTGATACCCTATAAATAATGGGATAAACCATGATAAACCATCTATCCACTGGTGCAGGAGTTCGCAACCATCCACAGTATGTCCAAAGATGTCCAAAGTATGTTCTTCACTGCCTCACCCTCTGAGGCCAAACAATACAATCGTCCGCCGAAAGAGCCTGGAAAGGCCGCACTGATTTCGAGCCTGGCCGAGTTGCTGCAGATGAAGGTGCCGATTTTCCCAGGATCTGACTTTGTTGGGGTTGGGACTCATGCAACTCATGCACTTTTGATCGTTTTTTGCAGGTGTTTCATAGTTTTTCATGGTGCAACTGAATGTTGGACGCTCAAAATTACCCAGAATCCATTGTTGCACATATTCTTGGTGAGATTTTGATGAATTTGGTAGTTGGAAAGGTCATTTTTGAATATCTATCAACATCTTAACTTCACTGAGGGCTTGAAATGGCTCACCCTGACATCGCTCCCTTCACCGAAACTTAGCCAGGTACCTGAGCTGGAAAAGGAGGTTCTGGACAGCAAAGTGGTGCATTGGCGACAGTGCCAAGTCCAAAAACCCTTGCAACTTGGTGGTGAGAGAATAGTTGGACGAACCTGCAACTCCCCCCCCCCCGAAAAAAAAAAACACTGTGACCTCTGGAATCCCCAACTCATTAGGACCACTAACCGAACCCTCGATGTTCAGCCCCTAGGAACGATTTCTGGCTTTCCCCAAAATTTGTTTCCCTATGTTTTTTCGGGAAAAATTGGTCAATACCTACCCCCCCCAGCACCAGGCAAGACCTCGGCTCCGCCATGTTGGTGGATCCCATGTTGATCTTGGCCGGGGACTATTTGGCCCAGGACGGTGGGTACCTCGTGGGTACCTCGTGGCGGGTGGATTCCAGTTCAATGTTTTCGGATACCGCTGGTTTCAGGGGGGTTTGAAGGTACAAAAACTGAGGTCTTTGGGACCACAGAAAAAAAGCCATTTCGATGGATTCAAAAAACAAGGCGAGCACAGACAATACAAGGCTTGAAGAGCGAAACTGGCTTTGAAGCGGCATGGGCTACATTGTGATATGGTCGGTTGGACACGGTCGGTTTTATATATCCCCACTATATCCCCAAAAAAGTCCATGAACTCCATTAGATTAAGTCATAGAAAACCTAATGCTAGTTGGTGAAATTCTATAACATGAGTTGGTGAAATCCCAAGATATCCCACGGAATCACAGAGCCGGTGTTGTCCCACAAGAAGCGTGGCGTGGCGCTTGCCCCAGGATGCAGCAGGCTCCTTCCAGGGATGCTTGGACTCGGCGGAGGCGGCTGCTACGATGGCATGTGCTACTTGGAGCAAACAGATTATGAGAGGTACCCTCTGGTAAACCAACAGTTTGCTATTGAAAATTGCCATTTATAGTGGGTTTACCGGTTTACCCATGAAACATGGTGATTTTCCATAGTTATGTTAGTTTACCAGAGGGTATGAGAGGTATGACAGTTAGCCGCGTAGAATAGGATTGAATGAGAACACACAAGTTGATAGCTATTATATATCTGTCTAGAAAACCTCCATAGTTACAACATGTTACAAATATATCTTCAGTACTAAATTAAATTCCCATGTGTTTTTTGAGGCTTGAGAAGCCGGGAAAGGTTCACCCACTTGAAGTTGGAATGAATGATTTATCTCAAGCCCCTGGCTACTGTGAGCTTCCTTCCTATGTAACCCATCATGAAGAGGCTGACTTGGGCCCAAAGAATCTTGGCCACCTGCATGAGACTCTGAAAGTAACCCCAAAAAGATAAAACAACAACTCTTTTAAAGAGTAACTCTTTTAGGAGTGGATCCTGCTTTTCTATCGTTTTTTGGGGCTACTAATGTAGATCAATTTGCAGGAACCATCCTTCTCGCACCGCATTGTTGTGCGCTCCAACTGCCCCACTGAGGATTTGCTGTATGGCCCCAGCGAGAAACCAGCTGTGCGCCGCTGGGGCAAGCAACAAGCCACCAAGGAAGAGGCTGATGGGCCAGCAGTATCTGGTAAGCGCTGGAGGGCCAAGGGATGACCATGACTTCACAGATCCTGGATCTTTGGCCTCGAGGGCTGATGATCGCAGATCGAGGACGGCACCGGAGCCTATGTTGACTTCACGGGAAGATGCTTTCTGGCAAAGGACACCATGTAGATTCGCGTTTTCGGAGCGCTCGAGTGTTGAGATCGGAAGCGGAAGCTTCGGAGATTTCCGAAGGGCGCCTTGCCTGCGAAGTGGTTTGACAAGATCTCACTCTGCTATAGTGCCCCAAAGTCAGCTGGTGATGCTCCCAAGTTTTCCAATTCAACGACTTGTTTGCTGCAAGCAGCTGCAAAAATTCTTGGCCACGATTCGTAGATGCTATACTTTCCTTACATGGACGTGCCATGCGCAATTTCGTTTAGGCAGTGATACAATCCCAGGGACTTGACGTCCAGCGGCGGTTAAAAAAGGAGGATTTTCGAGTGCAGGTGATCAGAAACGACCAAAGTTTCAGCACGATCATGTCATTTGCACAACTCAAAGGAGTGAGGCTGTGATGCATTTTTTCCCCTGCTTAGTCTTTGACGGAAGGCAAATGCCGGGAATTTTCCCTAATTTTACCTGTGATGCCTGAGCAAGGCTCAAGTCTTGTGGCGCGTGGGTGTGCATGACTCATGTGGGAACGACTGCATAACATGCTCAGATTGTTCGACCTCAGAGGTTTAAACATTTATTTTGTTATTCCTGTGTCGATTGATTGCCGGGGTCCAGAAACGTCTTTGGCACAAAATTTCTTCTCCTGTGCGACATACTGTGCACGCTTTCAATGGTGGAGTCAAACCAGTTGCGCTTGCCTCAAAAACATCGGTTCAACTGGAAGATACCACAGGGATCTGCAGAATCCTGATCTGTTGAGGTGTCTCGAGCTGCCTCCAAAGATGGGCGCCTGAGGTCCGAGATCATGCCACAAGTGGTGCGATTATTTGCTGAAAGGCTTCATCATGACATCCCTATATGCCTACATTTGCCCTGGAACCCACAAGAGGGCCCCAAACCTGTGCAATGATACCTTCACCATCCAGACCATGATGATCCCATGATGCACAGCAAATGCACATTGCATGAAAGACTTGTGATTTGTAAGTTCGCGACGGCAAGGGTCACACGTAAGATGATTTTGACATCTTTGGACACATTTTGACACATTTTGAACAATGATTGTGCCTTGACTGTCGTCAAGAGCTTTTCCGTAACAAACATGGTCAATTTGGTGGTTTGGCTTGTTGGCGCGAGGCACCACAAACACCTACTGTAGAACTTTTGAACTCAAGCCCTGCAAATGCCCGTCAGTTTGACATTTGGACGTGTGACACCTAACAACCCGACTGCAAAGCGACGAAGCATATACAGCTTATGTGTGCACACCATCAGATGGTACCTTCCTCAACCCCCCCCCCACGCAAGCAAGTCATATGCAGACAAGCTGCACTCCCACAGTCCCTTGTCCTGAAAAAAAAATAGCATGACTTGATTTGAACACACCATGGACCTTTCAATGAACAAGAACCAGCCCGTCAACCTTTGGATTACAAGGGCGAACTGGTAGAAACATCTGTTGAACATGTAAGGCAAACAGGGTAGTACACGGCAGCAACCCAAATATCGTTGACTAAACTGACTAAACCCCCAAAGACAAATCCTACGAGACGAATCCTTTCCACGTTTCATGTTTTGACTGCCTCGCCGGGGGGGCTCGTCCTGCAAGAGATCTGCTTGATTCTGCTCAACATCGGCAATGTTGGCAGCCACATCAATGGGACCAACAAAGCAACGGCCCAAAATGCTGACCCCGAAATACACCAAAAGTACGAAAAGAATCACAGACTATGGAGATCTATGGAGTATAGGAGAAGAAAGAATCACAGACCCTTGCCGTTGCGAACTTACAAATCACAAGTCTTTAATGCAATGTGCATTTGCTGTGCATCATGGGATCATCATGGTCTGGATGGTGGTGAAGGTATCATTGCACAGGTTTGGGGCCCTCTTGTGGGTTCCAGGGCAAATGTAGGCATATAGGGATGTCACGATGAAGACTTTCAGCAAATAATCGCACCACTTGTGGCATGATCTCGGACCTCAGGCGCCCATCTTTGGAGGCAGCTCGAGACACCTCAACAGATCAGGATTCTGCAGATCCCTGTGGTATCTTCCAGTTGAAACGATGTTTTTGAGGCAAGCGCAACTGGTTTGACTCCACCATTGAAAGCACTCCATGGTTGCACAGTATGTCGCACAGGAGAAGAAATTTTGTGCCAAAGACGTTTCTGGACCCCGGCAATCAATCGACACAGGAATAACAAAAGAAAATTTTAAACCTCTGAGGTCGAACAATCTGAGCATGTTATGCAGTCGTTCCCACATGAGTCATGCACACCCACGCGCCACAAGACTTGAGCCTTGCTCAGGCATCACAGGTAAAATTGTGGAAAATTCGTGGCATTTGCCTTCCGTCAAAGACTAAGCGTCCCCAAAAAAAAGAACGGGTTCTCTCCCTTGATGAGTTGTGCGCGGGACATGTCTGTGCTGAACCTCTGGTCGTTTCTGATCGTCTGAGCTCTCATGTCTTCCTTGAAAGCCGCTTGATGTCAAATCCCTGCGAGCGTCGCGAAAACTGATTGCTCACAAACACACCAAACACCCTGGCGGAATGAACCCTAAAGCGGGATCCCCTCCCACGCTTGTCACATGCTCGGAACGTGCGTGGAGGAAGCGCTTGTCTGAAACGCACATCATGAGCAAAGAACGGCCCCAAACACCAGTAAATAGATAGACACTCCACGCTGGCAACAACGGCAAAACTGACAGAAGAAAAGCATCGTCAGGTGACAATGTAAATCGTTGGTGCTACAATGAAGGCCCAGCAAATCCTTCATTTGACCGACGACACAGACCAATGCCAACTCACCGTGTCATGCTCTGCCACGTCGCTAATCATACACGTCACATGTGTATACAATGTATACTAAACAGGGTATACACACGTGTCACATGTAGATTATATATAAATATATATATACACATACGCACACGCGTATATAATATATGTACATATACAGTACGTATATCATATAATATATATTATATATTATATAATACATGTATGGAACTGGTGTGTGAAGGAAACTTACTTGATTGCTTCCTGTATTGCTGCAATCGGCAAGCCATGTGATCTCAATTGGCCATTCAGCGGCCATAAGGTGCTTTCAGCTATTGACGCACACCTTTAGCCCACAAATCGACAGTTTCGGAAAAAGTGTAGCTAAAGCTCTGCAATCAGGTGGGGGTCGCCATTCCCAACCATCCGCAACAGTTCGCAGCCGTCCGAGAGCCCTATGGCAGTGCCTGTGGCGAATTCTGCAAACGTGGTCACCTTTTGGAGGTTTCAGACGTCGCGTAGCATCGTTTCGCCTTGCAGGCGTGGCGCTTTGTAACATTCCAACATGTTTCTCAACGTGTCGAAAATCGTGTTTATATGGCAGGCGCAGTACTTTGGCGGCGTTTTCAGAAAATTAGTTGCACTTTTCGTCGCGCAGCACTTTGGAGACCTCCATCGTCATTGTGCGTGACAGGCGCAGCATAGACATGTGGTGTTGCGTGTCTTTGGCGAATCGCATCGTCAAGGCTGCGTCCAGTGGTGACAATGTGCAAATCGCGTGGCAGGCGTGGCACTTTGTGATATTCCAACATGTTTCAGAACATGTCAAAAATCATTTTTTGTGGCAATACTTTGGCTGCGTTTGTGCCGCACTTTAAACAAAGGGTCCCTTGCGTAGGTGTTATTATTTTTCCCTGGGTGGACATGCCACTTTGGTCATGGACTCGAAATCAAATGGTGGGCTACACAGAAAACGGGAGTTAAGGATATGAGACACGAGCAAACGTTCAGCATGAGCATGCCGTTGCTGCAACTCTTCAAAAAAGAAAGGGTCAACACATTCATCAAGCGACATGTCCAAATGTATCAACGCCAGTTTGGCTCAAATTTTCGCAAGAATTGACTTGTTTTGTTTACTTGTTTTAGCCAAAATGGCTTTGCAGTTGTTGTTCCAAGTGTTTACTTGCCTTCAGATGGTGATTGCCGAGCCGGTGCTTCAAATTCTGCTTGATTGTGCTCTGTGCCATATTGTGCCATATTGTGCCTGTGCGGCGGTGTGGCGGCGCACTGTGTTTCACGCATCGCAGCAGCAGCGTGTAATCTTTATGGTTTTCAAGTTTGCAAAGGCCTGCGCTTGGCTTGCAACCGCGATGGGCTGGCCGGCCTCCGTGCCGGAGGTTCCATGGGGCCGGTATGGGCCAGTGGCCGGTTTTCTGCGGATGACGAATGGCTTCAAATCTTGTATCCTTGCATATCCTTGCCACCCCAGTAAAACCTGTGCAAACTTCATTTTGGTTGCAAGACTGTGATTTTCAGGATGATCCTTTGGTGCCTTCCCAAACGCAGGCTTTTGTGGGGGAAGTGGTTTATCTTCTTGTATTTTGCCCAGGGGGTAAGAGTAATCAATTGCGGTTGCCTCGTGCGCTTACACATTTTGGGCTGGCGGGCTGCCAATCCCGTATCAGCAACATCGTTTTCTTTCACCAAAGCTAAGCGATTTGAAGAATGACCTGACAAGGTTTCAACGGCCACAGAAGAAAGATGAAAACGGTTGATCTTCACAATACTTCCGCCCACAGGTTTTGTACAGGTTATTCAGGTTCTTGCTTGCATCGCCTTGGCAAATGCTTCTGGTCGTGTGACAGGATGCGCGCATCCCTGTGCCAGGCTCTTTGGTTCAAATTCTTGACTTGAGGATGCCAGTTTCTGGATATCGTCCACAGAGTTGCACCTGTAGCTGTTTTTTTCTCCGGACTTGTCCGAAAGATTTCAGAGTCGTATCCACGCAGCAGGTGAGACTCTCCTCCCTGATTCTATCACCACTGCTGCTCGGCTTCAACTTCGCTCATGACTGATGACATAGGTGAGGTTCAGAAATTTTTAAGAATTCCAGCTTCTACTTTGGCAGTGTGTATGTACCGTTGACTTTGGAAGTAGCAATGGAGCTTTATGTTTAAAAATAGTTTTTTTAAATGTTTTTTTACGATTTCAATATGAGGAATTTTATGTTAAAAACATAAAAATAGTTTTTCCTTTATGATTTATTTATGATTGAATTTATGAAATTTATGATCCGGCCCTTAGAATCATTAAAAAAACATATTTTCCTGACAAAAAATCATAGAATTCTCTTTAAAAAAACACCTCATTAAAAAATCATAAAATTTTAGTTAAAAATCATAAACATTTCATAAACCAATGCATAATTGTTTCATTAAAAAACAAAAATAGAATTTTCGATCCGTTGGTTTTTCTTTCCCCAAAAGATCATAAAAACCCATTAAAAAGTCATTAAACAAATCCACAGAAGCATAAAAAATTCA